CAATGGAAATAAAAAGTGAGGTATTTAAAAATTGGGATTTAGTCATATATCTGCCCCTCTCCCTTCCCACTAAATCAAAACACAGCAGTATATGACGTGTTCAGTTCCTACAACCCCACATCAACACAGCTTAGACTGGGAGAACCTTATATGCCATGTAGTCTTTAACAAGAAACAGAGATTGTTCCATATTGCATGTTAACGTATTATCCATGACTAAATGTAATGAATATGGGCAAAGGAAAACTTCAAATATTCAATTTATCCTTGGTTTGTCTGAAAATATGTTTTCTTTTGCTAAAGTGAAAACTTATTGCTTCTACGAGGCAAATTAGTGTTTGACAGTAGGTAAAATGTGTGGAGGATACAGAAAGGGGAGCAAGTGGTTTTCTTCATTTCCCTGATTCTCAGAAGTAATTGATTTTTTCTATGTATAACACAGAGAAAAGCAATGTAGCATGGTATTGGGAACAGGTCATGAAGTTCTTACTTTCACTGCTTAGTTCTTGTATATAAACACATCACACAGAAAGAAGCCACAAGTATCAAAGTGCACATAGCATATTTTCTGAAGTCCATAAAAATGTAGCCAGTGACCTTGACTGACCCTTCACTGAGGCTCAACCTACATGCTACCAAGGACTGATACAAAATAACCAAATTCTCTCTAAAATTTACATACAATGTGCATTCAAATACCCTTTGTGTTGTATAAGGACACAACTGGTTGGCTGTGTACTGAGGCCTGTTCACATCAGGACAAAGTCAAGTCTAGAGGTTAGAGGTAGTTCCACATTAAAACTCAGATATACAGTCCTATATTGAACAACCTGATTGCCTTGTGATGTTCCTAAATGAGTTTCCATGTGTACAGGCCTTACATAAAATAGTAAGAGATATTGAGAGAATACTCGTATGTTGCCTTTGATCTTTGCCTGTTTGTAAAAAGCCAGTTTGCAGAATTTGCAGATTTTGAATAATGTATAGATAACTATATTTTATATAATAAATTTCTTATCTTTCAGGAATGCATGTGTGTGTGTGAGTGTGTGTGTAACTTGATAAATGATGAGACAATAGCTGAAAGCCTTAGTTATTTTTAGCATTTCTTTTTTGTCCATGCCAATCTGACAGTTTATATATATCATAAACTTATTAACTAGTGACTTTATTTCTCCCTAGCAATAGGTGTGTGCTGCAGTCTGTGCATTCTTTATAGAAGCCTTAGAATTAAATGCCCAACTTGATTTGATCTCTTTTATTTCATAACAAACTGAGATTCATTTTGATTAAGTCCTTGCACTCACACCAAAACAACCCAGAGCCAGTAAGTTAAATTCATACAAGGGGAAAACACTTCAGCTTGGTCAAATGCTTGTTTTGTTATAAAGAAGTTGCATTATATATAAAGACAGCATTAGCGATGCAGCTTATAAAGAGAGCTTTTAAAGTCTGCTTCATTATGCAGTTCACCAATTAGCAAACAAAATGAAGTGATCCAATTCCAAGTCATGCTTAATGCTGAAAGCATACCCCAGGAAAGATTCCAGTTTTGTCTGCCAAAGCAATTAAGCAGCATACATGTCTTTATGGCAAAAAATAATAATTCATCCACTACTTGTTGATCAAATGCTATATGATGAGTAAATACCATCTTTTCAGGGGGTAGTTCCCGAATATATTAGATAGCAAAATTCATTCAAAATCATGAGCTCTCTCTTATTTGTCACAATGTAAAAATGTAAAATCCTAAATGGATATAACAAAGAGGGATTCCTAACATGAAATGAGTAAATCGATAAATCAACCTCGAACTAAGGCTAAGCCAGCATAATGCTTTACTTCCGCTTCGTACCGATGATGTAATTATCCATCAAAACAGAATCGAATACAACACTTTCGTGTATCGAAAGCAAAGGTCACTTACCATTGTGTTCAGCAAATATATTCCCAGTGATGGGACCCGCGATCTTCGACTCCTTGCCTTGTTTTGATTTCTGTTTGTTGGAACTCCCCTTCCCCTCCTTAGCTTGCTGGGCACCCATTCAAAATGATCGTCTGGCACTCTGGGCTACTGACTAACCCCACTCTATGACCATCGCTCAAATATGCTTGGGAACAACGAGCCAAAGTATTCACACAAAAAACTTCTCCAGTATTTACGTCCCCATTTGTTCCGGTTTTGAGAATTAAAAGAAATATTTTTACATATAAAAAATTTCTACTGCTGGCTCCGCCATTTCTAATACTAATTCTGGAAACGAGGCCAGCCACTTGCTACTACTTCCGGCTCTGTTCTGTGCAGGTGGTTGACATCTGAATGTTGTAGTTGAGATGACGCTGAGACGGAATTGTGATTGGTGATTGTGCTCTTGCGTCTTTGTACCATTTTGCAAAATAAATAAATTAATAAATCATAAGAAGAATATCACTCAATCAAGAATAAATCACTTGCAAAATTCTAAATTTACATTGATTGCAAATAGAAAGGTCAAGTACGTAAAAAATGTATCTAAAATCTTAAGTTAGACTTGTATATCGTAAAACAAAATGTGTATTTCCATAAATTTAGTGAGAAGTTCTGAACCTATACACGACAAAGGTCGGCTGATGACATGTCCCTGCATACCGAGTATGACCCACCGCAAAGCTTAGTAGATACTAGTACGTCGTCAGCAGATTTTTTCCCCTTTTTTCGTGTCACGATGTTCATTGATGCATAAGTTAAAGTAAAGGGACTTATGCAGCTGTGGTTCTGAGTGTCTTTAATCTTCTTCCAGTAAGTAGTACAGACAGACCAGTCCATTTAGCTTCACAGACCCCCTCCGGCGTCACTGCATCCACCCATGTCTCCCAGTAACCTTCTGTCTATAAGTAGGCCCTGTTGGTAGCAGTAGGGGATATGTAGAGATAATTAATATTCGAACAATTTGCCTTACGTCATCTCTAAGTATCCAGCTCTTTCGAAGTAAATAACCTCCTCATTGTCCTACTTGTATACCTCTTGATGAATGTCATTTCCAAAGACTGACTGCAAGACATAAATCAATTGACTAGGCCTATTCAATAAACTGTATTATTGCAAATGAAAATACCCCGATCCCTGATATACTTTCTTTGGAAAAGACAGGTTGCTTGCAAGTAAGCGATGGATCGTGTGCACTGGAAAGCAACGGGGCGCGATATGAGATATAAAGGCGATTTTCTTATGCTTCACAAATGCCCCCTTGATTTCGATGCTTTTCCTTGATAAACAGTGGTAACCCAAAAGTTTACGAGTTTTTGAGATGCTTTGACTGTTGTAGACGTAATTCTTGAAATGTCAGATATGGGGGACCCACATTTTGCTAGTTTCAGAACAACTGAGATCAGCACGAAAATCCGTGCGTATACTATCTTTAATATGTAGTGCATTGTATATGTACAAACAAATGAAGCAGAGATACTACATTGGAGTGCTAGCACTTGAATATTCAAGGTAAGCTGATGTCACCTAGAAAACTTTTAAGTATCTCAAAACTAGGTTATATTGGATTACCCGCCAAAATGAATTTTCTTTAAAAAAAAAAGCGATTTTCTTCCACTGACGAATCATTGCTTGGCCCATTCCTGCACCTGGATTTGGTGTTATATTTCATTTTTCATTTAATGATTTAGTTCTATTCGATTGTCCACTCTTTTTGAACGCCATTATTGTCTTTCTGTGCATTCCAAAGGAACTATCGACGTCAGGCAGTAATATTTGAGGGGATTTATACATGTGGTTTTTAAGGTCTGGATTAGGAATCATTAGTGGCTTTGTACGGTAGGATATGTAGACATAGGGAAAATAACCTCGCGAAATTTTCAAACGCCTACAATGTACCGACAACATATATGGACGTTTGATAGCATCCTTGATTGCTTTGGTAAACAGATCGCTGTGTGACCCGTATACGACTTAAAAGGCCACATTCACAACCAAAGTTGATCCGCGGACTAACAGATTCGTGGATCAAATATGGCTAACCCACTTGAAAGCTTGCCGTGTAGCCCCTCAAGGAATGTATTCAGTGTCTCTTAGGGGATTATGCGACAAGCTTTCAAGTGGCTCGGCCATATCTGATACCAGTATCTGTTAATCCATCTTTCATCTCGTTCTGAGGGAGCACTAACTACTCCGCGTATCAAATATGGCGCGCACTTGACAATGGATACCCGCCCCCCATGCGCACCGTCCCAGTGGGGGCAGAGCAATTAAACCCCACATTTTCAAGTGGGTGGCGATATATTTTACTCGATGATCTGTTAGTCTGTAGATCAAATTGTTCTGAATGGGCCCTGATTCTAAGTCATGACCCAGCGTTCTTGTTCTCCACAAGGTGATTACATAATACGCGAGCCCTTAAACAGGCTTATTACAGTAGTGTTAACTGTGATAAGACAATGTATACAATGTATACAAGGATACGAAAGGTCACTCAACAATATTTGTCGTGAACACGCCTCATTGTGTAGTGATATCAAGGTTGGTTGAACACCAGGTACGTTGAGTTTATCGATAATTTTGGCAATTTGTCTCTTTTACACACGGTAAACTTGCAATAAAATGTGCGCTGGTTACCTATACATTGGTTTCCTTCGTCCCCATCCCAAATGTGCTCATGAAATATAGCACAGGTGCTGAGTTCATTTATGCCACGATTTAAATATTTATCGAAAGATTCATCAAAGTGGTAAGCTCAAGTAAGCTCAGCAATTGTGCTATATGTGTCATGGAAACATTGGGGACGAAAAAACGCCGAAGAAAGCCAATGTGTATAGTTACTCGGTGCACATTTCAGTTTAAGTATATTGGTTACTGTGTGTAAAAGAGACAAAAAACAGAATAATCAATGTTCTCAATGTACTTCGTTCTTGAAAGTTCAACCTCCTTGAAATGTCAAACGAGAAATTAGCAGAAGCATGTATTGACGTACATGTATCTTTCTATGCCTTAAGAGAGGAAAGGCGGAAAACCAGTAAAAAAGAGATGTGCCTGGATACATGTGTACAGGATCCAGAGAGGGCGTCGAGCTGTGCACAAGTCGATGGAGGGGCAGGTTCTGATGCACGTGGGAGAGTTTCAAAAGAGATGTTGGGATGTGATCGCTTAACAGAAACCGAGACTCGAGCTCCAGACGGGGGCTGGGGTTGGATGTGTGTTTTAGGGTTTTTTACTGTGAACATTCTCGGAGCTGGCATGGACAGGACGTTTGGAGTAATCTACCTTATTCTGATTGATATGTTTGGTTCTAGTGCCAAATTGACAGGAGGCATCTTGTCGGTCTTTTCTACGTGTCGTTATTGTCTAGGTGAGTACCTTAGTGACTGTTTTAAACCGTTTTATTTTAACTGTACATGTACATACTAGTGCTGTTACAATCAAAAAGCACAAATAAGAATTCAAGCACCCGTTCGCATTTATATGTCAACAAGGAACTTGAATATAACAGGTTTTTACATGTGTCGTAGCATAGCAAGTCTACAGGCCGTCCATTTTTATCTTCTACCATTTTGCAAACCAAGCCATATTTTGCCGCATGTTCTATATAGGCCTAAGTGTTAAAGCTTGTTGTTAGTTCGTTAAAGACGCAAGATAAGCCAAATAATTTACTAGAGAATTACAAAAGTGAAGAAATTTAAAACGTAAGAAAATTATATAATAAATTTGTTGTGTATAGGTCCAGTAAGCAGCTCCCTGGCCAATATATTCACAGCCCGGAAGGTGGTAATATGCGGTGGTTTGTTAAGCAGTCTGGGGCTGATACTTAGTGCCTTCCCACCACATATCTACTATCTGTTCTTTACCTTCGGAATAGTTGCAGGTAGGCTTTGATGGTATGTTTAAGGTTTGAAGATATAATTTGCAACTACTGAAACATAAACGTCCAACATCATTTTAAAATGGTGGAATATAAGATGGCCCAGTTTGCAGGACCAAATGAATGAACTTGGGTCATACCAAATATATATATATAAATATTTAAATATCTGAAGTGGTATGATTTTCGTCCTTTGAAACTTCTAATATTAATAACAAAAAATAATGAAGACGACCCCTGTTTCAGGACCGAATGATGAATGCATTGTTTAAAATAACATAATCATTTGTTTCATTTTTCTTATATATGAAGTTATCATCACGCACACCCCTTCATGGTGTGATGATCATTGTTATTTTATAAAAGCTGAAGTACATGTCATGCCTTTCCAGGAATAGGAGCTGCTTTTGGCGCTACCCCTAGTGCAGTGATTGTAGGGCAGTATTTCCACAAAAAGCGTGCACTTGCCAACAGTATTGCCTCCATGGGTGCTGGGATAGGTTCCTTGGTTCTACCGCCGTTTCTCACTTATCTAGTATATCACTACGACTACAGTGGCCAGATGCTCATTATGGGGGCTATCATGTTGAACCAAGTGGTAGGCGGCGCCCTCTTTAGACCTCTGACTCCCAAGAGAAAGCACGAAGGAAACATACCTTCTACAACGACAAGAAATATAAAGGAATGCCCTGAACCTAATGGCAATCCCAAAACTATTAATGAAATGAAACAGACGGAAGATTCCCAAACAATTGACATTACAACAGCTGTTAAATTGGAAACTATTTTGGGTCACAAAAATTTAACAGCAGTGACAGGAACAAGTGAATGCCCAAAATCACTGCCAGATACATTCCCTGAGAGTACACAGGAGGAAAAGTGTTCACAAACATTGGGAAATCCTGTCAAGAAAAGCACAATCTGGGAGAGAAATGCGGTACTCCGTGAACTACGCGTCTATGGTAATCTTCTAAAAGATGCCCGCTTTTTGACCTTTGCGTTGAACTGGACATGTCTAGCTATGGGTCCTTCAACGGGTCTAATGTTCCTTGGTGCAATAGCAGAAGAGCACGGTGTACCACGAAGTCAGTCGCCACTCCTTTATTCCATACAATGTATATTTGATATTGCATCCAGGATGATGGTAGCTCTTCTGTGTGACCGCACGTGGCTAAGACGGCAGCGACATCATGTGTACAACATCAGTTTTGTGATCTTGGGCGTTGTTCTATGCATTGTTCCTGAAGGAAGAACGTTTCCCCAGTTTGCTACGTGTGCATCGTTCATGGGCTTGTTTCAAGGGATGATCATGTCACTGAGCTATACGGTGATTGTTGACGTCTTTGGGGCAGATATGTTGAAACACACCTATGGGTTAGGTTATTTCTTTTGTAGTGCTGGTACCCTGTGTGCACCATCAACGGCCGGTAAGTTAACTCTGTCGCTGGTTTGGAAATCATCACACTGCATGAATTGTCACAATGATTAATTTAGTTTTCAACTCTGTTATAGATTTACAAATTTAGTTTAATTACATCTTTCTCTCTTAGAGACTTAATTCAGAGTAACTTACAATAAGATAAGTAAGCCTGAATTGTAAATATTATATTTATGCGACAAGCTTTTTGGAAAAATTTAATTGCCGTATTCATTTTCTCATTCAGGATTGCTTAAGGACGAATACGGGACGTACCGCTACCCATTTTATTTCGCAGGGTGGTGGTGCTTCGCTGGAGCTGGTGCCTTTCTTTTGAATACCTATCTCAACAGGAAGGCAAACAAAAGCCACGAGAGAAAAATAAACTTTTAGAAATTAAGAAACTATTATTTGTAATATGTTTAAGTCTTATTGAAAAAAATCAATACCATCAGCATGATTCTGATCTTACACTTATACCTCTTAATATCAATCAAATAATTTAACTTTTATCTGCTTACCCTCTTTAGCAGATTTTTTTTTTTTTTTTTTTTGTAGGCTGTTAGGCATGGTTGGGTCTTCCCACTTTACTTCATCATGACAGCACACTTAGTCACAGTTCTCTATTTGCACAATGTTCTGGTATTAACCATACTGGGCATGAATTGGAGTGTGCCATGCAGAGGAAAACAAACCTCTTATATCTGGACCAATCTCTTCAGGAAGAATGAGACAATATCCCACGAAACAGAATTGTCAAGTTGGACCGTCTACGGGAGAAAATAGACACACGCGCCATTAGACAAGTGGGCTTTAACAAGCACACCCTAATGCTAATTGTATATAAATCTATTAAATCTTAATAAGTAAACATTTATTTACTTCTGTGGAAATCACAGTGAAATATCGGATTTGAGAAGGCACATGTTATAAATGAATAAATGATATTAAAAATGGATATATTCACGGCTATTTTGTATTTTCTGTAGCATTAATCATGTTAGTTACGGTATTGGGAATAAAAATCACTATTCATAACAATTAACATCTGTGATGTAAACATTTGTAAAAAAAAAAAAACACATGAAACTGGAGGGAGGCAACCTTTTTGACGAAGACTGTGAACAGTTCACAAAAGTCTTTATTCTGCGCTTACTTAGTGTCAGTCACATATTATCCATAAAAAGAAAACGTTGACGCCTTACCTATACACCTCTATGCTTTTACTGCAATTCTGTAATAAATAATAAAAGTACTGATTACAACCTTATTACACTCGTTATATTACAACCTAAGCCCCCTGGTTATATAACACTCGTTTACACTTGCTACAATTATCTAAATGCAGTCGTTATTTATCCTGTAAATATTTTCTGACAAGGCATTACGTTTTGATATTTCCTTAGTTTACAAGATAAAACAAACCATTTCATCTGTTTTTAACGTTACTTTACAACAAAAGAGCAATACCCTGAACGTTAAAGGCGTATCTCCACTGAAATTCAACATCATGCAAGCGAAACAACACTGATCCCGACATCTCACAAATTGTTTCCGAAGAATAAATGTAACGGCGCTTAACAATGAAAAATGTTAATAATGTGAATTTGAACATGCAATGAAAGGGAAGGCTAAAACTAGTACTACTTTAATGAAATGTCACCTTTAACTATATAAACATGTGCAAAATAAAACTATATAATTATTCTGAATTAGTTTGCCGCAAAGTAAACGAGGCAACAAAGCTGTCACATGTACAGACAAATAGCAAAAATAATGATGCTCAAAATATGTTATTTTGTCAATTTTGGTGCCATATTACATAATGTTTGACGGTAAAATCAACACCAAATATTAATTATGAGCAACAAGTAACACGGATATTACGAACATGTAACTAGCATTAGTCTTCAGGCCCATGAGAGTTCAAAGTCACATTTTGAAATGCCACAATGAGAAAAATGAACTGTAAAAAATGAATTGCTTCAGGAAAAATAATAGTCTAATCAAGCTGGTTTCCAATTAGAGGTATATGTCAGTCCTAAGAATCATTCTTGTTAATTACAAAATAATAAATAACACAGTTTTCTTTTCATATCGTTTGTGGTGGCAGTGCACAAAGTAGGTTTTATTTGAAGTGAATACCACATTAGTGTCAAAACACAAATAGTAGTCATCGACGACAACCTGCACCAGATCAAATAGAGGAATAATCTGGGAACCACTTGACTATCATTTGATAGGGGGCACCTTAGGAACAATTTTAGGTTGCACGGTGAGATTGTCAGTTCACACAGATCACTTTTAATAGCAGATAACTTACAGAACCAAGGGAATGAGTAGCTTCCTTGGCCATCAAAATCGCGATATTTGAATCTCACAAACAATATGTGGGTAGGCCATTACTCGCCAAATCAACGGCCTACATATTCTACAACAAAACTTGACCAAATTGGACAAGTTTTACCGATGCCTGGAATGTTATTCTAGACTGAATCTCGGCGGCACACCTTTAAATGGGTGGCGCCATTTTTGATCCGAGGATCTGTAAGTCAGCAAATCAAATTGTTCTGAACGGGCCATGAGTCTAAGTTATGACCTTGCGGTCTTGTCCTCCGCAAGGTGATATAAGGTTACTTGATATACGAGCACTCAAACAGGCGTATCAGTGTCAACTGTGATAAGACAATGTATACATGTATTAAAGGATACGAAAGGATACTCAACAACATTTGTCCTGAACAGGCTTACTTGTGTAGTGAAATCAAGGCTGGTTGAACACTCAGTACGTTGAGTTTATTGATAATTTTGGCACTTAGTCTTTTTTACACACGGTACTCTTAAATTAAATGTGCGCCGGTTACCTACTGTACACATTGTTTTTCTTCGTCTTCGTTCCAATTGTGCGGATGAAACATAGCACAGGCGCTGAGGATCTATGTCCCGATTTTGGTGTGTATCGAAAGATCATCAAATTGGGGCATAAAAGTAAGCTCAGCATCTGGGGAAAAAATGGGACGAAATCACGCCGGAGGAGAGCCAATGTGCATAGTGGTGCACATATCAATTAAAGTATACAAAGTAACTGTGTGTAAAAGAGAAAAAACAGAATAATCAATGTACTCAACGTACTTCGTTCTTGGAAGCTCAACCCCCCTTGAAATTAAAAATAAGGAATTAGCAAAATCATGTGTAGATGCATCTTCTTATGTTTTAATGGACGAAAGGCAGAGAACCTGTAAGGAATAAGAGATGCACATTGGGACAAACGCGCATGACTCACAAGGGGCGTCGGGCTGTGCGAAAGTCGATGTAGGGTCAGGCACTGATGTTCGCGGGCGTACATCACAAAAGATGTCCAATTGTGAGCACTTTGAGACAGAAACTGAGACTCGAGCTCCAGACGGGGGGTGGGGTTGGATGTGTGTTTTAGGATGTTTTACCGTGAATACTCTCGGAGTTGGCATGGACAGGACGTTTGGAGTAATCTACCTTATTCTGATTGATATGTTTGGTTCTAGTGCCAAATTGACAGGAGGGGTCTTGTCGGTATTTTCTACATGTCGCTATTGTCTAGGTGAGTACCTTCGTGACGATTGTAAAGTTACTTCGTGACAATATATATTTATACATGTAAATACTAGTTGCTGTAACAATCAAATACCACAAATAAGAAATGAAGCACACCATTCGCATTTATAAGTTAACAAGGAACTTGAACATAACAAGCTTCTACATATGTCGTACAAAAGCGAATCTTCAGGCTGTCATCTACTATCATTTTGCAAACCGAGCCCATTTTTGCCGCATGTTCTATATACTTAAGGTTTAAGCTTGTCGTTAGTTGATTACTTATCTTAATGTAATAAAAAATGTAAATAAAGTAAAAACCTGAAAACATGATTCATTGGTCATGAATGAATAAAAAATCAATTTTTTTTGTGGATAGGTCCAGTAAGCAGTTCCCTGGCCAATCTGTTCACAGCCAGGAAAGTGGTAATGAGCGGTGGTGTATTAAGCAGTCTGGGTCTGATACTTAGTGCCTTCCCACCAAATATCTACTACCTGTTCTTTTCTTTTGGACTAGTTGCAGGTAGGCTTCGATGGCATGCTTAAGGTTTGAAGACATAATTTCCATCTTTTGAAACCTAAACATCTCATAACATCCAGCACATTTTACAATGGTGGAAAATAAGATGGCGCCAGTTTGCAGGACCAAATGATGAATGCATTATTTGAAATACCATAAATCATTTGTTTCATTTTTCTTATATACATATGAAGTTATTATTACCCACGCCTGTCCATGGTGCTTGAATGATTATCATTGTTATTTTATAAAAGCTGAAGTATATGTCATGCTTTTCCAGGAATAGGAGCTGCTCTTTGCGCTACCCCTAGTGCAGTGATCGTGGGGCAGTATTTCCACAAAAAGCGTGCACTTGCCAACAGTATTGCCTCCATGGGAGCCGGGATAGGTTCCTTGGTTCTACCGCCGTTCCTAACTTATCTAGTATATCACTACGACTATAGTGGTCAGATGCTCATTATGGGGGCTATCATGCTGAACCAAGTGGTAGGCGGCGCCCTCTTTAGACCTTTGTTTCCCAAGAGAAACCATGAAGAACAGATACTTTCTACAACGAAAAGAAATGTTAAAGAATGCTCTAGAATTAATGGCAATCCCAAAACTATTCATGGAATGAAACAGTCGGAAGTTGGAGATGATAAGTTGGAAATGAAGCAAACTATTTTGGGTCACAAAAATTCATCAGCAGGAACAAGTGCATGCCCAAAATCACCGCCATATACATTCCCAAAATGTACACAGGAGGGAAAGCGTTCAAAAACATTTGGAAATCCTGTCAAGAAAAGCTCAATTTGGAAAACAAATGCGGTACTCCATGAACTACGCGTATATGGTAATCTTCTAAAAAATGTCCGTTTTCTGACCTTTGGGTTGAACTGGACTTGTCTAGCTATGGGTCCACCAACAGGACTTATGTTCCTTGGTGCAATAGCCGAGGAGCACGGTGTACCACGAAGTCAGTCGCCACTCCTTTATTCCATACAAGGTATATCTGATATTGCATCCAGGGTAATGGTAGCTTTTCTGTGTGACCGCACGTGGCTAAGACGGCGGCGACATCATGTGTACAACATCAGTTTTGTGATTTTGGGCGTTGTGCTATGTATTGTTCCAGAAGGAAGAACGTTTCCCCAGTTTGCTGCTTGTGCATCGTTCATGGGCATGTCTCAAGGGATGATCATGTCACTGAGCTTTACGGTGATTGTTGACGTCTTTGGTCCAGATTTGTTGAAACACACCTATGGGTTAGGTTATTTCTTTTATAGTGTTGGTACCCTGTGTGCACCATCAACGGCCGGTAAGTTAACTCTGTCGCTGGTTTGGATATGTTTATCTGTCACTGGTTTGGATATATTAATTTAAATCATCATTATACTGCACGAAATGCCACAACGATTAATTTAGTTTTCATCTCTGTTATAGATTTACAATTTTAGTTTAATAACATCTTTCTCTCTTCGACACTTTGAGCTGCCATGGCTACCTAAAAGTTTGGGAAGATAATAACGACACTAGGCACCCTTCAGATAAACTTTTATGTGTGGATTGTTCTCGTGTTTAGGGTCTGGATAGGATAGTATATGAAGAGAATTTGTAGAGTACCATTAACTTCCATAACAAAATAAAAAATTTACTTTTTTTGGAATAATTTAATAACCGTATTCCCTTTTTTCATTCAGGATTGCTCAAGGACGAATACGGGACGTACCGCTACCCATTTTATTTCGCAGGATAGTGGTGCTTCGCTGGAGGTGGTGCCTTTCTTCTGAATACCTATCTCAACAGGAAGGCAAGCGAAAACCAGGAGAGAAAAATAAACTTTTAGAAATTAAGAAACTATTATTTGTAATATGTTTAAGTTTTATTGAAAAAATACAAAAAAACAAACCTCTATCTCTTTAGGAAGAATGGGACAATATCCCACGGAACAGAGTTATCAATCTCGTTGAATGCAAGCTAGACCGCCTACGGGAGAAAATTGCACTATGCGGTAGACACACACGCCATTAGACAAGTGGGCTTTAACGAGCACATCCTAATGCTAATTGTGTGTAAATCTGTTAAATCTTATTAAATAAACATTTATTTACTTCTATGGAAATCACAGTGAAATATCGGATTCGAGAAGGTACATGTGATAAATGAATTAATGGTATTAAAGATGGATATATTCACGGCTATTTTGTATTTTCTGTAGCATTAATCACGTTAGTTACGGTATTGGGAATAAAAATCACTATTCATAACAATTTACATCTGTGATGTAATCATTTTTTAAAAAAAAAGCACATGAAACTGGGTGTGGATACGATTACTAACCACGTGTCGAAAAAAGAAGGTTCTACGTCTATCTTTTCATATCTTTTTATTTATGTAGAAGTAACGATTCCTTTCTTTGTCATGAAATGGACTTTTAACACCAACTTTTTCATTCATTCCTAAAGACGGTTAGATGTCCAAGTTCACATTGGCGGGTATCTAATCTTTTCTGTCGGAAGACGGTAAAAGATGGAAAATGGATCAACAAAGATAATTTGTAAGACTGTTAGAAAATATCTCTGGATCCGCCCTTGCTCCAGCTCCACCAGATAGATATTCACAGATGGCACTTTCGAATATGGCACTTTTTGCACATAATTAATCTGCGGCCCTGGTAGAGAGTAGACTTACATGGCCTGTTAGCGCGCAAATAATGGGCTCATAATTCAATTTTAGCTAGCCCATTCACCTCTTAACCCAGCTTAAATACCCAGTACAGGTGCATTTGCTGAAAGCATGTTCGCTTTTGATGGAAGTCTTTATTTGTTAGTTTCCGGATGATTATACGTCATAAAGCTTTACTGACGTCATTAATCACTCAGCAACTGGCGACTCATCAGTACCAGCTGGGGTCTTAAGGTCTCGTGCACAGGGACAAACAACACGGTTAAAACAATTTCGCCTTGTCCAGTGAAGTGATTAACGACGAAATGGCGGATGGAGACGTGTCTGTCCATGCTTTAGGGGAAGAATTGTGTCCAACAGACGGCGAAGGAGAGAAGTACATTGAAAAATGTGTACAGGATCTAGAGGGAGCGCCCGGCTCTGCTCGCGGAGAAGTATCAGAAGAGATGCCGGACTGTGTAGTGTCTCCGACAGAGACTCAAGCTCCAGACGGGGGCTGGGGTTGGATGTGTGTTTTTGGATGTTTTATCGTGAGCATTCTTGGAGCTGGCATGGACAGGACGTTTGGAGTAATCTACCTTATTCTGATTGATATGTTTGGTTCTAGTGCCAAATTGACGGGAGGGATTTTGTCAGTATTTTCTGCGTGTCGTTTGTGCCTAGGTGAGTCTCTTCATGCGTATTTCAAAAATAGTTTTATTTTAAATGTACCGGTTTATGCATGTACCGTAGCTACTGGCAACAAAAACCGCAAAAAGAAAGAAATCAGGCACCTCCTCGCATAAAAGGCCACATATATTAAATGAATATACTGCAACAACCAAACAGCATGGAAAAGAAGGAAATCAAGTACACATACCATTTGCATGTAAGTCTTTTTATGCGGAACCTCATTATGTTTTCACTTGCGGCGGCGCCAAGCAAGCTTAAGGTATACATTTTCATATTTTGCTATCAGTTTGCAAATCGAACCAACTTCACCACATGTTCCACTTGAATCTGACTTACAGCTTGTTGGTTAAAAGCACAAATTGAGCCAAATATGCTTGTAATTTTTACATCTTTTTAAGTAATGGAAAGAGGAGTGGTGAATTTCACTCGCACAGATATTTTAAACACGATAACTGGTTCATTATGAAAGAAATAACAAGTTTGTCATAAATTTGTTATGTATAGGTCCAGTAAGCAGTTCCCTGGCCAATCTGTTCACAGCCCGGAAGGTGGTAATAAGCGGTGGTTTATTAAGCAGTCTGGGACTGATACTTAGTGCCTTCCCACCGAATATCTACTACCTGTTCTTTACCTTTGGACTAGTTGCAGGTAGGATTTGGGCCCCTCCACAATGTATTTTTTGTACCTAGCTATTGCGCACTAACTCTACGGTGAGTCTTGTTGAGCTTGTTGATGACCTACTCAACTCCAAGAGGCGGCGTGATCGTCTGTTATTCGGATGGCATGTAGCGAGAGTCCCTGTTGTGAACGGTCCCATTGATTGCATGTTGCACCTTTTGAAACTTAAACATCCAACTAAATTCAAAATGCAAAATTAAATAAATAGATAAAGAAGTGAAGAAGTAGAGACTGTTTTCAGGACAGTATGAATTTGTCTTTCTTGTATTTAAAACATTAGTTTGATTACTTAGTGGTATTATCAAACACTCCTCTTCATGGTGCAAGTATGATGACCATTGTTATCTTATTATTGATGTTCAATATATGTCATGCCTTTCCAGGATTTGGGGCTGCTCTTTGCGGTACTCCGAGCATAGTGATTGTAGGGCAGTACTTCCATAAAAAGCGTGCACTTGCCAACAGTATTGCCACCGTGGGTGCTGGGATAGGTTCTCTGATATTACCGCCGTTCCTCACTTATCTGGTATATCTCTTCGACTACAGTGGCCAGATGCTCATAATGGGGGCTATTATGCTGAACCAGGTGGTTAGCGGTGCCCTCTATAGACCTCTTGCTCCCAGGAGAAACCATGACCGACAGGTTCGTTCTACAACGAAAAGCGCTGTTAAAGAACACAATGAATTTGAGGAGAATATTATTTTTGTGGAAAAATGCATGGATGATTCTCAAATAATTGATATAACGACAGCTGATAACTTGGAAGTAAAACAAACTTTTACGGAAAGGAAAACATCATCAGCGGTAAGAGGATCAACTGAATGCCATAAATTACGGCCCGATACCTTTCCAGAGAGTATACAACAGGAAAAGTGTTCACAAACATTTGGAAATCCTGTCAAGAGAAGCACAGTAGTGAGGAGAAATGCAGTACTCCATGAACTACGCGCATATGGCAATCTTTTAAAAGATGCTCGTTTTCTGACCTTTGGGTTGAACTGGACATGTCTGGGAATGGGTCCTCCAACAGGTCTTATGTTCCTTGGTGCAATAGCCGAAGAGCACGGTGTACCACGAAGCCAGTCGCCATTTCTCTATTCCATACTGAGTATATTTGACATTGCGGCCAGGATAATGGTAGCTCTTCTGTGTGACCGCACGTGGCTAAGATGGCGGCGGCATCATGTGTACAACATGGGTTTTGTGGTTTTGGGCGTTGTTCTATGTATTGTTCCAGAAGGAAGAACGTTTCTCCAATTTTCTGCGTGTGCATCGTTCATTGGCATGTTTCAAGGGACTATCATGTCATTGAGCTATACTGTGATAGCTGATGTTTTGGGACCAGAAATGTTGAAACATACCTATGGGTTAAGTGTCTTATTTTATAGTGTTGGCACTTTATTGGCACCATCAACGGCTGGTAAGTTCACACTGTTACCATTTCTGTCACGTCTGAATAATGATCTCACACTACTAGTATAGCAACTAAAGGGATAACAACTGTTCATTTTGGTAAAAAAAATAATGGATTTTCTTGAGGTACCGTAAACGGCAATTTTCCCACACTTACCAGCTGTTAATGAATCCGTTCCGACATCCAAAATTAGTCCACGTTTTTTTCTTTCAAGAGAGTTATGCAGAAAATAGCCTAGCTTTCATGGAGGTCATGTGGTCGGAAGGCAAGCACAGATTCAAGAATAACTGCGATAACCGCCGTTTTGGTGGTGAAAGATTAATTATTACAATGTATTTAGTGTGAAATGCGAATATCATACGAAGAGTTGTTATCTCTTTACATTTTTTACTTATTTATTAAACCTACTAATAGATTCACAATTTACTTGATGACTAACATACGTAAGTATAACACAAATATATTTTGTATTACGACCCAAATGAGTTGAGTGGGGATATCAACTGAACTCCACAGTCACAAAATGCCTCTACTGGAATATGTATACTGGTGTTAATCAAGAGGGTTTCAGATATTGTGTTTCTTTGGACATCACTGTGCCGTTTAATGTTAGATTATATCTTAATTTCTGTATCAAAATAAAGCTTGACTGTTGTTGAAATTATTTAACTACCATATTTACTTTCTGATTCAGGATTACTAAAGGACGAGTATGGGACCTACCGCTACCCATTTTATTTCGCAGGATGGTGGTGCTTCGCTGGAGCTGGGTTCTTTCTTTTGAACACCTATCTCAACAGGAAAACAAAAGCCAAGAGGGAAAAAGAAACTTTAAGAAATTAAGAAATTATCATTCTAATGTGCTGCACACTTCTGGAAATATCAACGGGTTTGTCACTTTGACTCTGCTCTTCTACATAGTAATTGCTTAGCAGGGAAATCAATAATAATATAATTTACATCAGAGATTCAATTAGAATTATAGATGAGTTTTGGTTTTGTTCCTGTGTAAGTTGTAATCCTTGACCAACAGCTGGAGGACAGAAAAGAGACCATAACAAGCACATAGTGATAAGCTGCCAGAATGCCAGGCAGGCCACAATACAAAAGTAAAATGATGCACATGGAACCAGTTTATTGAAAGACAAGGTTATATTATTATATCTTATTGTACAAATATTGACTCTGGCTTCGGAAGTGAATTATCCAAGCTTCAGGTCGATAAGTCGCCGAGATGACCAAATTAGAGAAAAAGGAATTAGACAACATTCTTCACCAAGAGTGTATATAGCTATCTAAGCATTTGATCAATTAATTGGAGTAGTGTTTTTTAATGGACAGGTGAGATAATAAGGTATTACTTGACTCTTATTCAATGCCTCCCATTGCAGCATATTGTGATCGGCCATCATATGCATGGACCTATACAATGGGGATTTGTCTGCTAACAGACACGGCTTTAGCATTTCATACTAGAAGTCAATAAGGTGTCTAGATCTTGTGTAAAAGGCCCATAATAATAACAGTTGAAAACCGTTAATAACCCTGAATATTAAGAAGGGTTGGATGGGACTTCAAGGGTCTGCCCTAAAATTGGGAGGGGACTGAATTTCCCATAATTAGTAACTGTGCATACCGCCAGTACTATCCTGGCGTGCGTTGGATTTTCAATTTTTTTTTCAGTTTTGTTAACATATAAGTACCATATAAGTGAACAGTAATTAAAATTTAATTACACAAAAGACAAGAAAGTTTTTTCGTCGGTTACGTCGCAAATACATGACAATTACATGTAGTTCAATCACAAAAATAATACTAACAGTAAAGTGTATACATCTACATGTACACCTGTAATCGTATTGATCTCAAACTCGTTGACATAACTTCTTTGAAGTGTTAAGACATCGGCTAATTGGTATTTTAACTTTTTAACTTTTAATTTAAAATACATCTGGTTTGTCGATCGCAAAACGTGGTAGTCAGCTTTTCTGTGCGTTGTTTATAATAGTAAGTTCACATTGGAGGGACAGTCAATTTGACAGCTTCAACATTTGCTAGTGATGTAGACAACTCACCGCTGTGATAAGGAGAAAGTTCCAATCTAAGTGCTCAAATCATGGCATGATGGCAAAGTTTATTGTACATCAGACCAGCTGCAGTTTTTAAGACATTTAATTTGCTGAAAGCGTGTGCTCTTACAGGGCCGTTCGCTGCAGGGAAAAGGCAGGGGGCGCTGCAGGTAAAACAGTGTCTTTATACGGTATATTATTAGCCTTTTCCTTTCTCTCAGTCAAGCAGAAGTATCTTATTTTTCCTTTGATCGGCGCCTTAATGAGTGCCAAAGGCTAAATATTTAACCTGCTTGTATGTACAAATAATTAATAGACCTTTTTTTTAGGCGAGCAATCCCCTCATCCCAGCATTTTTCTCAGCTTGTAAAGCCCTTGAAATTAATATTTTGGATATTATTTTCTTTGTAAAACTCGGCCATGAGAATTGTAACTCTCCAATTCCAGCGTCAGCCATTCAAAACCAAGATGGCAACGGTCATGGTGCAGTGGAATCAGATGGTTACCATGGAGTCAATCAGTTTGGTGTTAGAGGGGGGATAATGAGGTTGAGACCACTCAGCCTAGTGCTGTAGAGTATGATACCAATACTATCAAACCACTGGAACTGTCCATTATGCACTCGTAAAAAAAAAAAAACACGAAAATGTCCACTTTTGTTTATAAAAGACTTAATAGGTCGTAATACAATGGAGTTGTGTAATGCCCAAGGTGCGTGTACCACTAGTTCTGTCTTAAACTGTCACTAAGTTTACTTTTCGTGAAAATCAACACAACGCAACAGCAGTGTATACTGTTATAGCAAACAACTGTGAATATGCGAGTGAAATCAATACGGTCTGTCAACACACTGACCAAAATGTCACTGAAGGCGCCACTGCTAATAGCATCGAATGTTGTTTCGGCTACAGAACCCAGCTTGTCCCTCTGTACATGGTGTAGCCACAGGCGACCCATTCACTTACCGGTGTGACGTGACAGAGAGTTCCCCATGATAGAGAGTCCTCTTCCTTTCATTTGTGCAGGTAAGAGATGCCATATATTTTGACTCACTCTGGTCAGGCTAATCCTAACCATTATAACTAAATGGAGGGCGGACTTTCTGTTAAACGGACTCTCAGTTTTGTTACACCTGTACATTCGTATGTTGACCTCTACTCTAGTAAGTTGGTAAAGGCTCGATAAACGAAGGGGGTCGCCTGCAGCTAGGCTCATTCAATTTTTCAAGTTATATCATATCACATATTTGACTGCAAACAACCTCTCTGCGTAACGCCCGCCATTTCTGTAGCCGGGGACATATCTCTTACATGTATGACTCATTTGCATCAGATAATCAAACACAGATAAACGAATTATAAGTACTGAACACTACTTTTTTTCAGGGGACGTTATAATTACATTTTCAGATTATTTTTTCTACAATGCACCGCGGACACCAGTTAACCCCACAACCGAGAAATGACTTCTGAAATGCCAATCGATTAAAGGGATAATAACTCTTCGTATGAAATCTATATTTCACAATAAAAACATTGTGAATAACTCATAGAAATATAATATATTCTGTTTTAAGACGAAAACGGCAGTTATAGCTATTATTCTGATATCTGAGCTTGTCTTCAGATCACGTGACCTCCATTGATGGCTATACTCTGTTATAATCTCTTAAGAGATTTTAACAAAAAACCAAACTTTTTAGAAAAAAACCAGGGACTAACTTTGAATGTAAAAATGGATTCATTAACCATTGGAAAGTATGGGAAAATTGTTGTTTACTCCAGAAAAATTCATTTTTTGGCCAAAACCAAGAGTTATTATCACTTTAAAATATACCCACAAAGAGGATCTCAAGCATGCGCAGTATGAAATTTTAAGAAACAGTGAAGAAGTACTCACTGCGTTGTTTATTCTATGGCTGGCGCCTTGAACAATAGGATAATTGTACTTGTATTTCGCTAACACGTTTGCTTCATTGCAGTAAGCTGTTCGTTTTGTATTCATCACCTACTGCACTACTACACGCACTTAAATATCCTTATCAGTGTCAACTGTGGCCAGAAGATAACATGTCTGACATGAACAGGGACAACCACTAGTTTACGATCAGTGTTATCACTAAACAACGTTCTTTCTTTGAAAAAGTACCCCAGTGCAGTGAAATGACGAACGACAAAAAGGCAAGTAGTGACGTGCATTCCTGTGTTTTAAGGGATGAAAGGTGTGGAACCACTGAGGAGAAAGAAACGTACTCTGAAACCGAGACTCGAGCTCCAGACGGGGGCTGGGGTTGGATGTGTGTTTTAGGATGTTTTACTGTGAACATTCTCGGAGCTGGCATGGACAGGACGTTTGGAGTAATCTACCTTATTCTGATTGATATGTTTGGTTCTAGTGCCAAATTGACAGGAGGGATTCTGTCGGTCTTTTCTGCGTGTCGTTATTGTCTAGGTGAGTATCTTTATGTGTACCTGGATGTTTCAAACCGTTTTATCTTAAGTGAATATTCACGTACCGTAACTATTGGTATTCAAAGCACAAAAAGAAAGAAATCGAGCACCAGCTTTCACAAGTCTTTCATTATAATATCTTTACATACTCCGGCGCATCTCAGCAGGCTTGCAGTTCGTGGGCTTTCATCTTTTCCTATTCTTTTTCAAACCGAGGCTTTGCCGCGTGATATATTTATTGCTTGGCGTTAGTTTGTTTAAGGCGCAAAAATGTGCTAAAAGTTTATTTTGTGTCATTTTAAATAGCGAAAAGAGGACTAATGTATTTTACTTGCAAAGAAATTTGAAACGATCAGATTCAATAAACTGTTTAAAAAATTGATGTGTTTATCATGAAAGACAATTACTGTTATCTCATGAATTCAGTAAATTTGTTGTTGATGTAGGTCCAGTAAGCGGTTCTCTTGCCAATCTGTTCACAGCCCGCAAGGTGGTCATAAGCGGTGGTTTGATAAGCAGTCTGGGTCTGATACTTAGTGCCTACCCACCAAATATCTACTACCTGTTCTTTACCTTTGGAATAGTTGCAGGTAGGCTTTGATGGCAGGTTCAAGGTTTGAAGACATAAATTATTTTTTAACTTAAATATCTAACTTAACATCTATAAAAGTGGGAAATTATAAAGATGATGCCTGTTTTGTTTTTTCTTTCTTTTATTTGAAGTATAATAAATTCTTTGATTAAAATATATATATTTATATTTAAATTGATGACCAAACACGCCTCTTTGCTGTGTGATGATCATTGTTTAATGTCATACTTCCAGGTTTTGGAGCTGCTCTTTGCGCTACCCCTAGTACAGTGATAGTAGGACAGTATTTCCATAAAAAGCGTGTACTTGCCAACAGTATCACGTCCATGGGTGCCGCGATAGGTTCCTTGGTTCTACCACCGTTCCTCACTTATCTAGTATATCACTACGACTACAGTGGCGAGATGCTCATTATGGGGGCTATCATGCTGAACCAGGTGGTAAGCGGGGCCCTCTATAGACCGCTGGCTCCCAAGAGATACCACAACCAACAAATACTTTCCAAAACGAAAAGTAATGTAAAAGAATGCTCTGAACTTAATGACAATCCCAAAACTATTATTTCAGAAGGGGAACACACGGCCAATTCTCATACAATTGATATTACAACTGCTGATGAATTTGAAATAAAGCAAACTGTTATGGGTCACAGAAAATCAACAGCAGTGACAGGAACAAGTGAATGCCCGAAATCACCGCCAGGTATAATTCCAGAAAGTACACAAGAAGAAAAGTCTTCACAAACATTCGGAAATCCTGTCAAGAGAAGCACAGTAGTGAGGAGAAACCCAGTACTCCATGAGCTACGCGTATATGGCAATCTTCTGAAAGATGCTCGTTTTTTAACTTTTGGGTTGAACTGGACATGTCTAGGATTGGGTATGCCAACAGGTCTTATGTTCCTTGGTGCAATAGCAGAAGAGCACGGCGTACCACGAACTCAGTCACCACTTCTTTATTCCATACTGAGTATATTTGACATTGTGACCAGGATAATGGTAGCTCTTCTGTGTGACCGCGCGTGGCTCAGGACACAGCGACATTACGTGTACAACATTGGTTTTGTGGTTTTAGGCGTGGTACTTTGTGTTGTTCCAGAAGGAAGAACTTTCCCCCAGTTTGCTGCTTGTGCATCGTTCATGGGCATGTCTCAAGGAACGATCATGCCATTGACCTATGTGGTGATCGCTGATGTTTTGGGCCCAGATATGTTAAAACACACTTACGGATTAAGTGGTTTATTTTATAGTGTTGGTACTTTATTGGCACCATCAGTGGCCGGTAAGTTAACTTTTCCAGTGCTTCTGACACGGTTATTAGGTTCATCCGAGTCATGATAACACCAACATAAATTAAATTTTAATACTGTCACTGGACTTAAATTCATTCCAATTGACAACATAGGTTGCATCTCCCCATCGGCCCTGGGAGACTTGAAACTGTATGACAGGAATCGTAGTCCTAGGAATGGTAATCCGGGGTCCCATTTGGTTATTACAGGTTAGGGAAAGTCGGAATATTGGGGTTAGTATATGAGACTAATGTGATCTTTACAAAGTACTTGGGAACGGACTACGGTTAATAGCGGACTGCCGTCTCTGTCACACCGGTTTACAGCTAGGCCAATTAGACTAAATTGTAAGTCCGGAAATATATATAAAAGCTTCACTTATATGAAACTTGAGTGGATGACTAACCAAGGAATAACACAAATATATATATTTTTTATTTCCACCCAAAAGCGCTTAGTGCACTTATATTATTGGAACGCTACTGTCTGAAATGCCGGTTAATTGTCACGGAAATGCATAATAAAGAACGCTTATTATAAAAGCTTGAATATGTATAGTGATGTTAAACAATTATCGAGTTTAGGAGAGTTGATGTCTTTGGGTGTCACTATGCCGTTTTATATTTGATTATATTTTCAGCCTTCATTGTTTTTGAAGCCATATAATTATCATATTCACTTTCTGATTCAGGATTACTTAAGGACGAGTATGGGACGTACCGCTACTCATTTTATTTCGCAGGATGGTGGTGTTTCGCTGGAGCTGGCTTCTTTCTTTTAAACACCTATCTCAACAGGAAAACAAAAGAAACTTTTAGAAGTTAAGGAATTATTATTTTTAAATAACTAAAGGTCTGTTAAAAAGACAAGTTCGTCGCCGTGACTTGGTCATACACGGAGAAATAGCTATTCTTTTACCTCTGGCTATTTTTCTTTTCTATTCTATGAATATAGAGTGAAAAGAAAACGCTTTTCAAGCTATTTGAATTTATAACACGGTTGTGTTATACGTGTACAGGGTACATCGTATATTCACTTATAAATTCCATGCAAACCTTAATGGAGGAGGACATGTCAAAATTAAAAACAAAGACTGGGTCCCCATCCCTAGATCGATCTAACAGGATCGGTCCATCTCCACGAAGTTTCTCGATAAATTGCTTCCGGCTTTAGGGGCTTAGATGTCTGGGACGCCTACTAAAGCTGCTGAAAGATAGTTAATTACCCTCGTTCAGCTTAGGTAGGCGTGACAGACAACTAAGCCGCTGAAGTTAATTGCAATTAAGTGAGAATCCCCTCGTAGATAGGTCGATCCAAAGTTAGTACATATCGTTTGGGATTGGTCACAAAGCCTCTCCAGAGTACTACATTTTACTTCAATGTCATTTATGTCCACCCATTTAAAGTTGGCTGAAAATGGAAACCTAATGACGATTTCAAAATGGTGGAAATATTTCGGTCTTATTATAGCCATTAGGTCTTTTTGAGGTGTCCCATCAAACTCTGTTGCTGCACCTTGCGTGATCTGCTTCGGGCCAGTTCAAGTTCTGAGCGTTATGCAACCTTTCTAACTGGAAAATATAGTCATATTTAGGGCAACTAAAGTAGAAAGTAAGTTTGTCTGGAATTTTACATAGGCACCATGGAGAGATAGTACGCGAGAGAGCGTAGCGCGGTTCCAAAAATTATTCTTTAACGCGCTGTACTTATAGACTTATAAACTGATGTGTGTTGAAAAAAAGATGCAACAATTCCTGTTTTCCCTTGGCAAGAATGGGTTTATCTTTGTGAAGAAAAGAATTTACATAGGTGGTGAGTTGCTACGATGGATAATTAATTTTTGATTAGGTGCCCTAGTCTTCTAAAGTGTGTGTTTTATAGTTTTGTAAAGTCAGTTTCTGTGTAATGTGTATTAATGTGAGTAGTGAAGTCTGCTGCTTTTGCGTGGTGAGTAACTTAATTATATATCTGATATTATATATCTATAGTGTGTTTTTTTCTGTGAGTTGGGTTTGTCAGTGGATGTGTTGTTTAAATTTGTTATTCTGACTATTGTATGTTATTATATTATTATTAAATGTTACAAGGTAAGGTGTGCCCCAGGCAGGCCATCTCAAGAATCTTTCCACGATCACCAAGGTATACATGTTCCAAAATCTTTGAGAAAATAAAGATCCGTAAAAACCGTTTTTGAGTTTTATATGAAAGAGGAGCAAGAGAAGAAGCACTCAATCAGTCGGTCAGCAATGACAAAGGTCGTTGGAAAAGGCTCAGGAAATGTAAGATTATTTTCAAAAGTATAACATGCGAAGTGAGAAATCATTACAATAGTATCTTTCCAAAAAAGTTTATTTAACCGTTTGGATCTAGGGTTGAGCATCGAAATGCTTATACATGTAAGTACTGTTGGTTTTCCAATTCTTTTTTATGTGTCGCGTTTTAACGGAAATTAGTATACCTGTAAATTATGGGACAAATCTCCTATGACACAAATACTAAAACTTTGCATCAAACCTATCCCAATACACTAGCCTACCCAAGCAGGTACATGCCTTGGTCTAACGCATGCTGTCTGTCTTTAAATATATGTCATTTACTTAAATAATGTACAGTTTTGATAATAGTCTCTATCTACTACTACTCGTGGTGATTGGACCATGATATCAACAAACACTCAATGACTTGTGACTTATCAGTGCCACCGGGGCCAGGAAGAAACCTGTACAAGGGCAACAAGGACAAACAGCACGTTTCAACAATATCGCCTTGTGCAAGGAAGTGACAAACGACAAGATGGCGGATGGTGACGAGTCTGTCCGTGTTTTAGGGAAAGGAATGTGTAAAACCGACGACAAGGGAGAGGTGCAAATTGATTCACGTGTACAGGATTCACAGCAGACATCGGACTGTCCGAAAGCCGAAGCAGAGGAGATGTTGGGTTGTGAGCGCTTTGAGACAGAAACCGAGACTCTAGCTCCAGATGGGGGCTGGGGCTGGATGTGTGTTTTAGGGTGTTTTACCGTGCACATTCTCGTGGCTGGCATGGACAGGACGTTTGGAGTAATCTACCTTATTCTGATTGATATGTTTGGTTCTAGTGCCCAATTGACAGGAGGGATTTTGTCGGTATTTTCTGCATGTCGTTTCTGTCTAGGTATTTCTCTTCACTCGTATTTCAAATCATTTTATGTTAAAGATATCCAATGTAGGATTTTAATCTCATTTTTAAGTGCATGGATAGCTTCCTGTTGGAATTATCTAAGGGCAATTTAAACTTTTGAAACATCAAATGACAAGTAAATTGCCTCAATCAATATCGCACAAAATAATCATATTCGCCGTGCTTTGCCAAACTCGGTAGTCCGCCATCTTGACACGGTTTGAAACTACTGCGGTTCACGACACGGAGGTCTCGAGATATCTTGTACTCGAGTCAGTGAACGGCGTATCTGGAAAACCTTTACTTTTGTGTGAGTTTTAATCTTTGGCTTTTTCCAAAATTGTTACCGCATTAAAGAGAGCGTCAAGAAGGAAAAATTACAGTTTGGCAAACGGAGGAAAATGGTAATTCATTATGTATGATTTTTTCGCACGAAAATCTTCTTTTGGATACTGCACCTTTCAATGTACATACTGGAGCACCCATAAAGCTAAAATTTAAAAAAAATCTTTTAAAAAAAGAGAATGGAATCAAGCAATGCAACATTCTGTCACAACCACGGACGTTAAAAAGTTTTTTTTTTTTTGTTAATTTCACATAACGAAAAATAACCCCCTCAAAAATTAGTTTATTGATCATTAAAGGCAAATACTAGTATATAATAAATTTGTTGTGGACAGGTCCAGTAAGCGGTTCTCTTGCCAATCTGTTCACAGCCCGGAAGGTGGTAATAAGCGGTGGTTTGTTAAGCAGTCTGGGTCTAATACTTAGTGCCTTCCCACCAAATATCTACTACCTGTTCTTTACCTTTGGAATAGTTGCAGGTAGGTTTTGCTTGCATGAGGTTTGAAACACAATTTTGATCTTTTAAAACCTAAACATTCAACAGTATTCAAAATTATTTTAAAATGAGGATAAATAAGAATCATGCATGTGTTTCTTTTCATTGAAGCAATGACACACCTGTTGTTTGGTGGGTCCTAATTAAAAAAATTTATAAAAATTATTGGTTGGAATTTAAAAAAGAACAATTAAAGCCCTGACTATTATTATCCAATAGGGTTGTATGTCAGGTATGCTATTTCCAGGATTTGGAGCTGCTCTTTGCTATACCCCGAGTACAGTGATTGTAGGGCAGTATTTCCACAAAAAGCGCGCACTTGCCAACAGCATTGCCTCTATGGGTGCTGGGATAGGTTCCATGATACTACCACCGTTCCTCACTTATCTAGTATATCACTACGACTACAGTGGCGAGATGCTCATCGTGGGGGCTATCTTGCTGAACCTGGTTGTAGGCGGCGCTCTCTATAGGCCTCTTGCTCCCAAGGGGAACCATAACCAACAGATACTTTCTACAAAGACAAATAAAGTGAAAAAATGCTCTAAGCTTAATGAAAATCACAAAACTGTTATTTTAGAGGGGAACCCCATGGCAAATTCTCAAACAATTGACATTACAACAGCTGATAAATTGGAAGTAAAATCAACTAATATGGGTCACAAGCAATCAACAGCAGTGATAGGAACAAGTGATTCCTCAAAATTACCGCCCGATATATTCCCAGGAAGCACGCAAGAGGAAAAGTGTTCACAAACATTCACTATACTCTACATGAAAAGCACAATATGGGAGAGAAATGCAGTACTCCATGAACTACGCGTATATGGCAATCTTCTAAAAGATGCTCGCTTTTTGACCTTTGGGTTGAACTGGACATGTCTAGCTGCGGGTCTTCCGACAGGTCTTTTGTTCCTTGGTGCAATAGCAGAAGAGCACGGTGTACCACGAACTCAGTCGCCGTTCCTTTACTCCATACTCAGTTTATTTGACATTGCGGCCAGAACAATGGTAGCTCTTCTGTGTGACCGCGCGTGGCTAAGATGGCGTCGACGTCATGTGTACAACATGGGTTTTGTGATTTTGGGCGTGGTGCTATGTATTGTTCCTGAAGGAAGAACGTTTCCCCAGTTTGCTGTATGTGCATCGTTCATGGGCATGTCTCAAGGGACGATCATGTCACTGAGCTATACGGTGATAGCTGATGTTTTGGGACCGGATTTGTTGAAACACACCTATGGGTTAGGTTATTTCTTTTATAGTGTTGGTGCTTTATTGGCACCATCAACGGCCGGTAAGTTAACACAGTCATTGGTTCCAACATGTTAATTTAAATCATGCTACTGATAATAACACAATACATTCAAGTTTTCATATATATTATAAATACACTTTAGTCCAACGACCACGTTGGCATAAATGTTGGAGACCGAAGCAGGTTCACTGAGAATACAGGTCTATCCAGTTATATGCTAAGAAACTTTACTGAAGTAAAACTGAACAAAGTATAACACAAATATATTATGTATTTCCATCCATTAACGCTGGGTATAAACAAATAAGTATAAGATCTACAGTCAGGAAACCGGCCAATGGACGTTTTTTTTTCTGAAAGATTTTACATGTTTAGCGATGTTAAATAATTGGCGAGTTGACTTCTGTAGATGTCATTGTGTCGTTTTATGTTACTCGTAGATTATATCTTAACTTCCGTTTCAGAATAAAACATAAGCCGTTTTTCAAATTATATAATGATAATACGTGTATCCCTTTCTGATTCAGGATTACTGAAGGACGAATATGGGACGTATCGCTACTCATTTTATTTCGCAGGATGGTGGTGCTTCGCTGGAGCTGGAGTCTTTCTTTTAAACACTTATCTCAACAAGAACACAAAAGCCAAACAATTTAGAAAAAAAGGTCTGTTTTAAAAACAATTTCGTTACTGAGTTTCTTGATCTTACGTGGAGAAATAGCTTTTCATGTACTTATGGTTATATTTGTATTCTTTTGAATGTATTCAACAAGAAGGCAAACAAAAGTAAAAAAATAAAGGCAACTTAAAAGAAAGGAATAAATTAGACGCAGGGTTGTTGTAAAACCAACAGTTTTGTTTGAAACACTGGAAAGCACAGGAATATGTAGACTATCAAAAAGGTATAATGACAAATTGCCAAAGGGTGCACATTTTTTTACCCAGATATATATTATAAGGGTTTTAAAGATATGTAAAATACTGGGAATTAAACAACATTTGGTAATGGCACTTTTAAGGCAATGTTTCCCTTAAATTCGTGTGACATTGGTAGCCGTCTTGGGTTTTTTCAAAATGCCCAAGGATTCGTGCTTGTCACTCGTCACATATGTATTTTGATGGTTTTAAGGATTATAAGAAGATATTAGAAAATAAAATTATCTGAGATTGCCCCCTGGCAACCTGGCTATAATGGAACCATTCAAGATACAACCTAAAAAAGAATAACAGCACGAGTTGGTCGGCGCTTCCTGCGATTATAGGAGTCTACCAAGGCGTGTGAGAAAATGCTTGAGGTGGGGTGGACTTTTTGGCAATGAAGATGAAACCCAAGAAAAAAATGACACGCAAAACATGGTGAATACTGATGTACAATACACTGTAAGTCGGCAGTGATAAATCACACACCTCACTTATCTGCAGGTCTGACTTGGCTACATATGGCCTCAAAATCCCACAAAATCTCGCTTGATTTGCAGTAGGTCAAGAGACTTTGGGCTATTTCAGATACTTAAGTGGTACAAGTGGCACACATCAAGATATGAGGACTAATCCCCCTATCTATCCCCCCCTCCCATGTACGAAATGTCAGAGAGGATCGCGATATGATTACATGCAATGTGATTGCAGGATTTATCCGTGTCAGCCTGAAGTTGGAGCTGATATTAGCCGCCCTCTTGGTCATTTCATTCACTCACGGTTTCTGTTTAGACAAGCTTACTTATTTCAGGACATGGAAAATGGCAAAACAGTAAAAAGTATTTTGCCTATTCAAGCACTTGGAGAGGACTTGGTAGAAACAGATGGCATTAAAGAAACACGCGCTCATGCACGTGCTCAGAGTTCAACAAGTGCTGCGGTTGTGATGACAGCCGATTTAGAAGTGGGCACTGGTGCACGTGCTGAGACATTAGACAGAGGGTCTGGCTGTGCTGGTTTGGGGACAGAAACAAGTGACGAGCCAAGTTTTCCGGCTCGAGATGGGGGGTGGGGGTGGATGTGTGTTTTAGGATGGTTAACCGTAAACACCATAGGGGATGGCATAGACAGGACGTTTGGAGTAATCTACCTTATTCTGATTGATATGTTCGGTTCTAGTGCCAAATTGACAGGAGGAGTTTTGTCGGTATTTTCTGCATGCCGTCACTGTCTAGGTGAGCGTCTTCAATGATTATTCCCTGAGGGACATATTTGATGAATAATTAAAACTTCTTAACGATATTTATACTGCTGATATAACTTTAAAATAGAAGGAAAATGGCGTGTTAGCAAAATTGAATTTCTCGGTGGGAACATTTTAAAAATCCATATTTAAGAAAACTTTCAGTGGTGTTTTGTAACACTGCACCACTTTCTGCTAATATTTAAAGAATAATTTATATGTAATATAATGTGTATATCAGACGAGAAATAATGTGTTGTTGGTAGGTCATGATTATTTATCAGAACAAGAACAGAGTTTACGTTAAACTTTTCGCTGATTTTCGTGCTTGAAGGAATGACATTCATCAGACTATCGAATTTATATCGTCGGTAGGTCCTGTGAGCAATTCTCTTGCAAATCAATTCACAGCGCGGAAGGTGGTAATAAGCGGCGGCCTGTTAAGCAGTCTAGGGATAATACTAAGTGCTTTCCCACCAAATATCTACTACATGTTCATTACCTTTGGACTAATTGCAGGTAAGCCTTAAAGACGCAAGTACGCTCCCGCTCGTGTATGCATATGTAGACGAGAAGAGTAAATTATCGACCCTTACGAATTGTTTTTTACATATATTCACTTGCAAACCCCTGGATCTCTCCCCTGTAAATTATACACACTTATCTCTTACTTTTAGCAGCCCCTTTTGCTCTTTTCGTTATATACTTGAAAATCTGTCCTCTCACTTTTGGTTAACCTTAAATAAATGTTGTAATTACGACACGCTCCCTGTAACTTTTTATTTTTGAAGCGCAAGTAGCTAGATAAGTGTTATTTTGCAGGAATTGGAGCTGCTCTTTGTTACGCGCCCAGTGCATTGATCGTCGGCCAGTCTTTCCACAAGAAACGTGCACTTGCCAACGGCATTGCCTCCCTTGGTTCTGGGATAGGGTCCTTGGCTTTACCACCGTTCCTCGCTTATCTTGTATATCATTACGACTACAGTGGCCAGATGCTCATTATGGGGGCTATCATGCTGAACCAGGTAGTAAGCGGGGCTCTCTATAGGCCTCTGGTCCCCAAGAGAACTGTCAAGACCATTTCTGAAAAAGATGCCAAGAGGACGCAGAAAAAGTTAGAAATGAAACAAATGAATAAGGAAAATAACGAGGATGAAACAAGTCAATTACCGTCGCAGCTATTTGCAGAATGTACTTTGCTGGAAAGTTGTTCACAAACATTTGAGAATCACGCCAAGGAGAACACAATTTTTGAGAGGAATGCAGTACTCCAAGAACTGTGCGTATATGGCAATCTCTTAAAAGATGCGCGTTTTCTGACTTTTGGATTGAATTGGACATTTCTTGCAATGTGCGCTACGACAAATGTTATGTTCTTTGGTGCAATAGCCGAAGAGCACGGTGTCCCACGAAGTCAGTCGCCACTTCTTTATACCATACTGAGTATATTTGACATTGCAACGAGGGGAACTCTTGCTTTCGTATTTGACCGTGATCAGGTAAGATCACTGCGGCACCATGCTTACAACATCAGTTTTGTCGTTATGGGTGTGACGCTTTTTCTCACTCCAGAGGCAAAAACGTTTCCCCAGTTTGCGGTGTGTGCATTGATCATTGGCATCTCACAAGCGGTCATCATGGTGCTCACCTTTGTGGTGATTGCTGATCTATTTGGCCAAGATATGCTGACGCATACTCTTGGACTTGGCCTGCTGTTTTACAGTTTGGGAATTTTAATGGGACCACCAATTGCCGGTAAGTACATGCGACGACGCAACTCGCTTTCTGATCAAGACTGCAATTATATTAGAGCACACAATTAATTTCAATTTTTCATGTATAGAAAGCAATGCACCAGTAAATATTTTTTTATGAAGCGAAATCAATTGCTTCACCAACTCTCCAAAACAACGCTTCGTGCCAGGGAGAATTTAAACCTGCATCAGTGTCATGGCATTAAAAAATACTAGGGTCTTGTCTCTGAAAATTGTTCACGTCCACCTCTGGCGTTCCGTAATAGATCACATTTTGTCAAGACTTTATAAATATAATTATTTGAAACTGAATGAGTCCAATTTAAAAAAAATATGTTAGCTACTAATATAACACTTACTGTCTGATTCAGGATTGCTAAAGGATACATACGGGACGTACCGATACTCATTCTACTTCAGCGGTTGGTGGGCTATAGCTGGAGCTGGGATGTTTCTTTTGAACACTTATCTCAGCAAGAGGGCAAGCAGACGTAAGGAGATGGAATGAGTAATCTAAATACCTGCTGGAAAATCAACAATTTGCTCTTTTCTTCTATGGACTTCTCCAGAAAAATAGGACCAAGATAAAAACATTGACAGCATAGATTTTATGCTATTCGTCGTTTATTGTTTTAAAAAAATACATAGAACAGCTAGGAGTGAAACAAGTTGTTAGTAGTACATGCAGTTTTGGCTTTGTCATTCTCCAGCAATAAAGGTATCCAAGCCACAAAAATATTCACAATACGTCAAAACATATTTGACTTTGTTGAATGGTTTTAACTCATAATCATTCATATCATACATGGGCAATATCTGTTTATGCATGCATACATGTACATTGCATAAAGGTGGCAATTCATTAATTCGCTATTCTAGCATTATATGCTCACCTTTAAAAAATTACAATACATGGACTCCTAACTATTACATAAATGGGCCTAATAGTTATGATGGGAAAACATTTAAGAGAGCTCACTGCTGACCATTTATGATTATATATATATATATATATATATATATATATTATAAAGTAGAGATTTAAACATCAAATCTACCCAAGCACAATTAAGATATAGACCCAGCAAAGAGTTAAGATCTAAGGAATTACTTGAGTGATGCAACACCTAAGCAGTACTTCTGTTCTAGGTTGAGATTGTTCAGTCAGCGAATAGATAGGTACCAATGGCATAACAAATACCCCGCTTGCGTTTGTATGGGTACTTTATGCCTTGAGCAGAAAAGCAGCTACCACCCTAGCTTTTTCCCCAGCTTACAACTATCCAACTTCTTGATTGATATGGTCCCTTATAGTATAACCTCTTTAAAATGTTTTATCAGTGTCACCTGTGTTCAGAAGATAACATACATATACGTAAAAGGACAACCAGTGAGGTCATTTGATTACTCAGCCACATTCTACCGTAAGAAGCAGCCGTGGGCGGAAAAGAGCAAACGAGAAAATAACGCAGCAACATGCCTTCCCATATCTCAAAGGGAGAAGTGTGTAGTACCAACGTAAGGGTAGAGATGTATATTGATTCTTGTGAACAGGATTCACAGAGGACGCCAGGCTGTGCGAAAGTCGATGCAGAAGCAGGTGCTGATTCTCGCGGAGAAGTATCAAAAGAGGTGTCGGATTGGGTGGGCTCTCGGACAGAGACTCAAGCTCCAGAAGGTGGATGGGGGTGGATGTGCGTTTTAGGTTGTTTAACAGTTAACATCCTGGGATCTGGCATGGACAGGACGTTTGGAGTAGTCTACCTTATTCTGGTTGATACGTTTGGTTATAGTGCTAAGTTGACAGGAGGGATCTTGTCGGTATTTTCTGCCTGTCGATTCTGTTTAGGTGAGGCTTTCATACTTATTGCAATATGATTCAAATAATACATGAGCGACGAACAAAGTTTTACATATGTGAAACGTGTTTTGTTTAAAAACAACAAGAACAGACTTCATAAACAATAATTGCCGTTTGCGATCTTGAGCCACAGATTTAAGAGCGCGAACGCACAATTAACGACTGAAACCACGATTAGTCTACGATAGTATACTAGTCACGCTCTCATCGAGGTCATCAGCTGTTTACAGATAATTTTATTTCTCAACCCCAAACTATTTTCAACACTGAAGTAATGCTTTCTCGACATTCTCCGGCATATACGTAATACGGAACGCACCGAACGGGTAGGTAAGCGTATAAACCGTTCGTGGTTTGAAACACGGTGCTAGTGACCAATACTTTCACGTTCGCGCCATGATATCGCGGATTGTGTCGATAATTTGACGTTCCTGCTAATAACAAATCCTAGGCTCGAGATCGCAAACGGATCAGTCGTTTACAAGGCCTGAAGAAGGCGGCAAATAACGCCTTTGCATTAAGAAGCATCACGGAACCTCAATATGAGGAAGCACAATAAAACATTCGTTAAAAGAACAACATTAACAGTTTGCAGATTACTTGTTTTTTATTACCATTCTTGGCTGATTTTTGTGCTCAATGCAGTATTATATAAAGTACTCTTTATTGACAGGTCCGGTAAGCAGTTCCCTGGCCAATATATTCACAGCCCGGAAGGTGGTAATAAGCGGTGGTTTATTAAGCAGTCTGGGTCTGATACTTAGTGCCTTCCCACCGAATATCTACTACCTGTTTTTTACCTTTGGAATAGTTGCAGGTAGGCCTGAAAGAGGGTACAAGCGTGTGTTTGCATAACGTTAGAGTTACTCGGGCCTAGGAATTGTACCACCAAACATACTTTTTAACACACACTGAATCTGGTAAAAAGAGAGAACCTGACTTTTTGTTTTAGTTTTTCTAGAGGCACAAGGGTGGACAGTAGTTAAAGAAATCGTGTGAGGTAATTTCAAACAATGTTTGTAAAAAAGAAAAAAATGCCTATCTGAACTTTTGAAAGATTTCAAACAGATCTCCCTCAGCTGAAGCGCTATCAACACCGTTTTTACGTCTCATTTCACAAAACAAAAAACACGACAATCCACCGGTGCCACGGAATTTTGTTGAAAGGCTTACTTTTGATTTTATCAGGCGAAATTATGCCTTTGTTTATGAAACATCGTAACTAAGGGCTATATATTATATTTCCTTAAAATTTAACCAAACACTGGCACCATATCGTAGTTCACCCCCTAGACGCTGACCATGCCAATTTTCCTGATAATTTCAAACTTATTTATTTTCGTCGAAAACCTATCACCATCTCACATCATTTATATGGCAGCACATTTACGCTCGGTTACCCTTAAACCCCCTTTACACTAGATGGCGTTCTTTCTGCGACGATGAAAATGCCACCGCTGTGGTCGTAGAAAGGAGGTACAAGCAATGCTTTGGTTGCAGAATGAATGCACAATGATCAGCCAGTGTAAAGGGGGCTTTAGTGCAGAAGCGAGTAGTGTGGTGATTTAAGCGAAAAATAAGGGATCCTGCTCTTAAACCCTAATTATTTTTTAAAACAATTAAAATTATGCTGATACGGATATAAGTATATCAAATAAAAGAAACGGACAGAGAAAGTTATTTTGCCAAACGTAGGTCTTTTTAATAATATACCCTCAATAGGTTTATTTGTGATAATACATCTTCCAGGAAGTGGGGCAGCACTTTGTTACACACCAAGCACTGTGGTTATTGGTCAATATTTCCACAAGAAACGTGCACTTGCCAACGGTATTGCCTCCGTGGGTTCTGGGATAGGTTCCTTGATATTACCACCGTTCCTCACTTATCTAGTATATCACTACGACTACAGAGGCCTGATGCTCATCATGGGTGCCATCATGCTGAACCAGGTGGTAAGTGGAGCCCTCTATAGACCTCTCGGACCTATGACTCCCAAGGCAAACCACGAACGACAGATAATTCCTTCTGATGGTAATGACCATGCTGAAAGCGCCACTATAGCAAGTACGTGTAAGTTCAAAGGAAATTATCAACCCGTTGACACAAAGAAAGAAGAAAACTTGGAAATGGTCCAAACGAGTAAGAAAAGTGTCAAATCACAGGCAGAGGATGGATCATCTGAATTTCTCGAATTACCCGCCATGGTATTTGCAGGAAGTGTTGTGCTGGAAGGTGCTTCACAAACATTTAAAGACCCAGGCCAGAGGAACACAATTTGGGACAGAAATGCAGTTCTAAATGAGCTATATGTATATGCAAATCTGCTGAAAGATATAAGTTTTCTGAGCTTTGCAGTACATTGGACATTCCTGGCTATTGGCGCTCTGTCGGGTCTGATGTTCCTTGGTGCAATAGCCGAGGAGCACGGGGTACCGCGAAGTCAGTCGGCAATTCTTTATTCCATACTGAGTATATTTGACATCGCATCCAGGATAGCGGATTCTCTTCTCTTTGACCGCGCGTGGCTCAGAACACAGCGATGCCATGTATACAACATTCTTTTGGTCATTTTGGGCGCGGTGCATTGCCTACTCCCAGAAGGAAGAACGTTTCTCCAGTTTGCGGCATGCGCATCTTTGATAGGCTTATTACAAGGAGCAGTTATGGGGCTATTCGTTGTAATGCTCGCTGACGTATTAGGCCCAGCTATGCTGAAGCATACATTGGGACTTGGTCTCGTGTTTTTTAGTGCTGGTACCTTAACGGGACCACCAGCTTCGGGTAAGTTGATAATGCAACATGTCAAATTAAGATATATGAAGATGGAACCCACATCATTCCCATTCAGATACAATGTAGTGACACAAAGATCATCTTACCGTGTTAATAATTAATAACCTTTATAACTGAACTTCAAATACATTAAGGTACAGCCAATGAAGAAATACAAAGAATATGCATATTTACACTTCCGAACTTGTTCTTTCTTAATGTTCATACATGTACATATATTATAATATAAGGCAATATTATAAATTTTTAGAGGGGGATTGTACAATTTGATATAAGACTTTTCTTTTTCAGGAAATCTTAAGGACGCATACGGGACGTACCGTTACTCATTCTACTTCAGCGGCTGTTGCTGTTTTGCTAGTGCTGGCTTCTTTCTTTTGAACACTTTTCTCAACAAGAAGTCATGCAAAGATCCGAGATAGATTTTTCTCATGATGAAGGAATTTACATGTGACATTTTTAAAGGGGGAAAGGGGTGGGGTCTGTTGTAATGGGGCCTACTAATCTGTCGATATGAGATTTTAAAACTTGAATTTTTTTAATAGCTAAGCTAGTAATTAAGTTGTTACAAATTATTTTTAAAATAATAATAATAATAAATAAATAAATACATAAATAAATCACAAAAAGGACCCTGAAAAAAGACTGAAGTAGCTTACTAGTTTACATCATACGATGTAGGTCCATCTTTGTAGGGCCAATTAATTGGACTACACAGGTCTGCAGTTAGTGTATTTCTTTTTTTTTTTTTTTTAAGCCCGTGGAACGTTTTTCTTTTTACCACTTTCATCGCCGCTGAACATTGTCTAGTAGGCATACAATTTTTGCAGAGTTGACTGTAGTGAAATTGGGAATGAGCCACATCCTACGTCAACATGGCATGCGTTAATTTCTTCTTCTTCTTCATAAGCCATCACCAGTGCGGTGTTTGACGAACGTTGATATTTGCCAAAGGTTTCTGTTTCTCGCCACTGACCAAAGGTATTTTGTTGGAAATTCAAAATTGTCCAGGAAAGTATTTCGTTGTCTGCCTCGGGCACTTATGCCGGGTATTCCACCACTAAGGCCAAGATTCTCCAATCCCTCTTTTCTGATGGAATGGTCCATGAAATTTAGTTGTCTATCTCTAACTGTATTGAGGAATTTGTATTTTTGGTCAACCCGTTAAAGACCTCTCCATTGGTAACGTGATCAATTTAGGAGATTTGGAGAATTTGCCGGTAGAACCACATTTCGGCTGCTTCCATGTTGCGTTGAGTTTCGGCTGGCAAAGTCCATGATTCACAGCCATACAAAAGAGTTGACCAGACATAGGTGTTGAGAAGGCAGATCTTTATCTTAAAGGACAGACAACGATCCTTGAAAATTGGATGAATGCATTTTTCGTGTGACCAATTATTCTTGGAAATTGTGTCTTGCAACAGGCGTTGGATGTCAACAGGATCCGAGATAGTTGAATGAGGAGACCTGCTTAATGGGAGTGTTCCCGTGAAGAAATCCGCAAGGTGGTGCGACCTCTGACTTTGAAACCATGTTTTTTGTTTGTTTGTTTGTTTGTTTGTTTTCTTGCTGTTGACATGTAGTCCAAGATGTTCGCTGTGCTTTGTGTGTAATGGCAACCAAGCACTGCAATTAACTGTGTGGGATTAAAGTTATTTTTACTACAATACGGTTCTACCCCACTACCTTGGATGTGAGCGGATGAACTCCATTTCCCAACTAACGCAATTGGTGCTGCAATTTCCAAGATAAGCTGTTTTTTTTATTTATTTATTTATGTTTTATTTATTTATTTATTTATTATTATTTTTATTTATTTATTTTTATTTATTTTTTTTTTTTGCATAACGAAGTCTACATGTATCAGAATACAAAATTATTGACAGCAGCAATGTGCCAGTTATTTCCTATACAATAACTGTATTTTCTTCTTATGATTTTAATCGTTATTTGGCTTTTCTTGTGTCCGAGAGTACTGCCTCACATTGAGTTTTCTAACATTGGACCGTAAAAAAACGCCGTGAGTAGATGTTTTTATTCTCCTAAGACTTCAAATCTGCCTGCTTTGCACATGCAAAACCAAGAGTGATAAAGCACAATATTCTTTTAACGGAACTGCTAATGTTTTTAACTACAGCTCGGTTACAGCAGGTGTTACAATTTAACCTGAATTTTACATCTTACTTTACCCTTATTGATCTGTTTTTGATTTTACATGCAATAAATCGGTTCTTTGTTATTTTTCCAGAATGGAGGGAGAGTTGAAGTGTAATTTTAAGAAGTGTAGAAAAGGATTGAACGCAATTGCTTATGTCAGTACTAATGCTAATGGAATTTTTTAAAAATCGAGTTGATATGGAGTCGTAAATAAATGCGTAATCAAATTGTGTAAAAAGAGAGAGGGGGGCGTGTAAAGAGACTCAAGAATTGAAAACTGTGGAGATGAATCTTAAAATGAATCAATATTCTAAGAAATATTTTGAAATTTATATATATATATATATATATATATATTTCAGGTTACATCATGTTCACGTATCCTTTGAAATTTAATAAAATAAGATGAGTTAATAGGAAGATATGTAATTATTATAATTTGTATTGCTTAGAAGTACAGCACATATACAGGGTGGGGGTTAACTTTTGTTCACTGAATATTACATTGCATAATTGTGTAATCAATTGAATATATTCTTCCTAAAGAAATTACAGATATATTTTGTGATGAAGATGGAACAAGGGAATTTGCAAAAATTCTTCAGTGTCCAGCCTGTAAGTAAAAGTAGTAATTCCCTTAACTTAAGTATAATGTCAAATTGAATGAACAATTATTGCAGTCTAGAATAATCATTTTACATTAAGCTCAGCCCGGTTGTATTTTCAGGTGAGACTTCCCTTCCCAACAAACATGATATTCTCAGGATTGATCTTCATCCCCCAGAGCAGTATAAAAGTGCAAGTATACCAGTTGCATTGAAATTTATTCAACAATGTTTCTGTCTCTGCTCACCCCTAGAGCTAGTAGAACAGGGTGACCTGGATTTCTTTGCTTTGTATCTACTGTTTCCCACTTTTTCCCTTTAAAGAAATTAAGTTTTTGCAATCTACACTTTGGAAAAAAAAAAAAAAAAAAAGGTTTTAGTGAATAAGTTTGAGTCGGTGGGCTGAAGTGATAGCAAAGAAAAGTGCTTAAAAAGATGTACGAGATTGTGTTTGGTGAACAGAGGTATTGCATCTTGTTGTGACAAATTCTTCAAAGTTCCAAATGTTTTAGTGCATGGGCATTTTGCATTTCCTTATTATTCATTCCATGCTCCTCTAAAAATAGTATAATGTATCATAAGAAGTCACAGAAAACTTTTACCCTTTAAGATGGTTTTTGTGTTAATAGATGGTTTTAGCAGGTCAGAAGCCAGACACAGTGGTTGAAGTGATGTCCAGGGCCATCTCATTCTGGACTTACCAAGTAAGTGTAGACCTGAAATGGAATTTATTCAGGAAGGAGTGAATTCATGCATTAAATTCCTCTGATAAAAAAAACATCTTTTTGGATAGATGTTTTGAAACTGATAAAGTTTATTGTTCAGTATAAGTATGACTGATGTTATGATGGTCTTTGTGACTGGCCTCTCTTTTAAAACTAAATTGATATTTAATTAAAAAGGACATAAAGCATCACATCCAAGTGCGGGGATGGATTAAAGAATGGTTAATGAGAAGGAGCAAATTTTTTTCAAGGGAATTTCCATTTTGGGATAAAAACACAGGAAGGATGCCCTTAAGAAAGCTAGTGAAGAAGTTTTGCACATGAATTTGTTTTCAGACTGATATAGAGAGAAGTCACCTTGAAAGAATGGCTGCCCAGGCTAAAGAAAAGGCAGAGAAATTGGAAGGATGGTATGAGAAAATTGTTGCCAGGCAACAGGCTGAAATAGAAGGTACGTGAAACAAAGTAAAACAATAGTAGGCAAAGAATAATAATAAATGGGATTTTCTTTATAAGCACTGAAATGACTTTTGGTTGAGCAAAACCTTTGTCTTTCCCTTTGCATTTCTCCGAGTTTGTTTTAAATTTGTGTTAAATGCATTTGGTTTAAGAGACATAACAAAGTGAGAAATTTGATAATGTCGTCTTTACTTTGTGTTTTTATTTGTTTTCAGCTTTGAAGGTGCAGCTTACCAGTAAGTGATGACGTTTAAACTGAATTTTGGGGTTTTTTTTTTAGACTTTAGTTATGGTATATGTTTCTCTGTACAATCCATCATTTTATTATTATATTATTATTATTTTCTGTATTGTTTAGTTGTACAATTATCTTACAATTTCTGTTCTTTTCCTTTTAAAAACCAATGTTCATTCCTTTTAAAGCAGGATTTGAATGAAAATGAAGCTATATAACTGTATTTTTTCCTTTTCTGGCTCTTACCATCCTTGATACTAAACAGATACCCCTCCCTGATTAGTGCTTTAACTTGACATAAAATAGAAGTGTTGATTCTGCTTTTTGTGCTTTGCAGATGCCAAGAAAGAAATAGAAAGCTTAAAGAAGAAGTATCATGAGCTGGCAGAAGTTAATATGGAGAAGAGTAGACAAATCACAAAACTGCAGGTAATTTAATGAGGAATCCCTTAGGTAAAATTGTAGATTGAAATGTAATGCTGTAGTTGTTAAAAGTCCATACTACCAGAGCTTGAATTTGTAAATAGTTTATATTCAAGACAATTAGCTGAATAAATTCAAACAAATTTCCATTGGTCATGGTAAAATTATGCAGCACTGTTGGAACAAGGATGGTCAGCAGATCCTTAGACGATAAAATTAATGGAACACCAAAATCCATCCTTGTTTTATTTCAGGGTCTCTTTGAATCCACTCGTCGCAAGAATGTCTACCTTGCTCAGAGTGATGCAGCAGAAGCATTGAAACCACCAGGCAGAGTGTCGGCTCCTCCATCCATAACACAGGAAGGTGAGTTGGGGTCATGGATAAACTACTGCTCTCTGGGTGTGATGTGTTTTAGAGTATACTTGTAATCTGCAAACTGATATTAGAGCTGTAATATTTTTGAAGAGTAGCACTAGCATGGATTACCCTAACCTTCTAGCATTTATTATGCAGCCTGGGATTAACTTTTTTCAGTTGACTTAAATACAAAGCCACAATGGTTAAATAAAGTGTATCATTTAAATTTAGCTTAATGGAAGCACTAATTTTGTATCTAAAACCATGTTATATAAGTTTTAATCTTTACTTTGTCCGATTTCAGATTTTATGTGTTTAGGTCTGGGAGATGCTGACCGCACTGTTGTACTGAGGACACCATTTGATCACAGTATGTTATTGACCTGACACACATATTAGCATATCAGTTTATTTCATGTGATGTAGGCTGTTATAATACAAACTGTTTGTACACTGTGTTGGTTGTGACTGCTGTCTGATGTGTTAGGTGTGCCATGTGTGATGTGTTAGGTGTGACTGGTCTGATGTGTTGGTTGTGACTGCTGTCTGATGTGGTAGGTGTGACAGCGCAATGTAATGCTATTCTTTTTTTCCTCTGAAATTTTGTCATATTTGCATTTGGAAGAAACTGCCAATTCAATACATTCTTGATTTGTATAATTGTAACAATCATGCATTCTCAGTAATATAAATATGTGCAGATGAGGTACAATTAGTGTGCATTATACAGTGAAAAATTACTTAAATACGAGTAGTGAAAACCTGATGAGCACTACAAGCTTATTTCATCATGGTGGGTTGTTATGGTAACTCCGCCTACCGTGTAGGATATAGCCCTCAATCATGATATAGCTTTACAGGCTAACTTTGTCTTAGATTTAACCTGACTGTGCATTGAGAAACCCTCACTACATAACCAAATGCGAACAGTTCTTTACTAGTAGTATAACAGTGAATTATTTTGTGGGGTTTTTAGGTGGTAAAAAGGTCACTCCAGTTATTCCTGGTGTAGTTGGTGGGATGAATGCAGTGCAGAGACACTTCACTATGGACCTGAGCACACCTCAGAAGCTAGCTCAGAACAAACACGGCCGGCCGCCATATTGATAGCATCAACAGTATCATATTAATGCAGAGATATTCTTGCAACTGAGGATGTTTTTGTAAAGCACTCAAACATGCTTCGACAGAGAATAATTCATGAATTTATGTATCTTGAAAATGGCTTTTTTTTTCATTGCAAATGATAAATTGTAAGACCTATTTAAGAAATACTTGATATTACTCATGTCCAAAGCTTTTCTTTGTGAGGGTTATTTTGTAAGTTTACATATCTTTTAAAACTTTTGTGCTAATGTTGTGATTTTTATCTATGGCATTTTTGTTTTACTTAACTGCTTAAATTTTGATGGTTGCCATATTCTCATTGTTATTTGCGTTTTAATTACAAAACTTTACATATGTTGTCAAAATTAATTTTTTTATTGTATATAACAAATCACTTCTTTTGAACCTATTACTTGTCAGTGTTATTTGATTAGCCAGCACCGAGCTTGAATACTGCAAATATCTTGGATTATTTCAGTACCAGTATGTGTTATACTAGTATAATTCTAAACTTGAGGTATATTCGGGCACGATTTCCATTAACACACATGCACACACAAGATCAAGTCATTCACTTACAATGAAATCCATAAAGTTTAATGTCAAGGCCTAATAATAAAAGTCAACTGCTGAAATATGCAGTGTTGCTCAACATAGTTAAAATTCTCTGTACCGAAAAGGTGAAAAAAAGACAATTTTTTAATGATTTGATTTTATTCATTTCATTTTATAAGTACTTGGTTATACTGATATTACAACAATAATAATTGCAAGCAACATGACCAAAAATGATGGCATTTTATACTACTCTTCACAGTTCTTGAATCTCTACACCCAAATCCAACGTAAGATGTATTTCTATGCTTTCAATCACAATGTCCAGTTTATACTGTCTATACAGACATAATTTTTATATTCTAAAATGATCTTAATAACTTACAGACTTCAGCATGCATGCATGTACATCAATTTCTCCAGCAGTTTGGCTACAACCAAACAAGATCCACATTTACACATAATGGCCACAAATCCTGCAATCTATAAAATATACGCTTAGCAAGGTGAATGACCAAGTGCAAAGTCTGACCAGTGACCAATGACCAGTGCACATGGTTAATCACTGTATAATATTACAGCAAAGCATAACACAACTGATGATGACCAACAGATTAATCCACGTCATCGAAGTTCCTGGCAGTGACAAGTTTTGGTTGCCATGGTAACTTGAAGTGGGTAGTAGGAAGAGGCGTGCAGTGGGTCGACTCGAAATCTTCCATGTGTTTGTACGCCTGAAATTTGGTAGAAAGAAGGAATTTAACTCAAGTTTGTGAAGTAATACAATTTATACAAAGATACCTAAACATAAGATACCTCTTCATACTATCAAAACTGAAATGTTAGACAGGAAACGTGTCCTAAAACACAAAATATAATATCAATATATATTGTCATTTTAGTTACGCAAAATGTCAGAAATTGGTATAATGTGTAGAAAAGTTATAATGCCAATTATCTTGTATCTTTTAACTCAAAGGAATAGTAAAATGAAAGATGCTCCATGGCAACTATCATTAGTGCAAATTTGCAGGTATTAAATTGATACATTCGACGCCAGAAACAAATTGCAGAGTTATACATGTATTTCCTGGTACATGCATTTCTCACATGAACTGTGCACAAAATCAAAAAGAATCATTCCCACTCTGACTTTATATCACATCAAACATCCTAGGGACTGTTCTATTTAATGCATTCTACAATAGCACATGAAACATGATCATGCTGAAACTACTACCCACCAGAAACAGTGCAAGTTGTGAGCGAAGATCTTCACTGATGCCTTCACCTGAACAAATACACATTGAACTCTGTATCAATGTTACTCAATCAGTAATGAACAATACAAAATATTAAAGAGGGAGTTAATAAACCCCAGTTACTTTTTATACTGTAACAAAATGCAATAATAATGATAATAATATTTAAATAAATGAATGAATAAATTATTGAACATTACAGGACTGGTGAACATCCACATTACACATAAATTTCTTAATCCTTGTGATACAAAACAAAGAGAAACCACTATAAAATTTTACAAAATCCTTTAAATTGTACAATTAAATTAATTTAAAAAATTTCCTAGCCACAGAAATATCACTGCCAAAACGGTATTAATATGAATAAAGACAACAAATATGGAGGAATGACATCTTATTCTGCTGTTGTATATACTATATATTTTATTGGCTAAATAAACATTAGTCTCATCTTAGTTACCTATCTGCATGGGGAAACTTAAGGAATTCTCCATGACAAAGGAAGCAAATGTGGCCTCACACATGTCATCATCCACACCGTGGTTGGTGAGGAATTGGACTGGAAAGAAAAACAACATATTATATTGTAACATTTTTCCTTTTTTTCATTTTCTTTTTGTCTAAATAGAGCTGCTAGCTAAAAATGGTCAAAAGTAAACATTATTCTCATTATTGATCAATTATACAAAATTTATACATATTAGGTACAGAAATATTTCATAATCCATTATAATTGTAGTTTTTTTTCTCCTCACGCATTAGGGATTTTTTTTTTCGGCCTCGGGCATAAGTTTCAAAATCTCAAGAGAATGTCATCCATAGAATTTATTAGAGTGCCTTATTTAAGAATATAAATCAATCAGAAATTACTGCAAGTATGCAAATTGATAAATATAACAAGTAAGCTGACAGTTTTTAAATTTCTAAATTAAAAGCAAATTCTTACGTTTGTCCTCTGTATTTTTACACTCAAGCCAGTTCCTAAGGAGGACCTCAGTGTCAGAATTCACAATATTTGGATATCTGAAAAAGATTACATGGTCATAAACATAAAGAGCCTCTCAATATTCCAGTAAAATGTGCATGATAACATTTCCTATCTCCTTTCCAGCTTCATAGAGTATATTCATACTGAGAACATACAAAGTCAAACAGATGGCTACAGGGGATGGACGGGCAAGGTGGAAACTGTTTGGGTGTGTCCATTTATAAAAACAGGTGGACTCAGACCTACCACTTCAAAATAGGGTCTTTTACAGCTCTATGGTTTCTACTTCTCTCCTTCTTACCTATATTGTAATAACTTAATCAGCAGATCATTTCCTCTGTTGGATCCTATCACTGTCTGATCTCTGTAGATAAAAAAAATTGTGTAAATACAATATATATATTTAAATAATATTTAAATGTTGGAAAATCAAAACCATGACAGTGCTGTTCTTGTCCATGTTTAGAGAGAGAGAGCGTGACAGTGCTGTTCTTGTCCATGTTGAGAGAGAGAGAGAGAGAAAGAGAGAGAGAGAGAGAGAGAGAGAGAGATTGATTGATTCTATATATATATATTTATATACTTACACAGTAGTGATCATTTCATCATTTGTTCTCCTAATTAGCAGTACAGGTCCTGGGTACTGACACAGCTGACTGGAGATAGGAATGTTGAGGTAGCGCCTCACTGTCATGGACACCAACCCCCCTGGAACACAGCAAGAAATAAATACATTGTGGAAAATGAAGCCATGATGGCAGCAAGATTGCAGATTGTGTTGTGTGCATGCAGATCTTTTCCATACAAAGTGACAATAGTTGTTGCATGAGATTATCTACAAATCATCAGCATAATGTCAAATGCAAGGTATAAATTGACCTGAACGCACGTGAAGATACGTGTGAAACAAATGGGGGAGGTCTTCTATACCTTTAATAGAAAAATTGATATTTCAAAAAATCTACAAAAATTTTCAGGTCTTTTCTTCCTCAGGTTTTGCAATATTTTTGTAGACAGTGCATGTACTTACAAATTGTTGGTATTTGACTTCAAATTGTTTCTACATATTCACAGTAGCATCTATGTAGATTATGTAACAAATTAAAAACCTATGGTATGATAAACCCTTTAAATACATAGTAAGATATTCTTTCTTAATTTCTCTAAAACCAGTGAATACTCACTCCAACTCTGTGGCATGCGGGCTACTGCTAATGGCATTACATCATCAAAAGTAGCATCAAGTATCTGGAATAATCAAAATACATTTTAAGACTATTGTTTATCACAGTCACATTCAACATAGCCATTTTTGCAGAGATATTCATTCAGTGTGCATGTGCATGTGAGTGTGTTTGAATTTTTTTTTTTTGTGCATTCACATGTGTTTGTGTATACCCAGTATAAGCATATTTCGGCTGTGTTCACAACCAGTTAATCCATGGACTAACTAGTAACATGGTTCAGACTTGACAATGGATCTCCGCCTCCCAGCAAGGGCAGAGCAATGAAATCTCAGCATACTTTTAAGAGGCTTGCACCATATTTGATCCACAGACTAGTTAGTGTCCGAATCAACTGGCTGTGAATGCGCTCTTAGTCTTGTGTACAGTGTGGTAGGTGTGACAATTGGTTGAGACAAGTTACAATCTTCCTACTTACCACAGCTTTTACATCAGGGTAGTTCATGGCAGCGAATGAGGCAGGGAATCCCCCTATAGACCACGCAAACAGAATGATCTCTTCTGGTTTGAAGCCAAGTTTGGTAATAGCATACTGCATCACAGTGTCCACTGCATTCTGTTCCTGCTCTGGGAATGGGGCTCCCTAGAGGTGTATGGGTAGTACCGTAACGTATATACTATTAGTATATAGCAAGTTAAAGAAAAAGGTCCCTTGTGGGAAATATTACACAGTGTTAACTATAAAAATACATGTAGTTGTATAGAATTTCATCAGCTGTATTATAAGCTAAAATCAGTTGAAAGTTAAGAGGGAGATTAGTATATATTTTTGATAGCTTTGTACTTACCGTACTGCCTGAGAACCCTGGGTGATTCCATCCCAGTACAGAGTACCCCGCATCCATGGGTGTCACCATACAGCCAATTTCATAAAACCCAGCATTTCCTTCACTGCAGACAACCTAAAGTACACAGATCAATATACACTCTCTCTCTCATTTCATTGTATTGACAACAATGTGTGCTGTTTAAAAATAACCTTGCATGTATCAGCATCGGTAGGTGTGTTGTTCAATGTTAATGTTCAGCCTACATGGAGAACCTCATTGAACAGCCATAAGTTGTACATGTAGACATTGCATAAATGTTAGCAGTTAAAAGAAACTCAAGAGATGGTCAATTAACAGCAGAGACATTGCAATTGTTATACATGTAGCACACTCCTACCAGTATTTTTTTTATTCTATTGTAAAATATCATCATATTACAGAAACAGTAACTATTAAAATATTAATTACCGACTGCAATCCACTGTACACCACTTACCAAATACTTCCCATTGGACATTTCAAAGCTGTCCCTTCTATCAATAAACATTGTGTCTATGTGGTTACCATCTGGAGTTTCCACTTTGGCGCGGAGTCCATTTTTCTGAAATTATGACAATAGAGACAATCAGCAGACCATAATTTGGTGTGATTTGGTGTGATTGCTGAATCCAAGCAAGTGGTAAATTTTACGGTGAAAGGGCATTTATGATATATGCACCCAAAGTTTGGAACACTTTACCCTCTGAAATACGGGCAGCAGGTGACATAGATACTTTTAAAAAGCTTTTGAAAACTCATATTTTTAGAATAGCCTATCAGTAGCTATCATATAGTTAATTTTAGTTTTTAATAAGGTGTACTGTAATTTTATGATTAATTTTAAATGTTGTCACTTTAGGTTCTTATCATTTTAGAATATGAATAATTGGTTCTTTAAATTAGTTCTTAGTCCTTTAAAATTGTAATGTGTTCTTATATTAGTATTGTGTTATTTAGCTCTTTTAAGTGAATGTTGTAAGGCGCATTGAGATTTTTAATGGAATGCGCCATAGAAAAATAAATTATTATTATTATTATTATTACTATGAGAGAGAGAGAGAGAGAGAGAGAGAAAACAGTGTTCTGTTTTTTTTCAATGTTCAACTGCATTCTTATAAATCTGTGAATTTAATATTTTATATGACCAACCAATAAAAATATATCAGATATGTTAGATTAATATGGAACAATCATCCACCTCCCTTCCCCCCCAAAATACATATATTTATATAAATATTAATAAATAAAAAGAATTTGTGCAACTTCAACAAATATGACATTCAGGTTTTAAGTAAGCCTCAAGCTATAAAAATTATCTTATATGGTTACCTTCATTAATAAAATTCTATGTAGCACTTATTTTATTTGAAACCCTCTTGTCCAATCTTAGACCAAAAACTGCCACAAACAGACAAACTATCATACGTACCTCTATAAGCTTACTTCTGGCTTCTAAGATAGGGCTAACTGCAATGTAAACCACACTTTTTTAGCATTTGTGTATTTTGCATAGTTATCATGATACCAAAGATGTCGGCTACTTTTTGATGTTACAGACAAAATGATGTGAGCAAAAAGTTCATGTTGTGAGTCAAAGAATTGCCACTGACGATAGTGGAAATGTAGAATAATCCTGCCTTTGGAATTTAGATGCAATATATGTAGAATTCATTTCCTTGATGACAAGGTACATGTATATCATGAATACATGTTACTGTAGTAAAGGGCGATCCTTGGGCCCACTGCTGAAGCAGGTTTCCACTTCAATATACACACTTTAGGACCAGAATAAAGGTTACATAAAGGACATTATTGTAGTGTGCAAGGTTTGGGTGGCACTTTTAATATTTTAAATAAACATCTCTGATGATTGAGAAATTAATGTTTTATACACAATATTGAATTCTATATGATAACAAGTACACATACTTAAACCTGACAAAACCAAAATCTTACTTCTACTCTCCTTTGTCTAATCAGAACAAAAAAATTAATATGCAATACTTTATAGGTAATGAGCAGATCATCCAATTAGGCCATAATTCATTCATCATCATAAATGTTTTTTTTTTTGTCTTTTTTTCAGTAGAAAAATAAATAGGGATGTCATTATAGGCAAATGAACGAAACTTTGATTTCCTTGTACAAGAATGGCAAACATAATAAGGTCTATTCCTTTCAGGTCTAACTTCACACAGAAAATATAAATCTGTGGTAAAGGCATTCCCTGTGTAATCTGGGCATTATCTGATGCAAAATAATTTATTTCTGGTATACGTTAGTTCTTATATGAACAGGTTCTGAAAATAAGCTACAACGGATATTGCAAACCATACCCAATAACCTTGATGAAACAACTTCATAGTTATGGAGCAATTACTGCTACTAACATTTACTAATTGCCTCTGTTTCCCGGAATTCAGCTGTTCCTGAACAAAACATTCTACCACCACAGAACTAATATTTCTCGGAATGTAATCACCGTAAACTATTTCCTCATAAATGAAATTCATGAGAAAATTTAGAGAGAGTTAATCAATTAAAAAAAGGCTCATTTCATAAATATCTATAATATGAAAAATTAAGGTTATCCAAGTCAATTGAGATTCAATGATCAACACAGCTAAGATGATGATGCTCCAGGCTCTCAAGGACCAGACTGAGAAACTGCCAAAATTGATGATTGTGCTTCTTAGTTTGTTAGCATTTTGTGATTTCGAGGCCCAAGCAACTGTTCAGCTGACTAATGGCAGGTGCTCCTTCAGCCTAGAGGAGATCTCACCTGAGCAGGAGTGCTGTGACAGTCACAAAATTAAACAGCTCATTGCAAGCCTTAAAACCAGGGTGGATGGTAAGAATATTAAATCTATCTCTCTCAAAAAAAATTCCATGCTTCTGATTGGGTGTAAGTGCAGTACATTTTTAGCATCTGATCAAAGGATTGACATTAACTTATTTCAATTTTACATGGTGACTTTTCAAGCATAGCTTTTGTAAAACAAAATTCACTGCTATTCAGTTTTTCAATGACTGACTGTCCTATGACTTCAGCGAAAATAGAAAAAAATCCTTTAAAATTTCTAGTTGAATGCATGCAGTGGTTATTTTTACAGCTCAGAATTATTATGCACAGTCAAAGTTCCATCAATGTAACCGTCGTACAACTTTTAAAATCATCTTCTATAAAGAGAAATCACAATAGACGGATGGGATTTACTGAGAATGCACTTTTTGTTAAAAAATTTCAGCGCTGGAATCAGACAAATGGCGTCTGGTTTTCAAGGCCGTGGCAGGTGCAGGTGGTGACATCTTTCAGCTGTGGAACTCCAACCAAGCTTTAAACGAGGAAAACCCCCAAGCCAAACAGCTGAATGATAATTTGAAAGCACACTACAAGTCCTCAGCAGTCAACAACTGGACAAGTCAAAATATCAGATATGTGAGTGGGCCATTACTTCACTACTGACATGTTGCTGGGGACCCAACTCTGAGCCATCCAAAAATTTCAAATGGTTGAACACCCCCCCCTCCCCTTCACTGATAGTTGGACTGATATCTTTTTTTTTAAACATCATGCTGATAATGACCCATAAGAGATGCTGATGCTGATATGAAGGCTGTTTAACAGCAAGGTTGCAGGGGTCTAAAATCGCCCCACAAACCATATTATTTTTTGCCTCTCTGCACCGCCTTTAGATATAGTGGCAATTCTATCGACAATAATCTTAGCAATATTATAATCCCTGTGTCTCAATATATGTACAAACCTCATTACTTAGCAAGCTACTTCAAATTTAGATATCCACTCAAAAACAATAAAATACATTGTTTTCTGCTAATTATAAATCACAAGTGTTTTGTCTAACTCCAGGTGAAGGTTGCTCTTTATCAGGCTGGTATAGAACGCCTCACTCTGGTCTTTAATGCCGTGGGAAGTGACAAGATGACTTGGTTTACCAAAGACAAACTGATCTCTTCTCCGTATGCAGACATTGAAACCGCTTCGATTTCAGCAAGTGGCTACTACTTTAGTATCCGAGGTGACATAAGGTATGTAATTTGTCAGTCTGTCTGTCTGTCTGATCCTGGTCATCCAGAAACAAAGGACATATTATTGTGCAACAGGAACTAGCTAAATTTGTTTCAAAACCCCTCCCTTTCCCCATCATCTGCGATGGATGCAGCAATAGGATATTAGTTTGAAATGCTTAACTGCAATGTTTCAATCCATTACAATCAAATCTAATAAAAACAAATATAATAATTTTCAAGGTAAAATCAAGAAAATTATCACTGTAGCTTTCAAGTAAGTATTTTAATAATAATTTTCAATTATATAGTGCATCTATTATTATAAAATTCAGTGCACTTTACAAGTACATAAAATATATAATTCTTATGAATTACAATCATGCTAAAAATGACACAAACATAGTTTAAAAGTTTAAATATATTAATCATAAAAACTTCAAAAGGGATTAGTTTTTAGAGTGACTTTAAAACTGTGGCACTCATAATCACTTTCTGCTCTTACATAAAAATTACAGGTCATATTTGGCTCGTCATTTTTTCATCAACAAGTCCTATAACGGCTGTGGTAATGATGTTGGCTGGTTGTCTGTTATCAATAGAGCAGGCTGTCCCTATGAGGTATTCTCCAGTTATCCTGCCTTTATCTTTGCACCAGGGCATATGGCCATACGGTATACAAAAGGTTGGTGAAATCAGGTTATCTATTTATAAGACTTAGTCATGTTCAGAATGATTTGAGCCAAAACCTCTTTAGTGCAAGAATTGTTATCTTATTAATTTTTTTAATGCAACCTCAGTCTAGTAATTCTGTATTCATATCTAAGCAAGAATGATATGTTAATATTAGTGTCACTTTTTATGAAATATACCCTTGTATACATTTACTGATAGCATTTAAATTTTACAGGCCCATAAGTGGAGAAATATACAAGAATTAGATAACCCAAATTTATGTAATTTAGCATGGATTTCTGTAAATTAATCAACCCCTTTGACAGTTTCCTGCTATCCATAACTACACATTAATTGATTATCAACATACTGCACCAGTTACTGTTACAGTGTCATTTTTAAAGAGGACTTTTTAATATTCTAGAAACTCTGGCACATGCTGATGTTTTTGCCATCTTCACAGCAACAGAATAACCAACTTGAAGTGAAGAACAGCATCAAATAACCCTGATCTTTTCAGTTTATTTGTGAGCCATTTACGATCAATGCCACTTTCCACATAATTTATGTATTCTGACTTGATCACTGAGATATTGGAATCTTACCAATAAATATATAGAATTATATTAAAGTCTTATAAAAGTCTGAAATAAAATCAAACATTTCAATCTTTAAACTGAAACTTCAAGCAATATATCACTGTCTGTCCACAGCAAATATGATAGAGAGAGAGAGAGAGTCTTTAATGTAGAAATATCCAATTACAAGGGTATGTCACTTCTGTTCCAGCACATATACTGTGTACTAGTGTTCTTTTCGTTTGGTAACAAAAAGGTTATCAAACTATGGGACAAAATACTACTTTAATTGCTCAAAAATTCAAATACCTCTTTTTCTTGTAATTTATTTTTAAAAAAGATTTCAACAAAACTATTATTCCTGTGATGAATCCCACTCACCATTCAATACATGAATCAACTTTCACCATCATAAAACATTGCACTGGTAAGTAAAATTAATTAGTTTTGTGTGAATATTCACAGTAAATACCATACACTGCAAATAAAAGTAGTTCCCACACCCTTTCTATTTACCTTCCAACAGAAATTTCCAATCGCAGATAACTAATCATATCTATCTGTCATAAAACATCATTGGTACTGATTACCCCTATACTTTTACATCTGAACACTAACCCAATTCCTTCCTGATTAGCAGTTAAATTCTATCTCTGATGTAAAACTAACATAAGAAGATATGCAAGCGATTATGATATAAATTAACAGAACACGGTGCTCACTTCAGAAGCTGCCATAAAACAAGATCAAGACAATCAGGCAACATGGGGTTACTTCAACCTTTAATATTGGTCATAGCATTGGCCACTGGACACACACAGATACTACCAATCACACCAAATCCATCCCCATCATGCAGTTGCTGTGGACAGGGTCCACAGGGAGTGGCTGGCCCACCAGGCTCCCAGGGTCCTCCAGGAACCCCAGGGATTCCAGGTAACCCGGGGATTCCTGGACAACATGGCACTCCAGGAGAGAAAGGAGAAACTGTGGTGAAACCCCAAACATCAGGTAATTTGCATTTAGTAGTTTATTTAAGCAACACCTGGCTTGATGTAATGATTACATAAAATCCTGTTTTTGGTCATTATGTATAATTTTTATGTTAACTATGCTCTGAATTGCTTACATATTAATAGAAAATTTGACTTTCTTTGTCACAATAAATAAATAAATAAATAAATAAATTAATTAATTAATAAAGATACACAAAAACTAAGTATTATAACAGAAGTTATAATAAATAATTCAAATTTTAAAAAAAAGCAGCTGTAAACTACAATTTTTCTTATCAGAGCAAAAATAATACAGGTAAATGTAATTTAAGAAAACAAAAACAGCTCTTTGAGAAAACTTCGTTTCTTACAGGTACGAAGAGAATTGCCTTTGCTACAAAACTGTCCCAGAACCACCCGCAGACAGGACCACTGTCGCTGGTCAGGTTTGACACCATTATTACCAACACAGGGAATGGCTATGACAGTAAAACTGGAATCTTCACCACTGCCACCAACGGTACCTACTTCTTCACCTTCCACGCTGTTACGAACTCAGCCACCAATTCGGCTACGATGCAGATCGTGAAAAATGGCATATTGGTCATTAAGGGTTATGGGAACTCGGGACACTGTAACTGCGCTCACGCCACCTTGAGTAACAGCATCATACTACAGCTGGTCGCTGGGGATAAAGTTTGGGTGGAGGCTACTGGAGGGGGGATTTATGGAGCCTCCAACGACCCTCACGCTACTTTCAGTGGTTATCTCATTTATGAAAACTGAAATCAGCTGGTCTAGCAACTCATTTAAACTTATTAACAGTGTTATAAATGTCTAGATGATTCCCAAATTGTGCTGAACATGTACGTGCACACACACACACACACACACACCAGTGCATATACATAGGACTAAAAGTAAATTAGTCTCTAGTTCACTATATATGCTAGAAACAATATGTCAGTGTAAGGTATGGTGACATATTTCAAAATAAACTATGATGTTGATGAAAAAGAAGTGTTGTTCTAGATCTAAATCAGAGAGGGGAGAGGGAATGAATGAAAGTATACGTAACCCCTTTAAGTAGGGCCAGTCTTGATATTTGTCTTTTTTCATAGGTAAGGACAAGAATTACATTCAAATTATTTGTGCACAGAGAATCTACATATCTTACCAAATATCTCTACATATCTTTACCCGCCAAAAATTTGACACAGGTGCTGAGCTATCAAATAGCTTGATGCTAATATGCATTTAAAGGATCTCTAAATTTCACTTACCACCCCCTCCCCCCCCTCCCCCCCCAGTAAATGTTACAACCACTTCTTCTACTAAAGTTGAAACTAATGCTCAGTACTAATACTAACTTACTACTTCAGTCTATTACTACTTATGATAAAAATTATGGTGACAATGATAATAATACCAGTATTATTACAAAATTCTAGGAACAAATAATGAAAAATATTCATTATTATAACTATAACAACACATAACTGGATTAATAACAGAAAAAGAGAATAAAGATGTCCTATATTTTTATTACATCAAGTCAAAACCCGTGATTTCAAGCTCCAAAAGCTTTCTTATCCGATGGTACAGGAGGCTTTGAACAAATGGTCCTATTGATAAGTTTACTAGCCCTGAATAATCAGTAAATCAACAAATAAGATGTCTTCAATGTTATAGATACAACAGATGACCTGAAACAGTTCATCCTGCACCATTCATAATGGATTAAATATTAACAGAAAACAAACAATTTACCCCTTTCTGATAGGTATGACCACANAGCATTCTGTTCCTGCTCTGGGAATGGGGCTCCCTAGAGGTGTATGGGTAGTATATTGTATATACTAGTATAATCAGAATATAGCAAGTTAAAGAAAAAGGTCCCTTGTGGGAAATATTACACAGTGTTAACTATAAAAATACATGTAGTTGTATAGAATTTCATCAGCTGTATTATAAGCTAAAATCAGTTGAAAGTTAAGAGGGAGATTAGTATATATTTTTGATAGCTTTGTACTTACCGTACTGCCTGAGAACCCTGGGTGATTCCATCCCAGTACAGAGTACCCCGCATCCATGGGTGTCACCATACAGCCAATTTCATAAAACCCAGCATTTCCTTCACTGCAGACAACCTAAAGTACACAGATCAATATACACTCTCTCTCTCATTTCATTGTATTGACAACAATGTGTGCTGTTTAAAAATAACCTTGCATGTATCAGCATCGGTAGGTGTGTTGTTCAATGTTAATGTTCAGCCTACATATAGAACCTCATTGAACAGCCATAAGTTGTACATGTAGACATTGCATAAATGTTAGCAGTTAAAAGAAACTCAAGAGATGGTCAATTAACAGCAGAGACATTGCAATTGTTATACATGTAGCACACTCCTACCAGTATTTTTTTTATTCTATTGTAAAATATCATCATATTACAGAAACAGTAACTATCAAAACATTAACCGACTGCAATCCATCCACTGTACACCACTTACCAAATATTTCCCATTGGACATTTCAAAGCTGTCCCTTCTATCAATAAACATTGTGTCTATGTGGTTACCATCTGGAGTCTCCACTTTGGCTCGGAGTCCATTTTTCTGAAATGATGACAATAGGGACAATCAGCATACTATAATTTGGTGTGATTGCTGAATACAACCAAGTACTATGCGAGAGAGAGAGAGAGAAAACAGTGTTCTGTTTTTTTTTTCAATGTTCAACTTCATTCTTATAAATCTGTGAATTTAACATTTTATATGACCGACCAATAAAAATATATTAGATATGTTTGATAAATATGGTACAATCATCCCCTCCCTTTCCCCAAAAAATACATATATTTATATAAATATTAATAAATAAAAATAATTTGTGCAACTTCAACAAATATGACATTCAGGTTTTAAGTAAGCCTCAAGCTATAAAAATGATCTTATATGGTTACCTTCATTAATAAAATTCTATGTAGCACTTATTTTATTTGAAACCCTCTTGTCCAATCTTAGACCAAAAACTGCCACACACAGAAAAACTATCATACCTACCTCTATAAGCTTACTTCTGGCTTCTAAGATAGGGCTAACTGCAATATAAACAACACTTTTTTAGCATTTGTGTATTTTGCATAGTTATCACGATACCAAAGATGTCGGCTACTTTTAGATGTTACAGACAAAATGATGTGAGCAAAAAGTTCATGTTGTGAGTCAAAGAATTGCCACTGATTGTGGTGGAAATGTAGAATAATCATGCCTTTGGAATTTAGATGCAATATATGTAGAATTCATTTCCTTGATGACAAGGTACATGTATATCATGAATACATGTTATTGTAGTAAAGGGCGATCGTTGGGCCCAATGCTAAAGCAGGTTTCCATTTCAATATACACTTTAGGACCAGAATAAAGGTTACATAAAGGACATCAGTGTGCAAGGTTTGGGTGGCACTTTCAATATTTTAAATGCACACCTCTAACAATTGAGAAATTAATGTTTTCCACACAATATTGAACTCTACATGATAACAAGTGCACATACTTAAACCTGACAAAACCATAATCTTACTTCTACTCTCCTTTGTCTAATCAGAACAAAAAAATTAATATGCAATACTTTATAGATAATGAGCAGATCATCCAATTAGGCCATAATTCATTCATCATTATAAATGTTTTTTTTTTTTTTTTTTGTCTTTTTTTCAGTAGAAAAATAAATAGGGATGTCATTATAGGCAAATGAACGAAACTTTGATTTCCTTGTACAAGAATGGCAAACATAATGAAGGTCTCTTCCTATCAGGTCTAACTTCACACAGAAAATATAAAAATCTGTGGTAAAGGCATTCCCTGCGTAATCTGGGCATTATCTGATGCAAAATAATTCATTTCTGGTATGCGTTAGTTCTTATATGAACAGGTTCTGAAAATAAGCTACAACGGATATTGCAAACCATATCCAATAACCTTGATGAAACAACTTCATAGTGATGGAACAATTACTACTACTAACATTTACGATTTGCCTCTGTTTCCTGGAATTCAGCTGTTCCTGAACAAAACATTCTACCATAACAGAACTAATATTTCTCGGAATGTAATCACTGTAAACTATTTTCTCATTAATCAAATTCATGAGAAAATTTAGAGAGAGATAATCAATTTAAAAAAGGCTAATTATATAAATATCTAGATAATACAAAGAATCAAGCTTATCCAAGTCAATTGAGATTCAGTGATCAACACAGCTAAGAAGATGATGCTCATGGCTCTCATGAAACATATTGAGAAACTGCCAAAATTGATGATTGTGCTTCTTAGTTTGTTAGCATTTTGTTATGTCGAGGCCCAAGCAACTGTTCAGCTGACTAATGGCAGGTGCTCATTCAACTTACCACAGACCTCAGCTGAGCAGGGGGGTTGTGACAGTCACAAAATCACACAGCTCATTGAAAGCCTTAAATCCAGGGTGGATGGTAAGAATATTAAATCTACCTCTCTCAAAAAAAAAATTTAATGCTTCTGATTGGATGTAAGTGCACTACATTTTTAGCATCTGATCAGAGGATTGACATTACCTTATTTCAATTTTACATGATGACTTTTCAAGCATAGCTTTTGTAAAACAAAATTCACTGCTATTCAGTTTTTCAATGACTGACTGTCCTATGACTTTAGCAAAAATAGAAAAAAATCCTTTAAAATTCTTAGTTAAATGCATGCAGTGGTTATTTTTACAGCTCAGAAGTATTATGCACGGTCAAATTTCAATCAATGTAACCATCTGTACCACTTTTAAAATCGTCTTCTATAAAGAGAAACCACAATAGAAGGATGGGATTTACTGAGAATGCACTTTTTGTTTAAAATTTTCAGCGCTGGAATCAGACAAATGGCGTCTGGTTTTCAAGGCGGTGGCAGGTGCAGGTGGTGACATCTTTCAGCTTTGGAACTCCAACCAAGCTTTGAACGAGGAAAACCCCCAAGCCAAACAGCTGAATGATAATTTGAAAGCACACTACAAGTCCTCTGCAGTCAACAACTGGACAAGTCAAAATATCAAATATGTAAGTGGGCCATTACTTCATTACTGACATGTTGCTGGGGACCCTACTCCGAGCCATCCAAAAATGTCAAATGGTTGACCCCCCCTCCCCTTCACTGATAGTTGGACTGATATCTTTTTTTAACCATTATGCTGGTAATGACCCATAAGAGATGCTGATGCTGATATGAAGGCTGTCTAACAGCAAGGTTGCAGGGGTCTAAAATCCCCCCAAAACCATAATATTATTTTTTGCCTTTCTGCACCCCCTTTAGATATAGTGGCAATTCTATTGACAATAATCGTAGCAATATTATAATCCCTGTACTCCTTGCTGTGTCTCAATATATGTACAAACCTCATCACTAAGCAAGGCCCTTCATATTAAGATATCCACTCAAAAAACAATAAAATATATAGTTTTCTGCTAATTATAAATCACAAGTGTTTTGTCTAACTCCAGGTGAAGGTTGCTCTTTATCAGGCTGGTATAGAACGCCTCACTCTGGTCTTCAATGCCGTGGGAAGTGACAAGATGACTTGGTTTACCAAACACAGACTGATTTCTTCTCCGTATGCAGACATTGAAACGGCTTCAATTTCAGCAAGTGGCTACTACTTTAGTATTCGAGGTGACATAGGGTATGTAATTTGACAATCTGTCTGTCTGTCTGATTCTGGTCAACCAGAAACAAAGGACATATTATTGTGCAACAGGAACTAGCTAAATTTGTTTCAAAACCCCTCCCCTTCTCCATCATCTGCGATGGATGCAGCAATAGGACATTAGTTTGAAATGCTTAACAGCAATGTTTCAATCCATTACAATTAAACCTAATAAAAATAAGATATCAAATACATAATACTTTTCAAGGTAAAATGAAGAACATTATCACTATAGCTTTCAAGTAAGTATTACAATTATAATAATTTTAAATTATATAGTGCATTTATTATTATAAAATTCAGTGCACTTTACAAGTACATAAATATATAATTCTTATGAATTACAATTATGCTAAAAATGACACAAACATAGTTTAAAAGTTTAAATATATTAATCATAAAAACTTCAAAAGAGATTAGTTTTTAGAGTGACTTTAAAACTGTGGCACTTATAATCACTTTCTGCTCTTACATAAAAACTCATAAATTACAGGTCATATTATGCTCGTCAATTTTTCATCAACAAGTCCTATAACGGCTGTGGTAATGATGTTGGTTGGTTGTCTGTCATCAACAGAGCAGCTTGTCCCTATGAGGTATTCTCCAGTTATCCTGCCTTTATCTTTGCACCAGGGCATATGGCCATACGGTATACAAAAGGTTGGTGAAATCAGGTTATCTATTTATAAGACTTAGTCATGTTCAGAATGATTTGAGCCAAAACTTCTTTAGTGCAAGAATTGTTATCTTAATAATTTTTTTTAAATGCAACCTCAGTCTAGTTATTCTGTATTCATATCTTAGTAAGAGTGATATGTTAATATAAGTGTCACTTTTTATGAAATATAGTTGTATACATTTACTGATTGCATTTAAAATTTACAGGCCCATTAGTGGAGAAATATATAACAATTAGATAACCCAAATTTATGTAATTTAGCATGGATTTCTGTAAATTAATCAACCCCTTCGATAGATTCCTGCTATCCATAACTACACATTAATTGATTATCAACATACTGCACCAGTTACTGTTACAGTGTCATTTTTAAAGAGGACTTTTTAATATTCTAGAAACTCTGGCACATGCTGATGTTCTCGCCATCTTCACAGCAACTGAATAACCAACTTGAAGTGAAGAACAGCATCAAATAACCTTGATCTTTTCAGTTTTTTAGTGAGCCATTTACGATCAATGCCACTTTCCACATACTTTCTGTATTCTGACTTGATCACCGAGATACTGGAATCTTATCAATATATAGAATTATATTAGTCTTATAAAAGTCATAAATAAAATCAAACATTTAAAAGTCATAAATAAAATCAAACATTTCAAAGTCTTTAAACTGAAACTGCAAGCAAGATATCACTGTCTGTCCACAGCCAATATGAGAGAGAGAGAGAGAGATTAATGTAGAAATATCCAATTTCAAGGGCATGTCAGTTCTGTTCCGCATATGCACTGGGTACTAGTGTTCTTTTCTTTTGGTAACAAAAAGGTTGTCAAACTATGGGACAAAATACTACTACTTTTACTCAAAATTTCAAATGCTTTTTTTCTTATAATTCATTTTTTAAGGATTTCAAATTAGTTAGCAACAAAACTATTATTCCCGTGATGAATCCCACTCACCATTCAATACATGAATCATCTTTCACTATAATAAAACACTGTACTGGTAAGTAAAATTAACTAGTTTTGTGTGAATATTCACAGTAAATACCATACACTGCAAATAAAAGTGGTTCCCACACCCTTTCTATTTACCTCCCAACAGAAATTTGCAATCACAGATAACTAATCATATCTATCTGTCATAAAACATCATTGGTACTGATTACCCCCTATACTTTTACATCTGAACACTATCCCAATTCCTTCCTGATTAGGAGTTAAATTCTATCTCTGATGTAGAACTAACATAAGAAGATATGCAAGCGATTATGATATAAATTAACAGAACACGGTGCTCAATTCAGAAGCTGTCATAAAACAAGATCAAGACAATCAGGCAATATGGGGTTACTTCAACTTTTTGTATTGGCTATAGCATTGGCCATGGGACACACACAGATACTACCAATCACACCAAATCCATCCCCATCATGCAGCTGCTGTGGACAGGGTCCCCAGGGGGTGGCTGGCCCACCTGGCGCCCAGGGTCCTCCAGGAACCCCAGGGATTCCAGGTAACCCGGGGATTCCTGGACAACATGGCACTCCAGGAGAGAAAGGAGAAACTGTGGTGAAACCCCAAACATCAGGTAAATGTTGTTTGCATTCAGTAGTTTATTTAAGCAACACCTGGCTTGATGTAATGGTTACATCAAGTCCTGTAATTGGTCTTTGTCTATAATTTTTATGTTAACTGTGTTCTGAATTGCTTATACATTACTAGAAAATCTGACTTTCTTTACCAAAATACAAATATGGATACACAAAAAGTAAATATTATAACAGAAGTAAATAAATAATGTAAATTTAAAAAAAACGCTGTAATCTATTTATCATTTCACTCATCTGAGCAAAAAAAAAAAAAAAAAACATTTCTGAGAGAAAACTTCATTTCTTACAGGTGTGAAGAGAATTGCCTTTGCTACAAAACTCTCCCAGAACCACCCACAGACAGGACCACTGTCGCTGGTCAGGTTTGACACCATTATTACCAACACAGGGAATGGCTATGACAATAAAACTGGAATCTTCACCACTGCCACCAACGGTATCTACTTCTTCACCTTCCACGCTGTTACGAACTCGGCCATCAATTCGGCTACGATGCAGATCATGAAAAATGGCGTATTGGTCATTAAGGGTTACGGGAACTCGGGACACTGTAACTGCGCTCACGCCACCTTGAGTAACAGCATCATACTACAGCTGGTTGCTGGGGATAAAGTTTGGGTGGAGGCTACAGGAGGGGGGATATATGGAGCCTCCAACGACCCTCACGCCACTTTCAGTGGTTATCTCATTTATGAAAACTGAAATCAGCTGGTCCAGCAACTCATTTAAACTTATTAACAGTGTTATAAATGTCTAGATGATTCCCAAATTGTGCTGAACATGTACGGGCACACCCACACACACACAAACACACACATACACACACCAGTGCATATACTTAGGACTATAAGTAAATTAGTCTCTAGTTCACTATATATGCTAAAAACAATATGTCAATGTAAGGCTATGGTGATATATTTGCAAATAAACTACGATGTTGATAAAAAAGAAGTGTTGTTCTAGTTCTAAATCAGAGGGGAGAGGGAATGAATGAAAGTATACAGTAACCCCTTTAAGTAGGGCCAGTCTTGATATTTGTCTGTTTCATATGTTAAGATAAGAATTACAATCAAATTATCTGTGCACAGAGAATCTACATATCTTACTAAATTTGCCCCCAAAAATTTGACACTGGTGCTGAGCTATCAAATGGCCTGATATTAACATGCATTTAAAGAATCTCTAAATTTCACTTACCCCCCCCCCCCCCCCAGTAAATGTTACAACCACTTCTACTACAGTTGAAACTAGCGCTCAGTACTAATACTAACTTACTACTTCAGTCTATTACTACTTATGATAAAAATTATGGCGAAGATGATAATAATACTATTATTATTACAAAAAGTACTAAAAAAAAAACAAAAAAATATTAATTATTATAACTATTACAACACATAACAGGATTAATAACAGAAAAAGAGAATAAAAATGTCCTATATTTTTATAACATCAAGTCAAAACCTGTGATTTCAAGCTCCAGCAGCTTTCTTATCAGATGGTACAGGAGGCTTTGAACAAATGGTCCTCTTGATTAGTTTTACTAGCCCTGAATAATCAGCAAATAAAGAAATAAGGCCAAGGTTTCTTCAATGTTATAGATACAACAGATGACCTGAAACAGTTCATCCTGCACCATTCATAATGGATTAAATATTAACAGAAAACAAACAATTTACCCCTTTCTGATAGGTATGACCATACCAAATATAAACCAGAATCTGCTTAGGCAAAACAAAAAACTTCCAAGAATTGCTCCTATACAGCCTGTTTTTTCAGTTCAGTTAACATGGGATATCTAACATTCTCAATACTGGCTCTTCTGTTTATAACCGTGGACACACAGTTAAGCCAGAACCTGAAGATCCCATCATGCAACTGCTGTAGCCAATGTCCCCAGAGGCCCCAGGGGCCGGCTGGTCCTCCAGGAGCCCCTGGGATTCCAGGTGTTCCAGGAATTCCTGGCCAGTGTGGCACTCCCGAAACAAAAGAGGGTGCCAATAGTGTCACAGTAGATAAACCTCAGAAATCAGGTATGAAAGTGTTTTAGTCTGGTTTCTTGCTGTTTATTACATTTGAAAACTGTTTTTGGACTTTCATGTAAATATTAGATTCAGAAATAAAAAAGATATACTATATTTGTGTAAACTGCATAATATACTTAAATGTTTGATATTCACACAATCAATGTCCTTGTACTATTTCAGTATTGTTATTCTTTTGCTTGGTCATGAACAAATGGTAATTAAATCTATGAAAATCTTGCTTTTTCAGGAGACAAAAATGTTGCATTTTCTGCTAAACTAGCCCAGATTCACCCTGAAACAAACCCCATGATTACAGTCAAGTTTGATTCCATAATAACGAATGCAGGCAATGGCTATAATGGTATGACTGGAATCTTTACTGCTCCAACAGATGGGACTTACTACTTCTCCTTCCACGCTATTACAAATTCTGCCAAGAATTCTGTCATGCAGATCATGAAAAATGGAATATTAATTATTAGAGGATATGGCAACTCTGGACATTGTGGCTGTGCTCATGCCACCATCAGTAATAGCGTAATCCTTCAGCTGCAGGCCAACGATAAAGTGTGGGTCGAGGCTAATGAAGGGGGATTGTATAGTCTTTCAACCAACCCTCTCGCATCTTTTAGTGGATATCTTATTTTTTAAACAAGGCAACAAAGCTTACAACTCTTTCAAATGGATAGACATCATGATATATGGCAATACTGACAAAAAATAATGAACAACTAATTCTACAATGAAAGTGCACAAAATGTTATGTCAATTTAGAAGCAATACCACATAACCATGGTTCCTATAGCAACATAAAGAACAAATTCATGGACATTCAAAGACTTCAGAAATTCTAATAAAAATACTTTTCAGGCTTTTTTAACATCAGAGATTGATGATGAAATGCAATTGGTGAATTACCACTAAACAAGAAAAGAGTAAATTTTAACGATGTTCAAAAAGGGTATTCTCTGTTACTATGAATTAATGAGACAGTAACAGTCATTATTCAGGTGAAAAATAACAATTCGAAATAATGTTTTGACAAATTGCTTTGTGGTCAAACTTAAGTACTTTTCTGGGACAATATGATGAATACTAGTACAAGTCATTACTAAGGACACAAAATTAATTCAAGGTGCTAGGCTAAAAATTCAGGCACCTTTCAATCAACCTTATTGCCTTCAGAGAGTCACCACAGAGTTGGATCGATCTACGCAGATTGATAGCTTCAATGGGAATGAGCCCAATGTATATATTAATATACTGTATCGAATTATGACATTTGACATTATGACATTTGCAGCATTGAGTAAAAATCTGATTCATAAACTAAGAAAATTTGAATGTACATTTCACAGGGAGGTAGTCAATGGGAAAATGCAGTGGAGTTATGAATAAGAACTTTATCCCTAAATGACCTGTGAATGGTTTGGCTCATCTCCTAGTCACCTTAAGTCAAGATTTGTTTATTTGAAGCACTAAATGCTATCTAATCAGTTGAAACAAGAGGCTTTTAACCAATGGACACTATTTCTTATTGACTGGTTTACCACAGATCATATATTATCATTGGATCAACTTATGAGGCCAATACATCTTCACCTTTGTAGAGATGACATGTCCCTTTCATAAGGTGGAAGAATATGTGGTAAATTAAATATTAACAAAAAAACAAATTATCTAACCACTTTCTGATAAGTTTGACAATATACCACTGATTAAATATTGACAGAAAACAAATAATTTAACCACTTTCTAATATTATAAGTATAACAATACCAGTGATTTGAGCCAGTCTGAGCTTATGATTTGGCAAAAACAAAGTTCAAACTCTTGCTCCTATACAGCCTTTCTCATCGATGAAACTGTCAAAAGTTATCATGGACCATCTAAAATTCTTAGTACTGGCTATTTTGTTTGTTTCTGCAAAGACACAGTTGATCCAGAATTCAAAGAGCTCACCATGCAACTGCTGTAGCCAGTGTCCCCAGGGGCCGGCTGGTCCTCCAGGAACCCCAGGGATTCCCGGTATTCCTGGAATTCCTGGCCAGTGTGGCACCCCCGACACAAAAGAGGGCACCACAAGTGTCATAGTGGATAAACCACAGACATCAGGTATGAAAGTGATTTTAGAAAACCGGTTCTGTTAATTAACAGTAAGTGATACAGCTAGTAAACCCTTCAGGTTCTGTCCCCGTCTTTCTACAAGTCCATCAAATAACTTTCTGATAATAAAGATATGATATATTGTCAACCAGTTAGCCAAACTTCCCCTGAGCAATGCATCATCCTCTGGTTTTTACACAAGGTGAATGGTTTGATTAATTAATTTATCTACAAAAATGGAAACCAAGGATTTGATATAATATCATTCTTGCTATTAATTGCATTTGAAAGCTGTTTAATGGGCTCTTATGTAAAATACTGTTTTTAAAATTATAATAAAATAAAGTAATATATAAAAAATAATTTATAAAATGAAATAAAAAGGAAGGTTCAGGTACTAGTATATACTCAATGTTTGATATTCACATTATCTAAATATGTTCTTGTTTTTCTATCAATGAAACGATATTTGATCATGAACAATTGGAAAAATATGTTACTCTTGCTATTTCAGCAAACAAAAATGTTGCCTTTTCTGCTAAGCTGACCCAGGTCCATCATGAAACAAAACCAATGGTTACAGTGAAGTTTGACACCATAATAACCAATACAGGCAATGGCTATGACAGTAAAACTGGAATCTTTACTGCTCCGACTAATGGGACTTACTTCTTCTCCTTCCATGCTGTCACAAATCCTGCCAAGAGTTCTACAATGCAAATCATGAAGGATGGAGTATTAATCATCAAAGGGTATGGCAATGCTGGGGATTGTGGCTGTGATTATGCCACCCTCAGTAATAGCATAATCCTCCAGCTACAGGCGAGAGAGAAGGTTTGGGTAGAGGCAAATGAAGGAGGGGTGTATGGTCACTCAACCAACCCCCATGCATCTTTTAGTGGATATCTTATTTTTTAAACAAGGCAGCAAAGCTGTGATTATAAATGAATATTCAAACATTTAAATGGCAAAACTGATAGAAAATGATGAAAAAAAAAGTGCACAAAATGTTTGTCAATTAGATGAAGTATCACTTAATCATGGTTCCTATCACAACATTATGAACAAATTCCTGGAGATTCATTGACTTTTGAGCCTCTAATTCAAGTACATGTACAGTACAGGGTGACCTTCTACTGTACCATGTATAAGTGGACATGACAAAGAAAAAATAATTTTTCACCAACAGTATAAAATTTGTATCTTGATGAACTACAATTAGTGAACTAAAACAAAACCAGAAAAAGATTAAATTGATGATGTTCTAAATGGGTTTCTCCCCTTCTGTGAATTATTGTGTTTATTATGTGTAAAAATAAAGATGAATATAAAATAATGTTTTAAGAAATTGCTACTGACAAACACAGCAGGCACAATTATTTAATTATTAATATTAAAAAGAGTGGGCTGAGGATCAGCAGGAGTCTTACACTGCAACATTATCTTATGAGATAAAAGCTGTTATTATGCATTAATATACTTTTATTACATTAAACAGCAATGCTTAATTATTATCAAAACTGACCAGTAAACAAATTCCTTCAATAAATTGCTCCACAATTAGCATTCATATGAACCTTTTGTTGATTAATGATGCCATAATGTTGCTTGCTTTTTATTAGTTTCATAGAGTGAATTAAAAATATACTCCCTCATCCCCAATCAAACAACAAGGTCCCTTTTCATAACTTACTAGTAAAGATAAATCAAACTTCTATCTACCATCCAACCAGAGATATAGTTATCTCATTAATGTTTACAAATTGAAAAGTAAAGCTCCTGTTCGGGGGTTGCAGCACACTTTGATTCACAACTGCAGCTTGTTAGAGAAACCACACTATCTGAACTGTTCAACATGGTACGACTCTCAAGCATGAGCAGCCAGCTGTGGCTACTGTGTCTGTTTCTTGTATTTATCCAGACTCGGGCACAAATTCCTCCTAACAAGCTTCCTGGAGATACTAACAAAATACTCACAGTGAATAACAGCCAGTGTATTCAGTGTCCCCAGGGTCCCAAGGGATATGCAGGTGATAACGGCCCCCAGGGGATACAAGGACCAAAAGGACAGAAAGGAGAGAAAGGATATGTCACAACAATAACCAGTATGTTTATTATTCAACTTTCTGACTTACTGCATTTATAAATTTATAATATAATCTTTTCTTAATGCTACATTATTTTGGCATGTTAAAAAATTTATTAAATAATGAATGTAAAATAATGCACATTTATATGGTACTTTAAAGAAATTAAAGAATGCCATTCAAATCAATAAATGAGTTAAACAGAAAATGAAGTTGTTTTTGAAGGTTATTTACAGTTACTAAGTTACTCAGGATTTAAATAACACCCAACTGATACATTATATCTAATTGCAGAATACGTATCCCCACCAAAGATTGCATTTACTGCCAAACTAACAAAGTACCACCCAGATACTGCATCACTTCATACTGTGAGATTTGACTCAATTGTCACCAACTTTGGAAACGGTTTCAGCATATACACAGGTATATTTACAGTTCCAGTGGCCGGCACATACTTTTTCATTTTTCACGGATTAACAAACTCCGACAAAAGTTCCCACATGGAGCTTGTCAAAAATGGAGAACAGATCACCAGTGGGTATGGGAATTCTGCTCAGGGCTCTGGAAAATTTGCCACAATAAGCAACAGTGCCATCCTTGAGGTCAAACTTGGAGATAAAGTGTGGGTGCAAGCTAGTGGCGGAGGAGTCTATGGTTATCAAAAGGCTCCTCATGCAAGTTTCAGTGGTTATCTCATCTATGCCAATGAAGACATTTCATGAGTGGTAACAAAAAAATAGTTTTAAAATAGTGCCATGTTAAGCACTGGGATCTATATGACTGAACTTAATGGTTTTCTTAATAACACCAACGTCTCGAAATTTTAAATGTACTTTGATTTTTCACTAAATTCTTTTATGTTTAAATTAAAAATTAACAAGGCNCCCCATTGGAAAAATATGCTACTCTTGCTATTTCAGCAAACAAAAATGTTGCCTTTTCTGCTAAGCTGACCCAGGTCCATCACGAAACAAAACCAATGGTTACAGTGAAGTTTGACACCATAATTACCAATACAGGCAATGGCTATAACAGTAAAACTGGAATCTTTACTGCTCCGACTAATGGGACTTACTTCTTCTCCTTCCATGCTGTCACAAATCCTGCCAAGAGTTCTACAATGCAAATCATGAAGGATGGAGTATTAATCATCAAAGGGTACGGCAATGCTGGAGATTGTGGCTGTGCTCATGCCACCCTCAGTAATAGCGTAATCCTTCAGCTACAGGCGAGAGAGAAGGTGTGGGTGGAGGCAAATGAAGGAGGGGTGTATGGTCACTCAACCAACCCTCATGCATCTTTTAGTGGATATCTAATTTTTTAAACAAAGCAGCAAAGCTGTCTTTACAAATGAATAGTCAGACATTTAAATGGCAAAACGGACAGAAAATGATGAAAAAAATGAAAGTGTACAAAATGTTCGTCAATTCAGATGAAGTATCACTTAATCATGGTTCCTATCACAACATTATGAACAAATTCCTGGAGATTCATTGACTTTTGAGCCTCTAATTCAAGTACATGTACAGTACAGGGTGACCTTCTACTGTACTATGTATAAGTGAACATGACAAAGAAAAAATAATTTTTCACCTACAAGTATAAAATTTGTATCTTGATGAACTACAATTAGTGAACTAAAACAAAACCAGAAAAAGATTAAATTGATGATGTTCTAAATGGGTTTCTCCCCTTCTGTGAATTATTGTGTTTATTATGTGTAGAAATAAAGATGAATTTGAAATAATGTTTTAACCAATTGCTACTGACAAACACAGCAGGCACAATTATTTAATTATTAATATTAAAAAGAGTGGGCTGAGGATCAGCCTGAGTCTTACACTGCAACATTATCTTATGAGATAAAAGCTATTATTATGTATTAATGTACTTTTATTACATTAAACAGCAATGCTTAATTATTATCAAAATTGACCAGTCAACAAATTCCTACAATAAATTGCTCCACAATTAGCACTCATATGAACCTTTTGTTGATTAATGATGCCATAATGTTGCTTGCTTTTAATTAGTTTCATAGAGTGAATTAAAAATATACTCCCTCATCCCCAATCAAACAACAAGGTCCCTTTTCATAACTTAAAGATCAATCAAACTTCTATCTACCATCCAACCAGAGATATAGTTATCTCATTAATGTTTACAAATTGAAAAGTAAAGCTCCTGTTCGGGGGTTGCAGCACACTTTGATTCACAACTGCAGATAGTCAAAGAAACCACGCTCTATCTGAACTGTTCAACATGGTGCGACTCTCAAGCATGAGCAGCCAGCTGTGGCTACTGTGTCTGTTTCTTGTATTTATTCAGACACGGGCACAAATTCCTCCTAACAAGCTTCCTGGAGATACTAACAAGATACCCACGGTGAATAACAGCCAGTGTATTCAGTGTCCCCAGGGTCCCCAGGGTCCCAGGGGATATGCAGGCGATAACGGCCCCCAGGGGATACAAGGACCAAAGGGACAGAAAGGAGAGAGAGGATATGTCACAACAATAACCAGTATGTTTATGATTCAACTTTCTGACTTACTGCATTCATTAATAATATAATCTTTTCTTAATGCTACATTATTTTGGCATGTTAAAAAATTTATTAAATAATGAATGTAAAATAATGCCCATTTAGAAAGAAATTATAGAATGCCATTCAAATCAATAAATGAATTGGGCAAAAAATGAAGTTGGTTTTGAAAGTTTTTTAGAGTATTAAGTTACTCAGGATTTATATAATAGCTAACTGATACATTATATCTAATTGCAGAATATGCATCCCCACCAAAGATTGCATTTACTGCCAAACTGACTAAACACCACCCAGATACCACTACACTGCATACTGTGAGATATGACACAGTTGTCACCAATTTCGGGGACGGTTTCAACAAATACACAGGTATATTTTCTGTCCCAATGGCTGGAACATACTTTTTCATTTTTCACGGATTAACAAACTCCAACAAAAGTTCCCACATGGAGCTTGTGAAAAATGGAGAACAGATCACCAGTGGGTATGGGAATTCTGCTCAGGGCTCTGGAAAATTTGCCACGATAAGCAACAGTGCCATCCTTGAGGTCAGACGTGGAGATAAGATGTGGGTGCAAGCTAGTGGCGGAGGAGTCTATGGTTATCAAAAGGCTCCTCATGCAAGTTTCAGTGGTTATCTCATCTATGCCAATGAAGACATTTCATGAGTGGTAACAAAAAATAGTTTTAAAATAGTGCCATGTTAAGCACTGGGATCTATATGACTGAACTTAATGGTTTTCTTAATAACACTAACGTCTCGAAATTTCAAATGTACTTTGATTTTTCAGTAAATTCTTTTATGTTTAAATTAAAAATTAAAAATGGTTTCAATCTAAATATCTTGTTATTGATACCAGTGTGGTATATTCCACCACTCAACCTGATTTGACAATCAAAATATAAAATGACTAAATTTTGACAATCAAGTTATTTTTCGGAATTTTAAAATGACTTCATCTCTGTTGTTAGAATAACATAACCAGATATATACATACACAAACCTATTGCTTGACCAAAAATGATGGAAATGGAAAAATGTAAAAAAGGTTTCAATATTCAAAAGTAATAAATACTTCTTTTAAGTAATCTGCCATTTATTGACCTGCATTATCTTGTTCCACAGTTGACGTAGCAGCAAAAGCCATGTTGATCAGAGGTGAATTAATACAATTAATTTATACAGTAATAGCGTAATCCTTCAGCTAGAGGCGAGAGAGAAGGTTTGGGTCGAGACGAATGAAGGAGGGGTGTATGGTCACTCAACCACCATCATGCATCTTTTAGTGGATATCTAATTTTTTAAAACAAGGCAGCAAAGCTGTCATTACAAAGGTATAGTTTGACATATAGATGGCAAAACTGACAGAAAATGATGAAAAAAAAATGAAAGTGCACGAAATGTTCGTCAATTCAGATGAAGTATTACTTAATCATGGTTCCTCTAGCAATATTATTAACAACTTCCTGGAGATTCATTGACTTTTGAGCCTCTAATTCACGTACATGTACAGTACAGGGTGAGCTTCTACTGTACCATGTATAAGCGGACTAGCATTCAACATGTAAACCTATTGTTGATTAATAATTATATAATGTTGTTTGCTTTAAATCAGTTTCAAAGTGTGAATACACCCCCTCCTCCCCAACCAAACAACAAGGTCCTTTTTCATAAGATAAGGCTTCGTTCACATGCAATGTCTATTTTCTAAATTCTATTTTCTATTTGCGGTATGTCTTATGATCACGGTCTGTGGTCTGAATATCCCGCGGCGTAATTACTGGCAGCGCGAGCCAGTTACTATAAGTTACTATAAGTAACTGGCTCGCGCTGCCAGTAATTACGCGGCGGGATATTCAGGGCACAGACCGTGATCATAAGATACTGCAAATAGAAAATAGAAATTAGAAAATAGACATTGCATGTGAACGAAGCCTAAGTCTAACTTTTTTCCATCACCCAACCTAGTTTACATAAAAAATGATCAACCAGAGATATATTTCATCTTATCTCATTAATATTTAACAAAACGACAAAATATAGTTCCTGTTAGGGGTGGTTGCAGCACACTTCACAACTGCAGCTTGTTAAAGAAACCACACTCCATCTGAACTGTTCAACATGGTGCGACTCTCAAGCATGAGCAGCCAGCTGTGGCTACTGTGTCTATTTCTTGTATTTATCCAGACTCAGGCACAAATTCCTCCTAACAAGCTGCCTGGAGATACTAACAAGATACCCACAGTGAATAACAACCAGTGTATTGAGTGTCCCCAGGGTCCCCAGGGTCCTCAGGGATATCCAGGCGATCCCGGTCTCACTGGGAAGCAAGGACCAAAGGGAGAGAAAGGAGAGAGAGGATATGGCACAACAGTTACTACCAGTATGTTTATGATTCAACTTTCCAACTTACTGCATTTATAAATAATATAATCTTTTCTTAATGCTACATTATTTTGGCAAATTTTAAATGATGAATGTAAAATTTAATGCACATTTATATGGTACTTTAAAGAAATTAAAGGATGCCATATAAATCAATAAATGAGTTAAACAGAAAATGAAGTTGTTTTTGAAGGTTATTTACAGTTACTAAGTTACTCAGGATTTAAATAACACCCAACTGATACATTATATCTAATTGCAGAATACGTATCCCCACCAAAGATTGCATTTACTGCCAAACTAACCAAGTACCACCCAACTACTACTTCACTTCATACTGTGAGATTTGACACAATTGTCACTAACTTTGGAAACGGTTTCAGCATATACACAGGTATATTTACAGTTCCAATGGCCGGCACATACTTTTTCATTTTTCACGGATTAACAAACTCTGACAAAAGTTCCCACATGGAGCTTGTCAAGAATGGAAAACTGATCACCAGTGGGTATGGGAATTCTGCTCAGGGCTCTGGAAAATTTGCCACTATAAGCAGCAGTGCCATCCTTGAGGTCAAACTTGGAGATAAAGTGTGGGTGCAAGTTAGTGGCGGAGGAGTCTATGGTGCTCAACACGCCCCTCACGCAAGCTTCAGTGGTTATCTCATTTATACCTAATGCAGACATTTCATGAGAAATAGTTTTAAAATAGTGCCATGTAAAGCAATGAGACTTCATGTATGAACTTAATATTTTCTTAATTAAATACTTAAAATTTCAAATGTACTTTAATTTTTCAGTAAGTTCTTTTATGTTTATGGTTTCAATCTAAAGATTTTGTAACCAACACCAGTGTAGTATCTTTCACCATCTCAACCTGATTTGACAATCAAATTACAAAATGACTAATTTTTGAGTTATTTTTCAGAATTTTAAAATGACTTCATCTCTGTTGTTGGAATAACATAACCAGATTTATATATACGCCACAAACTTATTGCTTGACTGAAAAATGATGAAAATGGAAAAATGTAAAATAGGTTTCAATATTCAAAGGTAATAAATACTTCTTTTAAGTAATCTGTCATTTATTGACCTGCATTATCTCGTTCCACAGTTGACGTAGCAACAAAAGCCATGTTGATCAGAGGCGAATTAATATAATGGTATAGGTAATACAATGCCAAATAAACACCATCATAAAAAGCATTTTTCTTAAATGTTTTGTTGTTTCTTTTAACATTAATTACTTCTTTTACCAAATGCATATGTGTTAGTCCATCCTAAATTTGTACATAAAAGTACCAGTCAATGTATTAACTGCTTTTGAATTTCAATCTAAATCTAATAAATTGATTCTGCTACTGTAAAGTTAAATGCACCGGGCCCTGTAGGGGGGAAGACATGTCTGTCCCTGAAACAGATAGTTGCCCACAGTCTGGATAAGGTAATCTCAGGGCAGCAAACAAAAAGGTTATCTGACTGTAGTTTATTTAGTAACCAGTAAGTCCTCAATCGGGATCAAAGCTGGGTCACTTGTTGTAGAATTAAGATACTAATTATAAAACACCGACACTGATAAACTAACTGCAACAAGACAAAAACACTGTTGTGACATGGTGATATTTTTGCAAACCCATGTCCACAAGCACATTTTTTTTTCACTATGTATTTACACTTAACTAGCAAATTAAAGAAGAACATCACATAACAAGAACTTGTTATTTGACATTATTCATAACTCATCCCTAAAACATCCATACAATGTGATGAAAAGAAGATAAAAAAGAAGGTGATAAGATTAATCATGGTGTGAGTTAGTGACAAATTTAATTTGAATGTAACAAAATTTGTCTTGACAGGCTGACAGTATTTTAATATATAAAAGATTAATGTTCACATCATCTTATAACCTGTACTCTCACTGTCAACTTGACCCTATAACAGAGGCATGAGGTGAAAAATGCAGACATAGTGAGGAACCTAATCAACACCATTTCAGAAAAGAAGATAAAAAAGAAGGTGATAAGATTAATCATGGTGTGAGTTAGTGACAAATTTAATTTGAATGTAACAAAATTTGTCTTGACAGGCTGACAGTATTTTAATATATAAAAGATTAATGTTCACATCATCTTATAACCTGTACTCTCACTGTCAACTTGACCCTATAACAGAGGCATGAGGTGAAAAATGCAGACATAGTGAGGAACCTAATCAACACCATTTCATTTTAAAACCAAGCCAATATCAAGTCATCACCTCAAACATTGGGGGAAAGACAGGAACACTTAACACAAACAATGGGGAATCGTGCTCTGTTAGCAGAGTATTCTGTAATGGTCTTTCTGGTCATTTTGGGCCATTCCCAACTAGTCACTAGTCAGTTGGCATCTCAGGGTCCCCAGGGGGTGGCTGGTCCTCCGGGACCCCAGGGACCCCCAGGGACCCCAGGAATTCCAGGCACCCCAGGATTACCTGGTTATCCAGCATTTCAATGCAACCAAGTGACTTCAGAGAGAGCTACATCGTCAGGTAGGGACACCCTCAAGTTTCTGACATTTTCATAAGTCTTACTTTCAAATTGGTTTAAAAAATTCCAATCTAAGTCAGTAAAATGTCCAAAGATGAATATCAGCAAAATAATTGCACGAATGTTAAATTTTGTGAGACCAGCTTCTTACGTAACTCACAAACAAATTATCAACCAATTCCAGTATTAACAAATGCAAATGCTTTTGGGTTATAGAATAGTACTGTTTATAAAATCAAGTAAAGACCATCTACTACTTAATATGTTCTCCTACTTACTTCCATAACACAATGCATAATTTCAAATTAGGTGTAACTCCCCTTCAGACAGCCTTTACAGTCAAGCTCACAAAGCACCATCAAGCTACCACATCACCAACAATAGTCATATTTGACTACAGTATAACTAACCTGGGCAACAACTATGACACCAACACTGGAGTGTTCACTGCCCCGAGGAAAGGCACTTACTTCTTTAGTATCCACACCCTAACTAATACCAACCAAAATGTGGACCTCTGGATTGAGAAGAATGGGGTCAGAGTTGTTACCAGTTACGGGAACTCTGGACAGTGTGCCTGTGCCTTTGTCAGTCTGGGGAACAGCGTCACGCTGCAGCTGATAGCCGGAGACAAAATAACAGTCAAGGCGACAGGTGGGGAAATCAATGGTGATTCAAACCATTCACATTCTACTTTTACTGGATATCTCATTTACTCTGGTTAAGACTCAATGCCACCATTGCCTACAGACTTGCTTAATTTTATCAAAGTCAGTTCCATGTCCAAGAAGTGGGCTACTTGTTGTAATGGGCAATCTATCAAATGTATTAGCTTTCTGACACTTTTTAATTTTTGCTAAATCAAGAAATTATGCAAAGCTTCAACAGTACTTCTCCTCTTTCAATGTCCTAAGGACCCTGATCCTTCAAGATGTTTTTCCACACCACAGTACCACATATAGCTGGTCAATAAATTCAAATAATATAAATATGAAATAATTTTTTCAAAGCAATACTTTGTTAGTAACACTTTTAACATCCGATTCAGAAGTTTTAGAAACTTCATTGGCCTAGTATTGAAAAGTATATTTCAGTGAGTAACAAAAATGATAAATCGTGAAATTTTTAAGTGAAATATTAGAGTGAGAGAGATGTTTGACAATTTTAAGTAATCAACCAAGCTGTCACAGTTTTTACTTACAAACCAAAGTGTTCATCAAAGACGTGGCACCTGGATACATCATTCTTCTTCCAAATGTGTGTGCTACCACATAGCTGAAAACACCATTAACTCAACTGAATGTAACAAAGACTGCATTGTACGGTCAGTTACAGTGACAATTTTTTTCCTAACAACAGGTAATAAATTAATTTTACATTCAAATTGCATTGTATTAGGATAATATTAAGCAAGTGACTTGGCTGGATCCCAGAATTTTTTTTTTTTTTTTTTTTTTTTTTTTTTTTTTTTTTTTTTTTTTTTTTTTTGGGAGGAGGGGAGGGGGATCATCAAAATTTGTCACAAATTAAACAAACAATTGCCACACTAATTTACTTATTTACACATTACCTATGCAATAACAAATTGCTAATAATCAACAATGTCCGCCTACATTGTCAACTTTACCTGACTATATTGCAAGGAAGAAACTTGATGAGGCTGACAATCCCCCTGGATTTGGCTGTCCCAGGGAGCTGGATCAGAGGTTTGCTGCCATCACTGAAACAAAAGTCAATAATTTCTTGGTGAGTGTATATTTGTCTGGTATGACAATGTGACACATGCTTAAAGATTCGAAAAAAACCAGGAGCGGTAATGTACATTCAGTCTTTTTGTTGCATTAATTTTGTATTTGTAAGACTAAACTGTACACTGCTTTATCTATTCTCCAAATCCTAATCTGATTTTTGTCCATTTGTCTGTCTGTATGTTTGTCTGCCTTTCTGTCTGTCTGTCTGTCTGCCTGCTTTTCTTTCTGCTTGTCTGTCTGTCTGTGTGACAACCAAGGCCCATGTCTCACCCTCTGCTGCCTTCTTTCCAACTGAAGTTGACAGGCCAGGCCCAAAATTCAAAATCATATCTTCTTAATAAACGCTGAAATAAAAAGGAATCATTACCATTCAACAAGAAATTCACACATTCTCTTATATGATATCTAAGCTAAGTCATGTTCACAAGCAGTCTAACTTAAAGAGAATTTTTAATGGTTTAACCATGCATTCTAATTTCTGATTGCAATTTTAGATTTATCTGAAAATTGAATGTTATTTATTTTACACATTTCTGAAGAATCTCAGGGATGGGGAGTAGGTATCGAAGTGGAGGGTGGAGGGGGGCGCAAACCCTTTGTCTCTTGGTGTGTTAATCCCCAAACTGGTAACTCTTGGACTTGCAAAATAATGCTTATCATCAGTTTCCTTCTCCAGAAACTATATTTCAATCCAGCTCACCATATTTTCTGGAGTTAGAGATTTCCTTGCAGCCTGCAGCACAGCAATGAATGTAATATAATCTGTATTGGTAAACCTCCCTATGCCTAGAAGCAAATTAAATCATTACAGATGCACCAGATGTCCAAATGTTCTGCATAAATTACTGGAAAGGTCCCATTGCTTACTATAATAATAATAATAATAATAATTTTTTTAATAAACAGTTCCGTATCAGATTTAAACCCTGTGAATTTTCAGTTGCACACAGACCTTCCACATACTGGTAAATATGAGACTCATTATCCGTAAATGTTTAGGAAAGCTGGTCCTTCAAATAAAAGAATACTAGTTTTGTAATTGTATTATTAACAATTCTAAAAATTCTAGTTGATCTTACTCAAGGTGTAAATAATAACTGTTCTTAAAATATATTCTTAACTCACTCACCTCGAAATAAAGTTGATCCCACTATAAGTATAAGAAGTCCTGCTGCCATTCTACTCATACTTGCCAGGCCATCCATACTGAACCAATCTAAATTCATAGGTAACAGAAATGATAATCCATGGTTCAGTATCATGTGTTAAAGATTTTAACAACCTGCCCAGTGCTAATATTTTTTTTCTGTTAGTTACAGTACATCATATATGTAGAGTATCAGAATAACTTTCATTTTTTGTGTGCGCGCATGTGTGTGTGTGTGTGGGGGGGGGGGGTTAAGGATTATTGCACCCTATGTTTTCTTAATATTCTGGACTTGTCGGTATAGGAACATGCCAATATATCGAGTGCAGTACTTACTTCTCCTGTACATCATGACCAACAGAACAGGAGACGTCCATCTGCAGAGACCCAGACAGAACCTTAACTGGAAGAGGATAAAACAGGTATAACCTTCAAAGCAGTACATGTTNTTTTGTGAGACCAGCTTCTTACCTAACTCACGAACAAATTATCAACCAATTCCAGTATTAACAAGTGCAAATGCTTTTGGGTTATAGAATAGTACTGTTTATAAAATCAAGTAACAACCATCTACTACTTAATATGTGCTACTACTTACTTCCATAACACAATGCATAATTTCAAATTAGGTGTAACTCCGCTTCAGACAGCCTTTACAGTAAAGCTCACAAAGCACCATCCAGCTACCACATCGCCAACAATAGTCATATTTGACTACAGTATAACTAACCTGGGCAACAACTACGACACAAACACTGGAGTGTTCACTGCCCCGAGGAAAGGCACTTACTTCTTTAGTATCCACACCCTAACTAATACCAACCAAAATGTGGACCTATGGATTGAGAAGAATGGGGTCAGAATTGTCACCAGTTATGGGAACTCTGGACAGTGTGCCTGTGCCTTTGCCAGTCTGGGGAACAGCGTCACGCTGCAGCTGATAGCCGGAGACAAAATAACAGTCAAGGCAGCAGGTGGGGAAATCAATGGTGATTCAAACCATTCACATTCTACTTTCACTGGATATCTCATTTACTCTGGTTAAGACTCAATGCCACCATTGCCTACAGACTTGCTTAATTTTATCAAAGTCAGTTCCATGTCCAAGAAGTGGGCTACTTGTTGTAATGGGCAATCTATCAAATGTATTAGCTTTCTGACACTTTTTAATTTTTGCTAAATCAAGAAATTATGCAAAGCTTCAACAGTACTTCTCCTCTTTCAATGTCCTAAGGACCCTGATCCTTCAAGATGTTTTTCCACACCACAGTACCACATATAGCTGGTCAATAAATTCAAACAATATAAATATGAAATAATTTTGTTCAAACCAATATTTTTAGTAACACTTTCAACCTCTGATTCAAAAGTTTTAGAAACTTTACTGGCCTAGTGTTGAAAAGTATATTTCAGTGAGTAACAAAAATGACAAATTGTGAAATTTTTAAGTGAAATATTAGAGTGAGAGAGATGTTTGACAATTTTAAGTAATCAACCAAGCTGTCACAGTTTTTACTTACAAACCAAAGTGTTCATCAGAGACGTGGCACCTGGATACATCATTCTTCTTCCAAATGTGTGTGCTACCACATAGCTGAAAACACCATTAACTCAACTGAATGTAACAAAGACTGCATTGTATGGTCAGTTACAGTGACAATTTTTTCCTAACTACAGGTAATAAATTAATTTTACATTCAAATTGCATTGTATTAGGATAATATTATGCAAGTGACTCGGTTGGATCCCAGAATACAGGAATAAAAAAAATAAATAAAAGCCATTGTGAAGAAAAAACTGTTGCTGCACCTTGACTAAATGAATACATACAATGCAGTTTACATATTTCACACTGTCATTCTTTTTGAGATGACACTGAATTTTTTTTTCTTTTTTTAAGGGGGGGGTATCATCAAAATTTGTCACAAATGGAATAAACAATTGCCACACTAATTTACATATTTACACATGACCTATGCAATAACAAATTGCTAATAATCAACAATATCCGCCTATATTGTCAACCTTACCTGACTATATTGCAAGGAAGAAACTTGATGAGGCTGACAATCCCCCTGGATTTGGCTGTGCCAGGGAGCTGGATCAGAGGTTTGCTGCCATCACTGAAACAAAAGTCAGTAATTTCTTGGTGAGTGCATATTTGTCTGGTATGATAATGTGACTCATGCTTAAAGATTCGAAAATACCAGGAGCAGTAATGTACATTCAATCTTTTTGTTACATTAATTTTGTATTTGTAAGACTAAACTGTACACTGCTTTATCTATTCTCCAAATCCTAATCTGATTTTTGTCCATTTGTCTGTCTGTCTGTTTATCTGCCTTTTTGTCTGTATGTCTGTCTTTCTGCCTGCTTTTCTTTCTGTTTGTCTGTCTGTCTGTCTGTGTGACAACCAAGGCCCATGTCTCACCCTCTGCTGCCTTCTTTCCAACTGAAGTTGACAGGCCAGGCCCAAAATTCAAAATCATATCTTCTTAATAAACGCTAAAAAAAGGAATCATTACCATTCAACAAGAAATTCACACATTCTCTTATATAATATGTAAGCTATCTACAGTTATGTTCACAAGCAGTCTAACTTAAAGAGAACTTTACATGATTTAACCATGCATTACTGTACTTGTATAGTCACTGGTTTAATATTGCTTTTTACAGTAGATGGAGGTAAATCTCTCATTCTAACGTCTGATTTTAATTTTAATTTTATCTAAAAATTGAATGTTACTTATTTTACACATTTTTGAAGAATCTCAAGGATGGAGAGTAGGTGTTGGGGTTGGGGTGGGGCGCAAACTCTTTGTCCCTTGGTGTGATAATCCCCAAACAGGTAACCCTTGGACTTGCAAAATAATGCTTATCATCAGTTCCCTTCTCCAGAAACTATATTTCAATCCAGCTCACCATATTTTCTGGAGTTAGAGATTTCCTTGCAGCCTGCAGCACAGCAATGAATGTAATATAATCTGTATTGGTAAACCTCCCTATGCCTAGAAGCAAATTAAATCATTAGAGATGCACCAGATGTCCAAATGTTCTGCATTAATTACTGGAAAGGTCCCAGTGCTTCCTTTAATAATAATAATAATAATAATAATAATAATAATAATATTTTTTTTAAATAAACAGTTCCGTATCAAATTTAAACCCTGTGAATTTTCAATTGTACACAGACCTTCCACATACTGATAAATATGAAACTCATTAGCCAAATGTTCATTTATCCTAGGAAAGCTGGTCCTTCAAATACAAGAATACTAGTTTTGTGTCCTACACAAGGTGTAAATAATAACTGGTCTTGGAATATATTCTTAACTCACTTACCTCGAAATAAAGTTGATCCCACTATAAGTATAAGAAGTCCTGCTGCCATTCTACTCATACTTGCCAGGCCATCCATACTGAACCAATCTAAAATCATAGGTAATAGACATAATAATCCATGGTTCAGTATCATGTGTTAAGGATTTCATTCATTTCTTCTATGCACGCGCGTGCACGTGTGTGTGTGTGTAGGGGGGGGGGGGTTAAGGATTATTGCACCCTATGTTTTCTTAATATTCTGGACTTGTCGGTATAGGAACATGCCAATATATCGAGTGCAGTACTTACTTCTCCTGTACATCATGACCAACAGAACAGGAGACGTCCATCTGCAGAGACCCAGACAGAACCTTAACTGGAAGAGAATAAAACAGGTATAACCTTCAAAGCAGTACATGCTCCTTTCTTAAAAATCCACTAAACTTTTTTTTATTTTACCTGATTCATTTTTCTTCAGAAACTGTTTATGAACATATGAAGACACTCAACTTCTGTAAAAACATCACAAATATTTAGTATACATATATAAGCTGTTTTTTATTTACCTGCTTAGATGTTCAAAGACGATTGTCATAATTCACTCTAGTAGCACAGACTCAGACTTGTAAAATGAAAGTCTATCTGCTGTTTAGTCGAAATAAATGGATGATTTGATACATGTGACAAAGAGAAACCATGCAACATACACAGGCACAATTTATATGCAGCATACGTCATTTGGAACAAAATTCAGGAAGTCAAAATTTCTGACAACTGACCGAGGGAAAAGACTGCCCAAATATACAAAAAGAAGTTATTATAGCCAAGCACATTTTGGCTCAGCAAGCCGTACTTACCCATTTGATAACTAAATCACTTCCATGTTCAACACCATTTGGGGCATAATTCCTTCCCTGAAGGTACGTGGAAAAATTATAAAAGTTCACTGTAAGTACATATGAAAGCTCAAAAAAAAAATCAAATGTGTGCAAACATTATGCAACATCACTGACATTAGTTGTTATTATATAAAGATGACAAAGATACATTATTTATTTAGATTACTAAGGCAGCATATTGATTAGTTTATATAATGGCATTACATTTGTTTCTAACTTTTCTCGACATCCTTTCGAGTTTTGTATGTATACTTAAATATCTCGGAGTTTCAAATCTGCCCCACATTCGTGCAAGGTGTAAATATTTTCGGTCGATTTCTATTACATAAGTTTAATGGGATTGATAATAATTGCACCCACTCTCACTTAGGTACGTACCCGTTCAGTTTCATTTTTATGAATTCTAAACAATCTCGGACCGAAAATGCAGCGAACAAGTGCCATGTTTTGACTGGAACCTCATTCGATAGGTGTCGCTCTTAACGTTGTCTAACACTTCGGTTGAATTTTATTAAAACGTTAGGTTTTTTACGTGAGTTTTAACCTCCAAATCTTTGGTCGTCCAAAACTTACACTGATTTAGTTTGAATGAAATTATTTATATTGGCAGAACAAAAAATATATTAGGTTTGTACTTTTTGTCACGTCTTGTGTGGGTCGCACACTTTCGAAAGTCCTCTATCGATGATTTTGGTTGCCTGTTAAAGAGAAAATGGCGTAGCGTAAACAATAATTGTTGGACAAAGGTCATCAAGTAAATTTGTCCAGGTTCTCAGGAAAAATGCAACGGAAGTAACTCCCAATATGAGTAGTCCAATTTCAAAGAGACTCGATCCTTTGGAGGAGGTACCCAAGAAGACAAAGAAAAAAGATGCGAGTCAAAAAGAATCGAAAGAGCAGCGGCAGCTGCGACACAGGAAAGAAAACATGCAACGATACACGAGAAAAGCGGCTGTGAAAAAGAAAGTCTTTACGCCAAAGCATGTTATCACAGTTGATACATCAAAAGCCAAGTATAACCAGGACATTGTGCGCTTATGTGTAAAGGAACTTGGGTGGAAAGAGGTAAGCGTTTAAGTTTACAGACAAATGTTTACAGAAAATCGCACTTGCTGACCTGAAAATGGGGTGGGGGCACCTGTTGTTATTGTGAAGTCTCACCTCTGCTCCATATTTACTGCAGACACGTATGGGACAGGTGAATCTAGGGCACCTGCTGATTGTTCAGTGTTGTGACTGTTTTTATCTGTGAAAAGTCACATTTTGAATAGTTCGATCCTGGCTAATTATTAAAACTTCATAATATTATGTTTAATTTTTTTAGCCAATCTGCATTTCACCCCATCTACACCCCCCTCATATTATCACTGAGGTAAACAGAGGGCCAGACCTATTTATGTCATTAGATTTTTATTTCAATTTTATTAATTGCCAAATATTTTTAATTAGAACTGTAGTTTTGCAGAAGTTGCTGATACATGTACTGTTATTTTTTCTCCAGTATCCATATGGAAAAAAAGATGGCAGCTGTGACATATACTGGCATTGTAATGGGTTCAATGACACTGATGTCATCTCTGGCAGAGTCAACAAGTTTCCAGGTAAGCTTGGTTGGAGAAAGGCACATACATTTCTTTTTTAAATTTCTTTTTTAATGTTTTCAAATAAACTTTGTTGACTGGAGAATATCAAAGCCTCTTTATTTCTTATGGGATCAGATTTATATTTTATACAGAGAGAATCTTCTTCTTCTGAAGGAATCAGTAGCCTTTGAAGAGTTAATTCACCTTTAAATAAAACATATTTCTCCCAAGGGAACAGCACTTATGTTATATCTTATGATTTTAAAAGTAGCTATATGATCATATTTTGAATATTTGTAAAATCACTAACTTCAGATTTACAACAGATCTGTTCTCTCACTGTGCATTATATTTTGCTAGGAATGGATGAGCTGTCTAAGAAGATTGAATTGACCCGTGCAATGGAAACAATGCAGTTTTTATTCCCAGATGACTACACTTTCTACCCCAGAACATGGCTTCTCCCCCAGCAGCTCACAGAGTTTGCAGCAGAAGTGAACTTGAAACGGAGAAGACACCCCAAACTGAAAACCACATACATTGTCAAACCAGATGGAGGCTCACAGGGGGATGGCATCTACTTGATTCGTGATCCCAATGATTATATGCTGACACATAAATCTCATGTTGTACAGGAATATATAGACAGACCATTCCTGCTGGAGAAATACAAATTTGACTTGAGGATATATGTAATGTTGCTAAGCTTAGAACCTCTGGAGATCTACATCAGCAAGGAAGGGATGGCACGGTTCTGTACAGTGCCCTATGAGGCACCCAAGGTTAAAAACTTACACGAAGCTTACATGCACCTGACTAATTATTCCTTAAACAAGCACAGCACCACATATGTGCATACAGAAAACCAGCACGACGGGAGCAAGAGGACGCTGAGTAGCGTGTGGAGTAAACTGGACAGCATGGGCCATGACAGTGATCAGATATGGAAAGAGATTGAGCTGGTGGCTCTGAAGACTGTCTTTGCGCTTGCCCCAGAGCTGAGAGTGGAGTACAAGGCAGAAATCCCTGAGGAGAAATCAGGACCTGGTTGCTTCCAGGTACACAACTTGTTTTGAATGACAAAGGCTTAGCATAAGTTTTCACAGAAGAGGTTGGATAAGTATATAATGTCCTTTTCAAGCATATTCAAAATGTATTCAGTATGCATGGTCTTTATCATCATCCACCAAAGAAATATTTCATTGTATTGTATTTATTTTAAATACTGTACTAGTACATAATATTTAACTAATAGAAACCTATTTCCAGTTAAGATGGGTTAACCCAACCTAAAATCATTCTGTTTAGCAAGCTGTCTTGTTTTGGTTAGCCCACTATAGGAGGTCAGTGTAATGACTTGCTTGCGTAGTCACATTGGGTTGGGAGGAACAACAGAGGCTTAGATTTGTTCCCTATGTAGAACTTATCATAATTAGTTAATGACATCAGGCAGTTTTAGCAGTTTGACTTTATTGTGGCTGTGAATAGGACAACAGAGGAATCCGATTTGTTCCCTATGAGAGTCAGCCAACCTAAGTAACATGGACCCATTGTCAGTGTAAACACTCCTCATTATTCCAATTTTATTTGTTCTCCAGATCTTGGGGCTGGACATCCTGCTAACAGAGGACCTGCAGCCCATACTACTGGAGGTGAACTCTAGCCCCAGTCTTAGGACAGACTATGAAAAGGAGGTGGCCCCGGGGGTGGTGGAGTACATCCACAGTCCAGTGGACCTCGATATCAAGAAACCAGTCATTATGGAGACACTGCTTCTAGTGGCACCAAAGAAGAAACTTCAGATGAAACAGAGGTGAGAGATTTTTCCCTGCTCATGTTGTGTAAAGATATGATTTGTAGGTTTTGCCAACTCCTGATACAGTAACTGCTTTATAATATTAGCTGTGTAACGACTAAGTGTCACAGTGCCTGCACCCTGTATATAATTCCAAACTCCACTGCCTTTACGAAGTTAACATACTTTCACAATAAAAAAGGTTCATAATATGCTATTTTCTGCATCATTCTTTCTTTACAGATTTAATTTATTTACTTCTTTCATAAGAGCTGATTTATAAATATAATACTCTTTCTTTCAGGAGATCAAACAGATCATCTAAGAAGAAGCAGGTAGATAGTCTGTGTGTTCCTGTACAAGATTCCATCAGCCAGAGTCCCCCTGTCACACCTCTCTCCTGCAGATATCTGCAGCGGGACTACACTGGGTATGTCCCTTTACCATTAATTTAGCTTAAGATCAAACAAAAATTTCCATACGTTTTAGCATTGAGAAAGTTTGGGGAGTAAGGAGAGTCACTGACATTCTTACAAACTTCAGCGTCAAAAATTCTAAAGGAGATTATGTTGATAGAAGCCATTACCTCATAACTATTTGCACTGACAAGTTCATCTGCTAATTGAAACACACTTGCAGAGCTTGGTCCATTTGTGTGGGAAAATTTTTTCTTGCATTATGGTATTTTGCTTCATTGCTTTGAAATATTGCATGAGAAGATTGGTGCATGGATAAATGAAGCTCAATCTTTGTATGTTGATTTTATTCCTAGTGATTGAGACCTTGAGGAATGACCCTAAACTCTTTTCTTGTCTGCTTTTTTTTGCAAAAGATGATATCATTTATTATATTTCTCACCTGTCAGATATGAAGAGGAAGATGAAGAAGACCACCACTCAGACCCTTCCTCTGGTACTGAGTCAGACTCCCCAACTCCCTCTCACTCATACCCTGGGGTTCACAGCCCCGATGAGAAAGTGCTGTACCAGCTGTACCCTGGCAGGTACAGTGGTGTGTATGATGACCTCAGGGTGCTGGAGAGGACAGCGGATATCTTCCTGAAGTGTCTCGGGGTGCGCAGCTCACTTAGGATGGGACCTACAGGGTTTAGAATGTTTACTAGGTGGGTTTATTTGATAGAATGCCATAAATGGTACTGGTGAAATAAATAGTTGCCAAAATCATACATTTTTGGCCTGTTAAAAAACACCTCCGAAGCAAAAAAAAAAGACCCCATATAACTAGATTTAATTTTATCACAGTACTAAACTTTGAACATATTAACAATGATTTTTATTTTTTTATTTTTTTTTTTTTTTACTCTTTTTTTATTTATTTTTTTTTTTTACAACAGGAAATGTCGCCTGACTACCAATGGTTTGAGTAACGCTGCAGTTGATATCATGTTTATAGAGCTGCATAGAAAGTGGGAATTCCTGAACCCTGATAGAACTACAGGTATGTAACACAGTGACTCTGTGAGGTGCCACTGTCAGGTATATATAATGTATTCATTGAACTTAGGGTGTATTATTGTACCACCAGCGTTAGCGCTGGCGGTACACATGGTTTCGGTCCCGTCCGGATCGTTCCGCCGGCTCCGCCGGCTCCGCCGGACGGCTACCGTTACCGCTTCTCCTCCTAGACGGTAAGGGCCCNAAAAAAAAAAAAAGCAAAAAGTGTGCAAACATTATGCAACATCACTGACATTAGTTGTTATTATATAAAGATGACAAAGATACATTATTTATTTAGATTACTAAGGCAGCATATTGATTAGTTTATATAATGGCATTACATTTGTTTCTACCTTTTCTCGACATCCTTTCGAGTTTTGTATGTATACTTAAATATCTCGGAGTTTCAAATCTGCCCCACATTCGTGCAAGGTGTAAATATTTTCGGTCGATTTCTATTACATAAGTTCAATGGGATTGATAATAATTGCACCCACTCTCACTTAGGTACGTACCCGTTCAGTTTCATTTTTATGAATTCTAAACAATCTCGGACCGAAAATGCAGCGAACAAGTGCCATGTTTTGACTGGAACCTTATTCGATAGGTGTCGCTCTTAACGTTGTCTAACACTTCGGTTGAATTTTATTAAAACGTTAGGTTTTTTACGTGAGTTTTAACCTCCAAATCTTTGGTCGTCCAAAACTTACACTGATTTAGTTTGAATGAAATTATTTATATTGGCAGAACAAAAAATATATTAGGTTTGTACTTTTTGTCACGTCTTGTGTGGGTCGCACACTTTCGAAAGCCCTCTATCGATGATTTTGGTTGCCTGTTAAAGAGAAAATGGCGTAGCGTAAACAATAATTGTTGGACAAAGGTCATCAAGTAAATTTGTCCAGGTTCTCAGGAAAAATGCAACGGAAGTAACTCCCAATATGAGTAGTCCAATTTCAAAGAGACTCGATCCTTTGGAGGAGGTACCCAAGAAGACAAAGAAAAAAGATGCGAGTCAAAAAGAATCGAAAGAGCAGCGGCAGCTGCGACACAGGAAAGAAAACATGCAACGATACACGAGAAAAGCGGCTGTGAAAAAGAAAGTCTTTACGCCAAAGCATGTCATCACAGTTGATACATCAAAAGCCAAGTATAACCAGGACATTGTGCGCTTATGTGTAAAGGAACTTGGGTGGAAAGAGGTAAGCGTTTAAGTTTACAGACAAATGTTTACAGAAAATCGCACTTGCTGACCTGAAAATGGGGTGGGGGCACCTGTTGTTATTGTGAAGTCTCACCTCTGCACAATATTTACTGCAGACACGTATGGGACAGGTGAATCTAGGCCATCTGCTGATTGTTCAGTGTTGTGACTGTTTTATCTGTGAAAAGTCACATTTAAATTGAATTGTCCCTGGCTAATTTTAAAACTTCATAATATTATGTTTAATTTTTTTAGCCAATCTGCATTTCACCCCATCTACAGTGTACACCCCCCCCCATATTGTCACTGAGGTAAACAGAGGACCAGACCTATTTATGTCATTAGATTTTTATTTCAATTTTATTAATTGCCAAATATTTTTTTAATTAGAACTGTAGTTTTGCAGAAGTGTACTATTTTGCTGATACTGTTATTTTTTCTCCAGTATCCATATGGAAAAAAGGATGGCAGCTGTGACATCTACTGGCATTGTAATGGGTTCAATGACACCGACGTCATCTCTGGCAGAGTTAACAAGTTTCCAGGTAAGCTTGGTTGGAGAAAGGCTCATAAATTTCTTTCATATATATACATACATTTCTTATCTTATGATTTTAAAAGTAGCTATATGGTAATTTTTTTCATTTTTGTAATGTCAGATTTAAAACATATCTGTTCCCTCACTGTGCATTATATTTTCCTAGGAATGGATGAGCTGTCTAAGAAGATTGAACTGACCCGGGCAATGGAAACAATGCAATTCTTATTCCCAGATGACTACACTTTCTACCCCAGAACATGGCTACTCCCCCAACAGCTCACAGAGTTTGCCGCAGAAGTGAACTTGAAACGGAGAAGACACCCCAAACTGAAAACCACATACATTGTCAAACCAGATGGAGGCTCACAGGGGGATGGCATCTACTTGATTCGTGATCCCAATGATTATATGCTGACACATAAATCACATGTTGTACAGGAATATATAGACAGACCATTCCTGCTGGAGAAGTACAAATTTGACTTGAGGATATATGTAATGCTGCTAAGTTTAGAACCTTTGGAGATTTACATCAGCAAGGAAGGGATGGCACGGTTCTGTACAGTGCCCTATGAGGCACCCAAGGTTAAAAACTTACACGAAGCCTACATGCACCTGACTAATTATTCCTTAAACAAACACAGCACCACATATGTGCATACAGAAAACCAGCACGACGGGAGCAAGAGGACGCTGAGTAGCGTGTGGAGTAAACTGGATAGCATGGGGCATGACAGTGATCAGATATGGAAAGAGATTGAGCTGGTGGCTCTGAAGACTGTCTTTGCACTTGCCCCAGAGCTGAGAGTGGAGTACAAGGCGGAGATTCCTGAGGAGAAATCAGGACCTGGGTGCTTCCAGGTACACAACTTGCTTTTAAATGTCAAAGGCTTAGTATGAGTTTTAACAGAAATGTTAAATAAGTATAGCATCTTTTTTGAAATGTATTCAATATGTCTCATCATCATCATCATCATCATATATTGCACATAATATGTAACACCTGTTATCAGTTAAGATGGGTTAACCCAATTTAAAATGATCCATCTTAGCCAGTTGTCTGGTTATAATTAGCTCACTACAGGAGGCTAGATCACTCAGTAACGACTTGCTCACTGTAGTCACATTCGGTTGGTGGTGGTGGGGGAGGGTGTAAACATTGTCAGTGTAAACACTCCTCATTCTTCCAATTTTATTTATTCCCCAGATCTTGGGGCTAGACATCTTGCTGACAGAGGACCTGCAGCCCATACTACTGGAGGTGAACTCCAGCCCCAGTCTTAGGACAGACTATGAGAAGGAGGTGGCCCCAGGGGTGGTGGAGTACATCCACAGCCCAGTGGACCTCGATATCAAGAAACCAGTCATCATGGAGACCCTGCTCCTAGTGGCACCAAAGAAGAAACTTCAGATGAAACAGAGGTGAGAGATTTTTCCCTGCTCATGTTGTGTAAAGATATGCTTTGTAGAAGTTTTTGTCAACTCCTGATACAGTAACTGCTTTATAATATTAGCTGTGTTAGACTAAGTGTCACAGTGCCTGTACTCTGTATATAATTCCAATTTCCAAACCCCCCTGCTGTTAAAAAGTTAACATACTTTCACAATAAAAAAGTTTCAAAATGTTTTCTAATGCAAGATATATTATTTGCTGCTTCATTCTTTCTTCACTGATATAATTTATTTACTTCTTTCACAAGAACTGATTTATAAATATAATTCTCTTTCTTTCAGGAGATCAAACAGATCATGTAAGAAGAAGCAGGTAGATAGTCTGTGTGTTCCTGTTCAAGATTCCATCAGCCAGAGCCCCCCTGTCACTCCTCTCTCCTGCAGATATCTGCAGCGGGACTACACTGGGTACGTAAGACAGGCCTTTTACCATTAATTTAGCTTAAGATCAAACAAAAATTTCCGTACATTTTAGGTTTGTGAATATTTGGGGAGTAAGGAGAATCACTGTCATTCTTACAAACCTCAGTATCAAAAATTCTAAAGGAGATTATGTTGATAGAAGTGTCTACCTCATAACTATATGCACTGACAATTTCATCTGCTAACTGAAACACACTTGCAGAGCTCGGTCCATTGGTGTGGAAAAATCTTTATTGCTCTATGGTATCTTGCTTAATTGCTTTGAAATATTGTATGAGATGATTGGGGCATGGATAAATGAAGCTCAATCTTTGTATGTTGATTTTATTCCTAGTGATTGAGAATTTGAGGAATGACCCTTAACTCTAAATGTGACTGACTCAAAACTCATCATTTATCATTTTATTTATCATTTATTATATTTCTCACCTATCAGATATGAGGAAGAAGATGAAGAAGACCACCACTCAGACCCTTCCTCTGGTACTGAGTCAGACTCCCCAACTCCCTCTCACTCATACCCTGGGGTTCACAGCCCTGATGAGAAAGTGCTGTACCAGCTGTACCCTGGCAGATACAGTGGTGTGTATGATGACCTCAGGGTGCTAGAGAGGACAGCGGATATCTTCCTGAAGTGTCTCGGGGTGCGCAGCTCACTGAGGATGGGACCTACAGGGTTTAGAATGTTTACTAGGTGGGTTTATTTGATAGAATGTCATAAATGGTAGCAGTGAAATAAAGTGTTGAAAAAACCATGGAAATTTTTTTTTTTTTAGAAAACACCTCTAAAGATAAAAAAGACCCCATATAACTAGATTTAAGTTTAGTAGTTATCACAGTACTGTTTTTCAAACATGACAATGATTTTTATGTTTTACCTTTTATTTTTTTTACAACAGGAAATGTCGCTTGACTACCAATGGTTTGAGTAACGCTGCAGTTGATATCATGTTTATAGAGCTGCACAGAAAGTGGGAATTCCTGAACCCAGATAGAACTACAGGTATGTAACACAGTAACTCTGTGAGGTGCCACTGTCAGGTATATATAATGTATTCATTGAACTTAGGGTGTAGTTTCAGGAAATATGGACATTACTTAACCTGGGCAGGGTGTTGTTTTATACTACCAGTAGAGAGATGAAAAATAAATGGAAAAAGGATTTTGATGTTTTTAACATAATGACACCTGTAGATGCAAGTATTTCATTTAAAGACATTCTGATATTTTTCCCAGAATAAGATGTATTACATCAAAAAAGTAAGTCTTTTTAAAATTTTTCTTGCCTTTCAAATAGGGTGAGAGAAGGACTCCATTTAAACTGAAATCTTATCAGAAACTTTCAGCTTTCACACAGAGGCAACACACAAGTCTTCAGAGCATATATCCCTGATCTGTAAGATATATATGTATTGCTCTTTGTATAAACTACATTAATGCTTACTTTTATTTTCTGCCAATACAGGAAAGTCTGACAAAAGAGTGTTTTTTTCCTTTACAGAAGCAAAGAAGCTAGCTCAGTTGGACTTTCGCCCAAGAGAGTGTATGCCATTATAAATTGTTTATTAATGATTTATTTGTTAGATATATTGTATCAGCTGAATGCAGGATTCAATTACCATGCAAGGACTTGATTATTCTTTGAATAAGTCATAGCTAAAAAATATCCCGCTAAAGCCAGTGCGATTATTTAGTGTTACCAGCACAAATCCATTGTTATCCAATGTAAAGCCCTTGCATATTATTGGTCCACCTGATACAATATACCCAGTACTCCAACACTTTGAACAACCTTCCTTGAGAAAGCAAGTGACCAAAAGTGATATATATTTAAATTTTGATGAACTTGTAGTCTTGTTTTTGTTGTCAAGGAAACTTGTTAAAAGTTATGAAGTATTAAGCATAGATGATACACTATATTTTATTTGCTTGCAGTCCCTTATCCAGCACAATATGCACTACTACTTAATATAATTATTTAATTATAGTTAAAATGTAATTAAGCAGACAGATCTGTTTTGTTTATATCTAAGTGCATGTGTAGGATAAATATGCAATTTATGACATACTCATTAACTTGTTTTTAAACTGAAATTGAACATTTGGGATACATGTAATTAATATAAAAGAGGATTGGCCTATACAGGCATGATTCAACCTGTAAGACCTTTTTAGAATTTAATTATGTGAAATATTACATATACAAATATTAATTATTAGAAAAACAAAATCATGTTTAAGAACAAGTTCTTATTTTTGTTTACTCTGAATTATATATTCTATTAGCTTCAGTATTTCCCATAGAAATGCACCCTCTTTGTTTGCTTTTGATTCCATAAATTCTTCAGCAAACAAACAATACAAACAAAGATTACTTTTATCATTTTTGCATAACCTTGTAATATTTTGTCCTTTATGTTAGCATAAAAAGAAAACACACAAGTTATTGGTGAATTCTGTAATCATTTTCCATTCCTGATACATGTATTTCTGCACATCAAATCAATTTAAAAATAACAAAGACAATGTACTTATATTATGTCACCAGCAAAAATGCTTGTTTTCTTTTTTTATTTGCATAAAAGCTAGTTATTAGAATCTATTTTTGCAGGTAGTATTTTTAAAATTATTTAAATTTGATTTGACTGCACACTTTCCTTTGCACGTAATCTTAGATGAGATATTTGAGCAACTTAAGAAGCACTCTTCGCAGACAGGTAGAGTTGGACGGGGCAGTGTTCTCCTGAGTTTTGGCAGTAACTCTGTGTCTGGTTTAGGCCTATGAATTTTGATTAATGTTGATATCAGATATCATTATACTGTTATATGATGTTTGTCTCAAACACTTACTCATACAGTTATAAGAATTGTTACCAAGTTTCTCTGGAACAAGAAATGAATGAATGAAAAGATAAATTTACTTACAAAAGATTTTTTAGGAGTATAAAAGAAAGTAAATTGGATCTATGTGTTAAGCTAACTGAGTTTACAAGATTCAATGTAAAAAAAAAGAACAAGAGAATACTGTGGTAATTTATAGCACCTTATACAGAGAACACTGCCCTTGGTTTGTTCTTTTAGTTAAGGGAGATCAATGCATTTTATAGTTTTAGTTTTCCCATTTGTGATGAGTTACTGGGAAGAGGATTTTATGATGATGCTCCTGTATGCATTTGACATATTTAAAAAAACCTGCATGCTTCTTCTTAACAGTTTTCCTCTTTTTAGACTTTTCCATTTGTTTGACAGAGTGAACAATTTTCTGTGGTATTTTATGCATATTTTTTCAATTTCTTCTTTTTGTATAAGCAGTTGTTGGAAATATTTTCTCTTCATTTCTATATTTAAATACATCAAGTAATTTAGTGCCTCATTGGACATGATATGTAAAAAAAAAGGCTGATATTTGAAAGCTGTGTTATTTCTGTGTTCACTGTTCACTGTATCACTTTGCTCTAGTAATTCCTCTCAATTACATCTACAATTATTGGTTTGTTTAGGTCTGTGCTTTCAAGGCTTCCTAGAGGCAGTGTTCACTATTGCCAAACGCAAGTTCCGAGGGCTGAGCAGACTGGATGGTGTTGCAGCACTCATAGACTACTGTGAGGCAAATTTAAGTGAGTACCAGAAGGCGCATTGTTGAATCGAACATATTAATACTTAAATATTGACATTTAATTTCTTGTATTTTTGGTACATCTTAATGAAAATAACCAGTCTTGGTTTATTATTTGTTAATCTGTTTGGAGTCACTAATATACTGTCATTAAGTTGGGGAATGGCCCTATTGGAAAATGGGATTGGGGGATGTGTGAGTGACTATTAAATTGTGACTTTAATCATGTTTATATTTGTACTGTGTTGTAACTTTATTAAAAATTGAACTATTGCATGTTTGCATGCTTTCACTTGGATCATCAGAAAGGTCGTCTAGAGTGGGTAAGACCATCATTGATCACTTTTATTTTCATGCTGTGGCTGGCAGTTTGTGTCACAATTTTTGGATGACTTTGAAGATTCCTGTCACTTTTGTTTTTCAGCTATATTTCAAGCACATGTGCATTTTGCTTAAAAGTCATATGAAATCCGGTTCTTCCAAGCTGAAGACTTAAAAATGATTTATTATTTTTTAGTCAAACAAGTCTTTAACTGTATTAGTTCTAGAGTTGAGGTTATTTCCATTGCAATTTAAGTTTCATTGTTTTATTTTTTTAATTAATTAATTTTATTATTATTATTTTTTTTTTTTTTTAATAATGAATTAGACGGACCCTTTTTATTTTGCATTTTGGCACATTACCATTCTCATTTTATTTCATAATTGTTTGTAGGCTTCACTCCACAAGGAGTGCATTTCATCACAATTGCTTTTCATGTGGCTGTTTTGCCTTATTTGTGCTTCCACATCGAAATTCTCTAAATTTTGTGAAAATTTATAATGTGGGTAATTTGTTGGTTATATTAACGAAAAAAAAAAGAACACATTGATTCTTATATTCATAAATTTTTCGTCTTTGCTGTGATTAATTTTTTAGTGAAGAAAAATGTTCTTGCCATGTTCATGCCAGCCTGTACTTGCCATTTTTCTTTCAGACTTTGGGAGACACGCTCGCCCGACCTATCTCCCTAAAGTGATGATGGCAGAGGCCGAGGACAGGCTGCAGCAGATGTCAATTTCGAAGCCGTCTAAGTACACTCGGTTGACCCAGTCAGATCACTTCATTGAATTCATCCGGCAACGGAACAAGAAAAAAGCAGAACAGGAGGATAACCTAAAGAGTGATGGCTAATGTATTCAGATGGAGTCTTATAATTGCTCAAATCAAACTTGTCCAATAATATTAAATCAAACTTTAGGATATTTTACTACAGATGTGAAATAAGGTCAACCATAATTGGTACAGCAATTGTATACATTGAGTACTAAGGTGTTTTAAGTTATGGTTTATTGATTTCCATGAGAAAAAAGTTTTACCAGAAGTAAGAGTTTAAACTTTTAATTACTTTTCAAAAAAAGGGTGAAGGTGCAATTGGTTATAAGTATTTTCAAAAGTTTTATACATCAGCATGTATTTAGAAAGCTAAAAAGCAGGCAGCACTGAAGTGGTCTAATGGCATATTTTATACACTACAGAGGAAGGTGTACAGTATGCAATATTGTCAAAAACTGGCTTAGATAAAGAGCTGATTGTTAACTAGAAAGCTGTGTTGGTGTAGTTTAGTAATATCTTAGAGTTAGATTAAGATTAACAGTAAGGACAAAGGTCTGTTGTCACTTGTTAGTTAAGTGAAACCCTTATTGAAAAAAAAACATTTGAAAATAACATTTTTATAATAGCACTGAAATAATGTTTATTTTTTAGTCATTCTAACTGAATTTAGAAATTTTATCTTGGATTTAAAAATTATTATTATAATTATTATTAGAATTATTATTATTTTTACGCAACCTGATATGTACTCAATATGTGCTGTATATTAATATGTGGTCTGGTCAGAATACTATGTGATACCCTTTAGAGGTGAGAGAGCATTTTTCTCTCACCTTTGGGTCATTTTTAGATATATTATGACATGCATACACCATGACATAATAGACCAATCCCACCTCACCGTTAAGAAAACTCAATATATGAATATATGTATATTTTAGATCAGACCAAAATATTATTTATATATTTTGGTTTCATTCTGCCTTCAAATATGTGTAAAAGCTGGCAGGGATAGTGTTGTAATTGTTAACATTTTGATACAATACATTACAACAACTCAGTAACAGCAGAAACTGGCCTTCCTTTAAAACAAGGGGTGCAAGCATATGTAAATAGATAGTGGGACTTTATCTCAACTTCCTGGAAGCTCTGTTTTTCTTCCATGGCATATTTATATACCATAAAGTGTTAAGGCCCACCGTCCTACATTATGGCCAAGTGAGATATCTGCCTGGTTGCATTTGCTTTTTATTTAAAAGAAAAACAAGTTATATCAATGTGCACTTTAGATGTAACAACACTGGTGTTAGCGATACTACCAATTTTGTTGTCATTGGAAATAATTAAATATTTAATGTACTATTTTTTATATAATTTGTATGTGCTCGTTTTGGTGCAGCATTGCATAATTGCAGTTGTTATCCGGTTGTACCTTATTTCCGTCCAGACTGCAGTTATCAGCAGTGGGTTGCTTCATGTGGTGTAAAAATTATGACACCTGTACGAGTTGTATTATAATAGTGAGTTATTAAAATATTTTCTGTTGTAAATGTGAGGTGTTGAAATCCTAAAATGATTGCTTGATTTATTTAGTTTATGATTTGTTCTATAATACTCATGTTTGTTGCCAAATGGGAATTATGTTTATAAAGCCGCAAAAAGGCAAGGTAAGTCCTTAAAAGTTAAGAGTATATTTGCTGAGGCGTCAAGTTCTCAAATGCAAAGCAGGTGATTTTCCCCATTCTAAGCTTACTGGTGAATTATTAGGCTAAGCACTGTATGACTTAGAAGTGTCATGTTAAAAGTAATGCAAGTTCGTTTGTTCTTTAACAGAACACTGGAATTTCTTGATAGTGTTACCATGCTCAATTTCTCCTGATGGCAATGAATAATAATTTAACTTGTTTTTATTCTGTTTTGAGTGTATGACAGAGTTTTAAGTTGAAACTTGACATGCAGAAAAAGGTGACTTAATGCAATAATCTCTGTGAGTATTTCCCTGCAAATTCACCATCAATGCCTTTATTCTTGTCAGGATTTCAAAATTATTTTTCATTCTTGGCAGCTCTACCTACATGATATTGCTCAAGTGAAAACTTCACAACTCCTGCAACTGTGACCAAAGAATGACCGAGTCCTAATTTTTTTTACTATAAAAATTATTTTTAGAACAAGAACCTCCATCGTGCGTGTGAAAGCTTTAATTTTGCATCCAGCATAATTAACTGGTGTTAGAGTGATATGTCTTTGCATGTTCTACAAAAATACGTAATATGGTCAAAAATAACATGATAATAAAAACAATATGTTTGAAAAAAACATTGGTCTTTGGTATTTTATTTAGACAAAAATAAATACCCACCATCTTTATTTCTTATTAACAGATATATCTTTAAATGATCCAGTCAGTATAATATTATTTTATTTCATCAAAACTCTGGTGACAATCTAAAAGGATCATCAATTTTATACAAAATCTTTGGAAATCATTTATAATAAATGATCTTAAGAATGAATACACACAAGTAACAAGTACATAACCAGTGGAATGCAAATAGATTTAAAATACTTAAAGCATTAAAATACTTCTCAGGTTAAAACCCTAGCATTAATAGAACAACTGGCACATTCAAATTCAGAGAACATAAAGAAAGCGATTCTACTAATTGCACTTGAAATATGTTACATATGTGCCTCTTGTCCCAATTAACTTAGTTGATATGCCAGGAAAGCATTGGAGGTTACTTCAACAAAGCTACAGATAAGCTTGATACACAAGTCTGATAGCACTTTCAACTTAAAAAACCTAAAAGACATTTTTGCCAAGTAGGAATTCTACTGCTTTTAATGGTCTTAAGTTCCTTCTCCAAATACATGTTTTCATATATTTACAGTACTGCAAGTGCTCCTGTGACATCCCCTGATGCTCGTCACATCTTACACAACTTTTTAATTCTCCAATGTACCTGTAGTGTATAATGAGACTGCTTGCAGCATGGTCTCATGGAAATGCTATATTATCTCATTTTTTGATTCTGTCAATAATCAATAATCATAAATGATTTACATGAGTTTGAGACATTTCATCCACCTAGTGTTCTTGAGATTTTTGCTTTTCAAACCAAACTTCATTTGTCCTGTTAAACATTTTAAAAGGGCTGTCGTATCCCGCAGTATAGTAGTAATCCTGGGCTATGGGCTCATCATTTTTCTGTAGACTGTTAGCTAAAGCTTGGGAGTGGTCTATCCACTTGTCATCATTGGCGAACCCTCCAAAGCTCCTAGAAAGGAAACAAAATACTCTGTCAATTTATGGTTCTAATTACAGTCTGTCAAAATGCTAATGGAACTGAAATGAGCCAGTAATATTTTTGATCATTTACTGGCTACTATTTCTGCTTGGGAATGGTGAAGTCTTATACCCTCATGTTGTGAATGGCTATTGGGCTAAAAAGTTTTGGGGACACACTGAAATCAAAACCCTGTTATATTTCTACAAACAATTTAATTTTTTTTAAATTTTATTCCACAACAATAAGACCCATTGCATGTTTTCACATTATGTATAATGTCTCAAAAAATATCAGCAGTACCAGAAACAAATTCAACAGATCAACAGACAAGCACAACTTATACCTCACAAACACATGCTTGGCAGGCCACTCCTCTAAGAACACATCTGGATTGGTTGGTTTTGGGGGATTTCCCTCATGTTTCTTCCCAATAAAGAACGATACAGTGAATGTGTTCTCACAGTTTGGCCCAGCCCCAGGGAGTATTCTAGTTGCCACAGGAGCTGTCATGTCTATCTTCATATCTGAAATATACAGAAACTGGATGAAAGGCATTTTATTCTAGATTCCTAGAACCAATATATATTCATTTTTATTTTCTACAATTTATTTGACATTGACAGGGGGCATCAATGAAGAGCTCTTAAATCGACATTAATTTCAACAGGTGAAATATTACTGGCCTATAGCATAATAGCAGCATTGAAAACTGTAAAACATGTCAAGGAATCAGATTCTTCATCTGTAAAATTAATTGTCACCATATTTATCAATAACTAGGTTTACTTACTACTATATTCTACCGGTAATTAACAATGAAGGTGTTAATGAACCGAATAATTTAAACTTAACATAAATGGTTATTTATGAATACAACAAGATTTCATACATATAATAGTAATAACAGTTTCTCTTAAGTATAAAAACACACCAACCCTTTAATACTCTTGCTACCTGATACTATTATTGTAAACATAAGAGTTTATATAAAATCTGATGAAAATTACCCTTTTCATTCTTCCCTTGAATATAGTTGAAAAGTTTCCAGAAACCCTGCCTCACAGAATAGCTATGGTCCATGCCTTTCTCTGTGGTGCTAACCCACATAGTGGCTGGATAGGCTCGCTCCTCATAGTCCTGCAGAATAATAATAATAATAATAATAATAGAATCATTTTCACTACAGGCCTAAAACTGTAATTAATATAACCCAGCAAAAGGAGAAATGAACCCTAAATATTTAGGAATTCTACATGCCACTTTTTGAATAGCTGTTTGAAGTCATATATATATATTAAATGAGTTGAGCTCAGCAGGAAGTGTGGTATATATGGAAAGAGATAGAATGAAAGAGTAGGCATTGTCTTTGACTATGCTGACCATCATTATCCTTTTCTAGAAGCCCATTCCTTCATATGTCAAGGCTAATCAGTACTACAACTTTCTCATCATATGCTTCTGAGTCATCCAAGTTTACTGGTACAAGTACCCTAAAACACTATGGTACTGGAATGGCACAATGTTCAAATACCATATGTGTACAATGTAGGTATAAATTTTCTGTGTCTTAGCTGAAAATACATGTACCTACATATATCAGCAGCAGATCTGATCTACAGTTCTATAAGTACAATATATATAAAATATAGTTTTCTTGACCACTTCTAGGTTCTAGAGCTTATCTGATGAGAGACACATGACAGACTTGACAGTCCAGCCAAAGGTTAAACTATTAGATAAAGTGCTGACACTGTTAACATGTATTTGGGTCATAAATCAGAACTGTCCACTGACCAGGTTTCATGTACTTATGTATGTTTTCAAGGATATCTATTTGTTTATTGATGGATTTATTTTACCTATAATACTGCATACAGCTGTCTATAGACATTTCAGCAACTATATTATGACTTTGGGGCAATTCTATATAAATGTGCAATTTGAAATTTCAATATCACAGGAAGGACGATCACCTGCAATGAAACTTATGCTTCCAAATAAAAACAACTGACTAAAATGGCATAAATCAAAAAGAAAATCAGTCAATTTCTTAAGTGACTGAGACTCATATTACAGTATAACTACATCATATATGGAACTCTACTGGTACGTACACGTGTATAAGAACAAAGTTCTGTAAATACATTCAGTACCTCATTCTTCCTGACAACTGTATAACTGGGCGTTTCTATGCCACTGGAGGTGAAGGCAGATGCAATGGTTTTCAGGATGGCAGTCATTTTGAAGTTCTGAAAGTGAGCATGTACCAGTAACATGAAAAGTTGACATTAATGGTACTTAACTTAAATATGCTTGTTCCAGGTCATTCCACAGAAAAAGTGGACTTCTGAGTCATTTTTAGTGGTGGACACACTTTGTGACATGTTTGCAAAATCCTGTTCTAATAAACTATTCTCTACCAGGTGGACAGGTTGATTTTTTAAAAAAAAATATTCACAGATATGTCTTAAGATAAATAGACAGTCATTTGATATTCTTGGCTTTTTGAAAACTTGCCTATAATATCTAACCCTGGTAGAGGGTACATGTAGTTCTAAACTAATTGACAGCCAGAAAAATGCCAGTACAACTAAAATATTCGACAATCATATGAACAATTTAATTACACCTAAATATCATCATCTTAATCCAGTTGTTCTTACCCTTGTAAACACTGATTTTGTTACCAATCTGTTCCCGTTTACTGCTAACATTCACTGGGTTTTATATTGTACAGCCTTGTCAGTGAAACCTAACTCATGTTTTCATAACACTCAAGGCCATGCGCATAAACACGTGCGGTTATCTAGGTCAGGTTGGCCGAGTCCAATGTTTGAGGTAGAACACGATGCTTAAAACTAATTTTAGTATTCATTATTTGCCATCAGCATAAGAAACTTTTGAAAGACATCCAGTATTAAGACTTTCTTGTACGAGCTTCTATCTTTATACAACAAGTGATGTTTCATTTGTTCTTCTTTATATATCTTGCCAAGGAATGTCTTCCCTTTTCATGAGACGGGTTGATTTATATTACTGTGCATATATTATGTTGTGTAACGTGAAAGTTAGTGTAAGACATCGGCAACAGGTGAGTATTAAGCTCTGTGTTAAATATTGGATTACTTATTGTTGTTGTGTAAGTGCATGCCCGTGTGTTTGATTTGTCTTGAATGTTTTACAGGAAATGTTCCCTTATTTTTCTGCCTAAGAGTCATGCTAAAGTATTGCTTGCACCCGCGGTGTAACAGGAATGAAAGTCCGCTACGAACCGTAGTCCGTATCCCATTACTTTGTACAGGTGACAATGCATTGTCCCATATACTAACCCCAATACTCAAACTAACCCTAACCTGTACTTATATGATATGGGAGCCCGGACTTCCATTCCTGTTACACCGGTACTTGTTCAACCCATCTGTGCACTTACATAGGTTCTATGTTCGAGTTTATTTTATTTTATTTTATTTATTTATTTATTTTTTTAATGATTGAGATAAAAATTCTGTCCGGTCATTTAAAAAGCCATGTCTTCTGTAAAGTTGTAGCTAACCATAGTAGCGTTGGATTTATAGGCATGGAAAAAAAAATTTTTTTTTTTTTTGGGGGGGGGGGGTATTTTCAAACTCACAGAAAACTGAGGGGCAAAATGAGATTCAACTGGGATCTCATATTTGCAGATGGTGAAATCATAATATTAATAAAGCTTTAAGACAGAAAAAAAAACTAAAAATAGAAAACTGACCTAGCTCACTTCTCAGAACCTATAGTAATAGCTTGTTCTCAAATTTAAAGGGCTTGCTACTGAGAACGTGTTTTTCCCTTTATGCTTATCTGACATAAACTAAAATAAGTGCTTCCAACATTTTGACTTACCATGGCACATTAGGCCTATATACTAGTAATTTGTAGTTTTAACTAAAATTCCATTGTTTGCAGGTTAGACTATATCATTTAACATTGTCCAATTTTTTTTTTTTTTTTTTTTTTTTTTTTTATCAGCTGTATTTACAACATGGTCATATGACTTTCTAATATGTGTAATACATATGTATTTCAGAGGTGAAACAATGCAAAGAACAATTTCAGTCGCTTTTTTCTTCCTGTCCCTGAGTCTTGCCCAAGCTGGGATTTTTGATGAAATTGCAGACCAAGCACTCAAGTTTGTGCCCAAGTATGCGCCCAAGTTTATCAAGAATGTAGAGACAGGCACCTCTTCAGGCAAACCCGCATTTTGCAATGACCTGGACTGTCCACAATATACAGTAGTGAAGAAAGAAAAAGTAAGTTTCTTTAAAATTAATTCATGTTGTTGCTTCTGGCAGATTTGTAGTTACCCTGTCATCTGTATCGGTAAAGTGTAGGGTTAGAATATTTGCAAAACTTCTCTTACCAAACAGGGCATAAATTTTTTAATCAAACTGAGTTTTTTCAACTTTAAACAATTTATATACATGGATATACTGTGCTTCTGTTTCTTATTTTCATCAAATCTAGTGTTTCCTAAGAACGAAACCCATTCTTATGGTTGGCCCCTAAAATAATGGGGCTTTTAGTTTTTTGCACTTCCCATTCCATACATTGCAGTACTTCAGTAGGCACAGTATGTGAGATTTTGCTTCAAAATACAGATATTCCTCCATTTAAAATAATTGCATGAATTAAGACATTTTTGCCTACATTTTCGGTATCCCTTTTTTTGTTTGTTTTAGGATTATGAAGTACGCAAGTATGTCAAAACCACCTGGGTGAGCACCAGTATGAATGGCATTAGCTATGATGAATCCATTTATAAAATGTTCATGAAGCTCTTCAATTATATCCAGGGAGATAATGTTGCAGGTTAGTGGTGATTATGATGATTATAGTAATTAATAATAATAGTAAAAGTTCTTTTATATAAACAGTAAAATGGTTCTTTTCTCGAAAAAGTGATTAGTGCTTCCCAAATTTCTTACTCTCTCTCTCTCTCCTTCTCCTTTCACCTGAGAAGGCAGAGATTAGTAAGAAAACTATAGCTTTACAAAATGAAGTAAACCAATGCTCTACAAAACTGTAAAATACTTGTACCCTAGAAGACAGAGAGATTTGAAAGACAACTTATTTTCAATTTACAAATCTTAAATTATATACCATAGTTGACATAATGCATAATGGCGTGTCAGGATTCCATTGAATTAAAGCTTTTTTGAATTGAAAAATAGGATTATAAAACTTAGAATTAAAAAAAAGGAATCTTTACTTTCAGATGAGAAGATTGCTATGACTGCCCCAGTAATAAACCGCCTGATTCCCGGCCCAGGCCCAGCGTGTGAGAATAACTTCACCATGTCGTTCTTCATGTCACCTAAAATCAAGGACCCACCTAAGCCTAAAAAGAAGGATGTTTTCCTCAGTACTTTGCCAGAACTGACTGCCTATGTCAGGTAAGTCTGTCAGAATGAGGAGTATTATATATTCAAAGAAACCAAATTTTTAGTAAGAATTAAAATGTTGCTTTTTATTAAGTTGCCTCTTATAAATTAAGTAAACAATATGTTAATTGAAGGGGACAAAGTAGTTGTTATATGAAGGAAGATTAGGATCCCTACATGATTTTGATATTTAAAATGGCAATGTTATACAATGTTTAAAGGAAATGCATCAAAATTGTAATCAGTTCAGTTTTTATTGTGTACTTCCCAACTGCAGTTTTTCACCTGTTCCTTGAAAAAGCAGCCTATATTGTCAATCAGTAATCCTTCTGGTAATTGTTGGAGTTTTGCCACATCAGATAAAACGATAAGTCTGTATTTAAAATTCTTTTTTCAAATTAATTATCAGTTTTTGTATAGATGTATACATGTTACAGATCGTATATGTAAATAGTCTTTGAATGAGCAACGTTTTGAAATCCCTTTCCAGTTCATTTGGAGGATTTGCCACAGAGACAGATGACATTCAAAAAGCAGCAAAGTTGGCTCAGATATTAAAGGATGCTGGAGTTTCCTTCTACGAAGACTTCTACTACACTGCAGGTTATGACAGCCCTTTTAAACTTCTTAACCGCCACAATGAGGTGTGGTTTATTGGAAAGTAATATTATAACATGCCAGTGCTGTAGGTTGGGTTGAGGAAAAAAAGATGGAGGGGGGGGGGGGGGGGCAGCTGAGATGCTGATGCTTTAAATCCACTATAGAAGTAGGCTATTGCAGGCCAAACACTGACCAGTCTGAAAGAAATTTAGGGACTTCTGATGGACCTTGAGAAAAGAAAAAGCGAACATTTCATGAAGATAAAATTTTCAAGCTTTTTATATTTATGAAGGAATAACCCCCCCATCCCCAGCAGCCTGCAGCCCTGGGTGTGTGAACAGAGATAGGGGTAGGGGGAAAAGAATGGCCTCTCCCCTTCTATTCAATTAACCAGTGCTTATTGTATGCTGAGCCAAAGTTACATCTCATTTAGAAGATCTTTCAGAAATCTGCTGTCTTTCTCTTTACACTTAAAACTCTCTTGCTGCTTTTTGTAGTGTTAATATGAACTATGCTGCCTTAAAGAGAGTTGTCTATAATAGATAAAATTACATCATGAAACATTTTAAGATACAGTGTTGCAGAACATCAGATTTGTATTGAAGACTGCAGGGTAGTCTGGACACTCTTTGATATATTTTTATATGTGAACCTTCATTACAGGTATAGAATAGAAAGCATGGATACTTGGATATTAACAAGGTTGTGATGCATTCATTCCAATTTATGTTCTTTTTATATCTTAATTTGAACTAATATTGCTACTCTATTGGGGGGGATTTTCTATTATTTACATGTTTTATTTTACAAATTTATAAAAGAAGAATTTCTCTGTTATCTGCCATCAAAATAGAAATGTCATGTGGCAAGCATAAGAACATGTCTCTTTCTTGATGTCACACTGCAGGTCGCTTAAGTGCACAATCTGAATTTTGATTTTTAAGTTTTTAATCATTTTTTATTAATACCTTATTTTGGTTGGGGGGTATAGTAGGGTGATATCTCTAACATGATGGGCCAGTGACTAAAGTTTGAGAGACGTAGCGCCACAAGTTTTAATTCGGAAGGGCATGCAGTGATGTGAAGCAATACATTGATGATACTTCTAGTAAAAGCAGCATTGTCTCTATGCAACTGCTACGTGATGTCGATATACATCGAACTCTTGTGTTTAAGACTTGTGCAATGTTCCATACGATGTGATAACGTCATGGGATTGCTTAACAAAATTTTGTGAATTATTTTTGTAGCATTATGGCACATTTTGAATTTACGTATTCTCTGTTAGAAAGGAGACGTACTCGGATCTTTATATGTATATATTATGCTGTCTTCGTTTAAATAAAAGGAATAATCTAGTTATCCATTTGTTTGTTCCAATTTTCTTATAATTCATAATGATATCGTAATGATATTGTGTGAAAAAGTAAAAGCCACGTATTTAGGCGGGCAGTACAAACAAAGGCTTTATAAATATTAAGTTATCTGAGTATTACTTATTAAGTAGCTTTTATCGCGATTGGAATTTACCCTTTTCACTTTTGGTTGGATAAACAACGATAAAAACGGCCTATATTCTAAATTTTTTCCTTGAATTATGATTTGAAGAAACGTGAAGCAGCTTAACAAAAACAAAGGAAGTTTCTGGCCGAAATTGACCGATCATGAACCGTCGTGAAAAATCCAGTGGATAATATACATGTACCAAGCTGGTACTTTATTCTGATTACTACGGGTGAATTATTACCTCGTTTGAGAGAATTGCTCTCTATAACTATATATATAAATAATATCTGAACAATATGTGCAGCTGGCCTATATTGTTATTGATATTTTGTGATATTTTAAGCCTTTTCGAGCGTTTTTATGTACAGACACAGATGTGTCTGTACATATTGCCATCACCTGCGTCTGTCGTCGCCGATCATGTCGCCGTCGCCGTCGCCGTCGCCGTGCACTTTCAGCGTTAACACCATAAGTGGAAGACAGTTTTACTTTTTGGCTTTATATTTACAGAGCTGACTTATATTCATAAAACGCAGGTCAAGTTCGAAAATCAGCATGATCGGGCCATTATTGTAGAATTTATGCTGTTTTTTCACTTTTTAGCATATATGCAACACTGTTAACACATTTCAAGGAAAACCGATAGGCCTGTTGTCATGAAACTCACAGGAGTAATCATTCTTACTAAAACACAGGTCAAGTTCGAAAATCAGCATAATCGGGCCATTATTTTATAAGTTATGCTGTTTTTTCACATTTCCTCAGATTCAATTCTTAGGCATGTTAACAGTCTCATTATTTAACTAATAAGATTCGCAAAAGTGTTTGTTTGACATTTCCTGCATCTTTACAACATTGTTAGTTGATTATGTAAAAATGATGGTAAACTTGGTATCATGTATTGTATAATAGAGTTTCAAAAATGGAAATAAACTCATATCATTGCAGTTTGTCAGATTTAATCATTCACTATGTTCAGAAACTCCTAATGGAGGAAATTGGACATTAAACACTGTTCTATTGATATTTTTCCCATCTCATCAATTTTCTTAGTTGATCATATAAAAATGGCAGTAAATTGTTAATTTTGTTATATGTAAAAAAATTGTTAAAAATGAAAAAAAACACATTTCAGGACAGTGCTGTCTTGTCTACATTTTGGCATTTTCAAGGTGTGACTTTGAAGTTCCATGGGCCTGAAGACCTTTGCTAGGCACATTTTCTGAATATCCATGATATTAATATTTTATTATTAAAAATTGATGGTTATTATCCTGTTAAACATTATGTAATATTGCATCAAAATTTGAAGAAACCCCTATTTTGGACACTGCCCTCATGATGACCATTTAAGGAAAACCATGTCACTTACTGTTCTCAAACTTACAGGAAGAAACATGGGACTTAAATAAAGCTTCAGTGGGCAATGTAGTCTATTTGGTAAATTTTTCTGGCAGTTAATCAGTCTTTTGTGAAAATTAAATTTTTCACATATTGGCATTTTCAAGGTGTGACTTAGAACCTCCACGGGCTCTAAGACCCATGCTAGTCACATTTTCTGAAAATCCATGATATGGATCTTTTATTATTAAAAACTGATGGTTATATGCTGTTAAGCATTATGTAATATTGCATTAAAATAGAAGAAAACACAATTTTGGGTGCTGCTGCCATGATGACCATTATGGGAAAACCACGTTACTTATGATTGTCAAACTTTCAAAAAAGAAACAAAGGACTAAAATGCAGCCTGAGTTGGAAAAGCAGTCTAATTGGCTTCTTTTTAGTGAAATATTTATTTTTATCATGTTGGCATATTCATTGTGGGACTCGAAGCTCCCATGGACATGAAGCCAAATGGTAATCAAATTTTCTACATGTCCATGCTATTTATAGTCAATAATAAAAAATTGGTGATAATTATTCTGTAATTTATTATGTAATGTTACATCAAAATTGACAAAAATCTTTTTGCACTGCTACTACAAACATTATGAAAAGAAAACTGTGTTACTTATTATTATTTTCAACTTACAAGTATGATTTGTAGGATTGGCATGCAGTTCAAATAAGAAAGCCAGCTCAAATGGGTTATCATTTATTATTGAATTTAAGCAGTTTTATGTGAAATTTTCATTTTTCTCATTCTGGCATTTTCAAAGTGTGAACTAGTACTCCCATGGGCCTGAAGCCTTACGCTTGTTACACATTTCACTTACATTGGTATTACCTGTTGAGCATAATTAAAATTTGATGTTGAATTTGCAGTTAGGCATAATGTACTTTTGCATCAGAATTGACAGTGGCCTATTTTGTGCATTGTTATTGTCTGCTTTTTGTCTGTACATTTGACAGCTTTGCTGCCTTGTTAAAGGTTTGTCACTATTTTACTGAAAATATCTCCTCAGATTTTTGTAGTGCGGTACCCTGGGCTTCAGATGCTTGTCTGCTTCATTTTAAGGCTTTTGATAATAGGGCAAATGTGGGGATCTTAAAAGAAAAAAGCTAATTCTGGTAGGCCTAGCTGTTCCGCATCAGATATAAAGCTCGAGCTATTATATAGATAGGCAACTACATATGTGAATGCGGACTAAAATGTAAACTGACTATATAAGGGCTTGTGTTCTTACAAAGGGAGATCAAGAAGTTAAGACGGATTTGTGGAAGATGGTGATGAGTTGACACCTGCCGTGGAGAGCTGGATAAGGGGTCAAAGTACTGCTCTGAGTGATCGGGTTTCAATGATTTATAAGTTGTACGGACAAGTTGTACTGTTTTAATTAAAGCTGGGATAACTTTTATATAAATTGTAGATAAACTTACATAATTTTAATATATTTAATTCAGATGTAGTGCGTGGCAGCTAGGTTGCATGTGACATGCAATCCTTTGTTTAATGTTATGGAAATTAACGAGTTAGGGTGCTATTGGCGAAAAAAGAGTATTATTATTATTGGTATTATTATTATTATTATTATACATACGGGGACAGATAGGTAACGGAGATTATTTCAAGAATTTTCTACCAACAGGAATAAAACACGTAGCAGAACTTTGTAAATATTGGTCTCCATTATCGGTTTTCGTGGTGTGGGTGAAACAGATTATCGTTCGCAACCACGACCAGAGATTACTCCCCCCACCTCCCCCGAGTTTTCGCTCATAAGGTGCAACTGTGTGCTTTGCTGGATCTCAGCACCCACTGCAGTCATCACGAAACATCCGACCTCTCATTAGATTTATCAAACCAACCACTTCTCCCATGATATAATATCCTGTGTGTATTTATCATGGGGGAAAACAAGGAATGGAATGAGTTTCTTGATCACAACCTCTGCGCCTAAAACAAAAATCTACACAGCCCGTTGTATGTGTAAGTGTAAACACACTTACTGGAACCAATCTTCGCCATCTCCTTAGCCAGAAATGACAAACAGATGTTTAAATCCGTTGTATAAGAGCTCATGTGCACACACACGTGAATTTAGACAGATCAAGTGGTGGGAAGGTTCCAAAAAGTAAAGGGTAAAACGGTTACTTTTTATTTAAGAAATTCTATCATTTAAGAAACATAAACTTATTTGTTTTTGTCAGAATAAAGTGCAAATTTTATAATGAGTCCTTTACTTCAAATCTCCGCATAAACATCTTTCTCAATATTTTAAGTACATAAACCATTATTTAGAATCTCACCCCTCAATCCGCCTGCCGTTGGGTACTTAAACAAGTGCGCACGCGAAAAAGCGTGTGTAAAGAAGTTAGACAGAGAGAGAGAAACAGGTATGTGCAAAGTTTGGCCGGAGTGTTTTTGTCTGGTATTTTCTACCAAGATACTTATGTAGAAAGCGCTTATATGCTTGCACCGACTTAAATATTTTTCGATAGGTTTTATCTTGATCAAAAGTCGGCGTAAAACGGTTGGGTTTTCATGGCCGATATTGTAGCGATTCTGATAAAGAGCAGCTCAGGGTATTTTTTCTTCTCTCTCTATCTTTCTCTCTCTCTCTCTCTCTCTCTTGACAATAAATCGAGGTGGTAATTATTCATATACCATGAGCGACAAGAACCTGTCTTACATGTATAATGGCGCACGTTTCTAGTTTATACAGGGTTTATTCGAAGTGTTACAGGTTATTTTGACAAAGAGAAAAAAATACCTGAATTGGAAATGACCACATACTTTGCTGTCTAGATTTTAAAAATAGATTGCAGAACGTAATCACGATCTCGAGCGGTTTCTTACAAATTGAACGTTTCTTCAGATCAGGACAGCGAAAATGCAGATCATCCCTACACTCACGGTGTTGTTCTTGTCGGTAGCAGTGACCCAGGCAGGGATAGTAAACCGAATACTGCAGTACATTCCCTCCCTAGGGCTAGGTGGCGGCAATGAGCAGGAAGTCTCCTTCTGCAACGGGTACGACTGTCCCAAATTTGAGAAGTTGGAGAAACACGATGTGAGTATAGTCAAATGTGTTAGGTGTGACTTTATGGAACTATCTCCACAAACTATTAAGTTTGGGAAACTTTTGGGTAGATGTAATTATTTGTATCTTATTTATTTAAACAGGGCCATAAAAAGACGGTTCGTCTATAAAAGCATGTGTCTCTTTCTTACCATATAATATTTGTTCTATTACAAGGTATACGAAGTGCGAAAATACGTTCCCACTACCTGGGTCGTTACAACAAAATCTGATTCTGGCTCCTCGACATTCATGAAACTGTTCTATTATATCCAGGGAAGCAATGCTGAAAGTAAGTTGTTAAAGTATAAAATTTAAACTAACGGGGTTAAATATTTATTTTCTAAGACGAACTTGTACTAATCTTCTGCATCAGTATAACGATAACGGATTTTTTCATCAAATATATTTCCCATAGTTCATTCATTACTCAGTGTATTTCAAATCTGCCAAAATTGTATTTCTAGTGCATACTTGTTTATTGCTTGTGTGTTGACGTCTCTAAAAATGGAGCCGTCAACTGTTTTTACCGAGAAAAGTTATGAAATTAATTCCTCATACTTTTTCAGGTAAGAAAATCGCCATGACAGTTCCCGTGATTGGGAATGTAACTCATGGCGAGGGCAGGACAACAATGGGTTTCTATCTCCCTCCTAAAGTTGGCGTCCCACCTGCACCCACGGACGCCACCGTCTTCATCCGCAGGCTGCCTGAACTGACGGCTTATGTGATGTAAGTATATTGCGGTACATGTGACTATATAATGTAATAATGATTGTGTTAGTTGTGACAGTAAGAACATTGTAGGGTATGGTGTTACAATCCCCGTTTGCGGTTGGCGTACTTAAATTATGCCACTAAACCGCCATACCTTCTTTTTCACAATAATTAATACAAACTAACAAACAATTTAAATGCGCCCCGAATCCTCAAGGTACAATTGGATGGTGCATGTGTTAATTTGGAATGTGGGAGATGGAATACCGTTCGAAGGAGACACTTGGCATCATGATTAATGTGATTCGCATTAGACTGAATATTCCTTTATTGTTTTAATTTAATTTGCAGTTATAAATGATATTTAAATTTAATATTTGATATATTTATCCCACGTGTAAAAAGTTCTGTATAATGCATATGCTTTTGGTGACATATATGCTTTTGGTGACATCAAAATTAACTGTGTGTATTTTTTTTCATATCTAGTGAATTTGGTGGTTACGCGAATGCGGAAAAGAACGAAGCCAAAGCCAATGAGCTACGCACAGCACTTAACGAGGCGAACGTCCAGTATGAAAAAGACTATTACTTTACTGCAGGGTATGACAGCCCTATGAAGTTCTGGAACCGCCACAATGAAGTGTGGTTCATTGCTAAATAAAGCACCAAATCATGTAGAATTATGTGTCTACTCTCTGTTGACTGACGTGTATGTACTGTATACAGCCTTAATTGTGATTCTGTCATTCAAAAAAAAAATTAATAAACAAATAAAATAAATGAAAATAACAAGAACTAAAGATGATATATGATTTTTCTTATTCAAAACATTGGTAGGATTTCCACTGTAGGTGTGGCCAGGCTAGACCTGTCGCTGTTTATGTAACTGCTTGCTGGTCGAGACATCTATTTTTTATTAACAGTATTTTCTTCAAAATTATACTATTGAAAAATCGTACAATGATAATCATTTCAGTTATGGATGTACGTTTACGACTACGTGACATTTTGCTATTGATTATTTTCAGCGAAATAAAGGTGAATAAAAGTATATCATCTGTGTTTAAGGTCGTTCGGGCTTAGTATTTTGTTCCTTGTATATAAAATTTCTTAAGACTTTATAGCTTGACCTGTTCCTATCAAAACATTTATTTGTCTAGTGAAAAACAATAACATTCACTGAAATGTTAAACCCATGACCTGCTTATTTAATCTTAAGACAAAAAATAGTAAATATTTAAATACGGTAAAGTCTTGAAAATTTCGTCGTTCTTGAAAATTTCGTCGGCAGACGATTTTCCGCCGACGTAATTTTTTTCCCTTTGAAAACTTCGTCTACCTTGAAAATGAGGTACTCGATAATTTTTGAAAAGTTCGTCACCAATTATGGCCGCGTTGTCCAGCTCAAACATAAGGGAATGCGTCAGTTGATTCAAGACAATGATACGATCAGGATATCATTGCCGATAACACTCTCAATGGGAGACAGGAACAATAGTGCGCCCCTGCGAGCGGTTACCCACAATATAGATGGTTTAGATGTGAATTCCCGTTCTCAATTGCGGGAACGTCGGCCTTTTGTCCTTAGTTTCATTACTATTACCTGGCTTAAGGTGCGTTATCAAGCCGGCAAATAGAAGTCAGGCCGCGGCTTTGTCATTTGTAACGCCGTTATTGTTATCGGCGGCTGTCCTAAATGAGGAAGACACAATGAAAAAAATCAAGATATTATCTCGAAGTGAAATGTACCCGTCACTTCTATTCATGTCCATGTTCAGTTTAGGACCATTTAACGATTACCTGGATCGTACATGGAGATCGTTCGCAATGCGAATGGGACGAGATGGCAATATTCATATTTGTAGCGGACTCCGTTCGCATAAGATCTTCAGCGGGAGATCGTTNATAAACCCCGAAGGCCGGATTTTTGAAAATTTCGTCATACCCAGGAGTCGGGGAGAGGTAATTTTGAAAAATTAGTCGGATTTACACAATTAAAAATATTAATTAATTTTTAAGCGACGAAATTTTCAAGACTTTACCGTAATAAGAACATTGCTGAAATTTTGGGCTGCAAAAATCCACATTATGAAATTTCCGGTTCAATCCTTGGTTAAATGTATAACCTGCTTAATTTTGCAGATCCTGATTTTACCCCTATGCAATAAATTAGCACACTCACTCAACATGTAAACACTGTCAAGTACTGTGAAATAGATTTCACATCATTCATTTGGGATCATTAATGTCAGTGTCGTTATTGGAAGGCCAGGCACTTATATGTTATACTCCATACTTCATTTTTATAAGAATTGGAGGCATACGGACTTCCATGTCGCGTGATAATTTTCACATCTTCATACCGTTTTTGTGTGTATACGTTTAAAATACTGAGCCAGTTTTTACATCTGTTCATTGACAGTCACAATTATTACCAACCCAGCCCAGGAGTTGGTTCTATGAATAAATAAAAGAATGAATGAATGTTTTATTAAACGAATGACTAGAAAAATTGTTAACCAAATACAATATTGTTATTTGCAAACTTAGCTTATCGCTGGATAAGCTGGTATCTGCATTTTCACCAAAAGTCCTTTTCAAACGTTTGAGAACTGCGTTAGTTGTTTTGATAACTTCAAATCTGAATGGTTCTTTTGTGTCTTCATAAGAATGAAACGCATTCTTTGAAACCCAAATTATTAGTTTAAGTTTCAGTCTGATTGAATGATATTTCACTTGGATAATGTTTCCTGTATCACATTTAAATTTTCTACTTTTAAAACAAAGCAAAACAAAACAAAACTAAAAAATGTGCTTCCCTTGCGTTTACCTTACGTGAGGTTAATATCTGCGAAATAAAAAAAATACACGTTAGGTTTTGAATTATTCAAAAATCATAAATGCTCTTGACTATTGAGTGCTTGTAAGTACATTTGAATAAGAAATCAATATAATACCCATTGGCACATGGCCGTGAGTATAAATAGGCAGATAGGTTTTAGTTTTAGGTGCAACTGTTAGATTTTATGAATGTTAACCTTGGCATCGAAGTACACGTGGAAAAACGGAAGGACAAACGCGGAGAAGTTCTACCACCAAATGTAGAATACATGGTTAATTGCATGGGCGATATTGGAATTTGAACTAAATGCCCGAACTTACAGTGAACATTACCTTGACATCCTCTACGGTCTATCAGGCACTCGATGAATACTGGATGGACATTTGCAAATATGTAGATTAGTTTACTAAGTAGAAAAAGTGCCTTAAGATGTGTACAGCACTCGGATGCATGAGACACTTCCTCTGTCAACCAAAATATGTATACTCGTTACAAGTCGTTGTAACATTTCTGGAGGCAGTACCACGAGGAAGTACCATTCTATTCGACTTCTGAATATAGACAGGTATCAGTGGACGAACATTTTCTTCTTAACTTATCCTGTTTTATACGAGTTATTTTCCTTCTGGTAAGGGTATTTCTATCAAACCACTTCTATAACACAAGTCTTTAATTTTTCATTGTGTTGCCAAATTATTTGTCAAGCATGGCTGGAATCTACGCGGCGGAATGCTGGAACTACTTGGGGGCCTGCAATAGGATAGCAGTATACGTTTTCACTGCTCTGTCATCTCTCGGGAACGTATGTACCATAGCAGTGATTTTAGCCAGCCAAAGACTCAGGCGAAAGTCAACTTTTGTGTTTTTCCTGTTCCTGGCTATCGCTGACGTGTCCGTCATGGTACAACTGACAACAGACTGCGCACTATACGACACCGTTTATGTGGACAACTCCACTGGATTAAGATGCGTATTTGAAAACGTGCAATCATGGGTAGCTCATAGCACTTTATATTTGTCATACATCATTATTGTTATGGTGACATTGGAACGCTTCTGCGTTGTATTTTTCCCTTTTCGTGGTCCCGAGGTTTTTGCCCACAAGCACGTGCTGTGGATGTGCGTAATGATTACTTTGGTCTGTTTTGGTTGTAATGTGTATCATCTCTGCCACACGGTGGCGTATTATGCGGATAGCCTGTGCGACTTTAGTCAAGCGCCGGACGTATTTAGTGAAATACGCAATTATTCTACGTTCATTTTAGCTACAGGAGCTTGGTCAGTGCTTCTTGTACTTTGCATAGCCATTGCCCTTCAACTGAAGCGAGCGACAAAAATGCAAAAGAAACTGACAAGATCAACTCGCAGATCTAGTTGCAAGTACAGAAAAACTCACTGTATGTTGCTGTGCAATGTCGTAGCTTTCCTTGTACTAGTAGGCCCTGTTCGAGTAACGGACTTCTTAACAAGAATAATGTCGAATGTTCCTATTCCTTCAGAAGTCCGGGACTTGTTGTGGCTCCTGAGTAAAGTGAACCACTGCATTAACTTCGTCCTGTATGTTTGCAGCAGCACAGAGTTTCGAAGAGAGACGCTGAATTTATTAAATCCGAAAAAACGCCGACGACATAGTCAGTTGAGCTGGAGCAATCAACCTGGTGCGACAACGATCTCAGGTTTAACAGCGGCCACTGTTTCGCATACGAGGACAGCCGAGAATGAAGTATGATGTGACAATGGTCTTCGGAGAGCCGTTCTCACATTCAAATTACAAAGACAATTTTATTAAACTTGTGCTTAGTACAGGGTCGCTGGATGAAAAGTATATGGGGATCGGGGCTGATGTAAAAGGCTTACGATATACAATATGGTCAACATGCAATGTAAGCAGGTTGTTGGCCAACAGCTTCTTCGACTTATCTACACGCCGACTAAAGTAAAACACCAAGAGACTTAAAATGGATTAGGAGAAAGGAAAAAGGCTCACCGTTTTTTTTCCACAAAAAATTCTGGAGAGGAGGAGGGAACTCCCCCTCCCACAGCCTACGACCCTGTAGTAAAGATTTGTGACATTGTAACTAGGATCCATCCTAGATTTTAACAACTATAACTGTGTAGTTCTTTGTATATTAATGCACAGACAATCATGCAGTCTTCATTTTGCACACCGACTATGAATAGAAGGCAGTAGTAGTGCAGTTCCAGGTATAGTTGGACTTTATATCATTTCAAGGGCGGATCCAAAGATATTTTGTGACAGACTTCTTAATTATCTTTAATGATCCACCCTCCATTTTTGACCGTCTTCCGACAGAAAAAATTAGATACCCGTCAATGTAAACCAGAAAATCTGACCGTCTTCCGGAAGACCCAGAAGACGGCCTAAATCCGCCCCTGCATTTAATATAGAGTAAAACTATTACATCTCAATTTTATCAAAGTCGCGATTTGTATGACAAGGTAAACTTGTATCTTTAATTTCTATCTCTTCAATGCGTTTTTCGTCGGTCTGTCATTTTAACATTAAATGTTTTAGAGACGTCAGTCCCAAATGCATATCTACTTCTTTAAACCAAACGCATAATAATATTATTCATTAGATTATTATTTTATAATATTATTGTAAAATTTGACATAAAAATACATGTAACTTTACACTAATATATGACTTCTCCTTGACATGAGATTGAAATCGTTGCAGGTATGTCCCAATATTTTGTGCAAGTTGAACACGACAAATTAAGAATATTACATATATAAAGAATGTTTTAAAACAAGTCAAGGGCTAATCTTCTAAGCTTCAGAGTTTTTCAACCAAAAATTTTCCACTGATAAGTTTGTATATATATTTTTGCAAGGCTTGATGTGGTTCGGAATAGATCAAAGATGCACTGAAGTTTGTCTAGTGATTGTCAATTGCCCCACCACACTTTTTGATACGTTTGACGTAAGTCACCGACCTTTGCCGCGCTGTGAACAGCACCCGTGTCGTCGGCTGGTTCTCATTTGCGGGCACTTCGCTGCGGATATGGGTTACAAATTCACTATGTGCTCGGACGCATACGCCTTTCGCGCTATGAATCAGTACACTAAGGGCTGCCTGGTCGAAGCGATGGTTATTTTTGGAGGCACCCCTTGGGGAATTGCAGTCTTTGTTTAGGGCACACTTTACCCATAGAGTCAAAATGTGCCTGTGAGCTAGTCCGTCTTTGGTCCAACCGGTCAGACCCCCAGCGTAGGAAGGGTTTCCCCAAAATGCCTCTTTCTTCACGTGAAGAGCCTTATACATGCCATCCGCAATCAGCCGTGTCATATCGAAGTCCTGTCTTTGAACGAAAAAGTGACCGTCCTGTTCGAGAAGCTTTTCTATTTCATTTAGTGGACCTCTGAATTCAGTCCCTGCGTCAATCCATAAAATCTTTCCAAATTTTTCTAACGCTTTTTGTACGACCAAAGGTTTCCAAGCGAACTGGTGCAAGTCGGACACGTGCTTTGGGTATTCGCTGAAGTCGAATCGCTCGTAAGTGACTCTACACCAGGTTTTAACTTCAGTGACCTCATCAGGAGTTAAACCCAGGTCGTACACCACAATCTTACGGTAGGGCTCCCAGAAGTGGATAGAGCCGATGAAATTTCTTAATCCTCGTTTGAAGTATCCGGTATTTGCCCCAGTGATGAGGGTAAAGTTCTTTCTTTTAATTAAATCTGAAACGGACATGTTTACATAAAGATTGAATAGCATATAATGATATGGTATGTATTGAATATGTAAACGACTCACAACGCACTAATCGTCAATTTGTAATTCGAATTAAAGTTTATCTGTCTTGTTAAAATTTTGTCACTGTGAAATGTAGGCCTACAGTTTATTGTATATGCTAGTTTTTTGTCATTATTGATATTGTTTTCTATACATGAAGTTGGTACTTGAATTTATGTCCATACGCTGAAGAAAGACTTCAGCAGCCTGTATTAAAATATGTGTATTACAGTCTGTTGAAGCGACAGGATATCACTCGAGCTTCACAAGTTGACTGAAAACGGCCTTTTTATCAACAGAATTTCTTTGCTTTTTCATTAAAATAGCAAGCACATGCAAATGCCATACTGTACTGTACCTGGGTTGGTCTCCAATAGGATCCTTAATTATGAAAATCAGAGTGAAAAACATGGGATTTTGGACAGAAAAAAATATAAATTCAACGATTTTCCCTATCAATGTATCGTACTTACAAGAATTACGATGATCTCAAAAACCCAATGACAATATTTTTGATTTATATTTTTTAACATCTTCAACTACAGATAATGAGCCAAGAAATGTTTCCTTCAACGCAAGTTTGCACCCATTTAAGATGCAATGCAACTGCCAAGAATATAATTCTTCCTTTACGTAAGTCCGTTATTACGGACGAGAAACAACTAAACACACCTTTTGTAGCCGGCGATGATATGAAGTTATTGATACCAATCATGCCGACGAACATGAGGCCGGTGATTAAGCTGCAGATGGCAATTTTTGGTAATACGCCCACCCGACGCTGTTGCAGCATTTCAATCTTTACCAGAGGAGGAACTTGAACTAAAGGGAAATCGGCGTTTTTTTTCTTTTTTTCGCTTATGTGAAAAGAAATCTTCAGAGCAGCATTCACGTTAAACCGTGAGCTTGATCAATGGGTGAATCTGAAAAGCATACCACAATAAAAAAGATAAATAAATGCTTAAAATCAGTGGAATTATAAGTATAGTGTATTGGTCAAAATAAAATGTGAGATGGAAGTATCAATAGGCTGTCAACGTCCCAGGGACAGAGTTGGAAAATAAGGATGAAATTATTCTAAGTTGGCTCTACAAGGCCAATAGTGTTTAACTGAGCCAACTATAGCCCGGGTCTCCCCTACCTACCGAAAAAAAAGAAAAGCCGCCAGGGGAGGCACTCAATTAAGCTAAACGTAGTGATACTGATCAAAGTCACCACATAACTTCATATCGATACACTACACACTGAGAATAAATAAGCTATTATTGAGTGTGTGTGTGTGTTGGGGCAGGGGGGTAGGCCAACCGCCGTTCCTTTCATGATGACAAGACGGTTTTGTCGGCCCTACTCCGAAACGGTGTGGTGAAGAAACGATGTAAGAGAGTGCCGACACAGGAATGTATTGACCCGGATAATATGTTCGTATGTTAGGCCTATATCGTACGTTTACTGTTTGACCTAGGGAAATAAAGACGAGGGGGAGTTATGATGCATCTAAGTACAGGTGAGGAGAGTATATCAATGTGAGGTTGTCATGATAAGGGGGCTAGTGTAAACAAAAAAGATATGATCGCAACACCGCCACGTAATTCGAAGTTAGAATACAAGACGACAACAGAATAGAAGGTACCCGATCAACAAAGTAAAGTAAATTTCTCAGATCATCCCAACTAATATTCGTGTTATCTTGAGACGAGGGATCTAAGTTCACCATAGTCTTACCTGCACTGACAAAGAAATATCGATCTCACGAGTCCTTTTTTGGCATCCGTGGATTTTGAGCTTTATGCTCTGCCAACTACAAAATGGTAAACTTTTCCAGTCGGTGCTTGGCGAGTTCAGGCAGACAACTCAGACTAGAAGATTTTCTTCTTTTTGAAACAGGAAGCACGATGTGAACATTTTCACAATAACCGTAATGACAGGCTGTCAACACGCAATAAGATATAGAATATTTTTATCTAGAATGATCTAACTTACAAATTGTGTGACTGTCCTTCCGTCAGTTCTAACCAGCATGGTGCAGAAATGGACTGAACTACCTGTTTTATCAAGGTGACTTGTGTTGTTATAATGTGTGTAGATAATGTGTATAAAATCTGAGTTCTTGTACATAATAAACACACTTTTGATTTGGAACTGAAGATGTGATGTTGTTAATTGTTATCTTCCCTCTCCCCGACAAGCGATATTTTAGAACGAACCTGGGTAGGGAGTATCATGGACCCCTACATACGCCCCTATTTATTTAATGATTCAATTGACCTTTTAAAAGATAGCCAAATCAAAATTAATAGAAAATGTTGAAATAGGTCAACATATTGTTAAGGTCCACTAAATGCATGTGATGAAATCACTCATTTACATATTATGTTTATACTTGTAATCAGTCAGCACATTATCATTCACCTTACTTCAGTCTTGAATGAATATTTATCATCCTCTGTATAGGTATACCTGATAAGTAGAACTGATATAACTTAAAAGTAGAAGCCCTCAATTGTTATCTATTGCATTGCAATTAGTATTTAAATGAGTTGCTGCCACTGTGGCATGCAGATAGATTCTCTGGTGATAATGTGTATAAAGGCTGAATGCTTGGACTTAATAAAGGACTTTTAGACTTGGAACTGAAGATGTGAGTTTGTAGTTATATTCCCTCTCCCATGCATCAGTGACAAGTAAAATATTAGAAGAACCTGGGTAGGGTGGAACATGGACCCCTACAATATGAAACGGCTTATCTTTGGGCTTATTATTTAAAAGAATATCCGATAAACTACAATGTTTATAAAACATAGCCCTTTATCTCATTAACCTTTGAAAAGTGACATGCATATTTAGATCGAAATTTTCGTTTTGTCACACACTATTTTGAGATAGGCCCACTCACGGATAGATGGCGCCACTTATTAATCCCATCTCTAAAAGAGCGCGCTGGGGTAGAATGCAGCAAATGTTCTGGATTGATGTGTTTACATGGGGATTATAAGTAACCTGAATATTATAATGTGTTCTCATTCCATCACCAGCCCTTTCAGTTGACTTACACCCCACCCCCAAAAAATTAAATAAATAAACCAAGAAATAGAATAATAAAAATAATAAGCGAAAATTGTGGAAGACTGCTGTAGATGCATGCATTAAACTTCAGATCTGTGTATTTTGTCCATAATATAGGTGGCAGACTTCAACAATTGTTGAGAGCTTTTTTTCCAAGTGGTTTCGCTAAAGTGGGCAGCTATCAATCACCTTCCTCTTAACAAAACGCTTTCTATCGATCCTGTCAGTGCTTTACCAACCGCGCCTGGCAGATCGATGCTTTAACAAAGGTACCACCCTGCTTGTATTGGTTACCAAATGACAATCAATGAACGGAACAGACTCCGACATCGGCACATTATCCACTTCGATGTTGCTTGGGGTTTCCATTAATCGGGAATATGTATATTAATTGGATTACATTGAAAACCCATATTCCATATATTTACCATTGTTGCTGGGCCCGTAAACTGGTTCGTGGTACCTATATTCCTTCCTGTAAAGTATTACCGTATTACCATCGTACCGGTATCAAATTACATTAAAAATGCATGAAGCACCGCTGCCATTTTGAGTGAAAAGTTTGCTGCATTAGGACCATTTATAGAGCTGCCTACATGAAAATGATGATACCTTAACGGTGTCCGCTAAAAAGAACGGAAAGTGGTGAAAAAAGAAGATGAGTTTTAAGAAATCGCCATTGTACAAAATTCTCACTTCCCGGTCGCCAGACACGGTAAAGAAAGCATTGGAATACATTCGAACGGATGAAAATTTCGATGCGGATCTGAGCGAGAAGAACGGGGAGGGCTACCTTCATTTGGTCGCCATTTTAGAAGGTGAAAACAAGAAAGTCAAAGGTGTTCCAAGCCTGGTTCCCGTGGTATACGCTTTGGCAAATGGCGGCATTGAAGTGGACGGCCAGGATAATCGCGGCAACACAGCCCTCCACACCGCGGTGATGTGCGACGCCGGAGGAGCTCTGGTGAACGCTTTGTTCAAAGTCGGCGTCGACCCCACCATCACCAACAAAGAAGGCAACACGGCTGGAGACTACGTGCCGGACGATGAAAGTTCCACCCTGTACGCCACCTTTGAGATGCTTTTCCCTGGTCTTTGGAAGGCAGTGGAGGATGGGGAAGCTGACAAGGTGGAGGAGCTCCTGGACTACTGGTGTAAGATCGACCAAGTTAAGTTTCGGAAGTCTATTCTGGAGATGGCCAGAGAGAAAGAGAATGAGAGAATCGTAGAATGTTTGGAAAAGGCAGGGAGAACCAACGAAATGGTTCACTCTGCCCTGGGCGGGGACTCAGCCAAGGTGAAAAATCTCCTCAAGGATGGGGATAAAGTTAACATGGACACGGTGGATGAAAGTTACATGGATGAGAATGGACACGTGGTTCCAATGCCTCTCTTAGGAGTAGTCGGACTGTACGGTCTGAACGACGTGGTGAAGGTACTGGTCAGAAAAGGCGCAGACGTCAACAGTCGAGTTTTGAACCCAACCACAGGTGAAAAACAGCCTTTGTTTTATTATGTCATGAAGCGCTCCAAAACGGTTAATGTGGATTTTGTCCGAACCTTGGAGAAGGCAGATTTGTCCTTGATCACAGACGACAAGCACGATATTCTTTGGCGCGCTTTTGATCGCGGGTACCCCCTTGAAGTGATGGAGTACCTCAATGACAATGACTTTTCACTGTTTGAGTACAGTCGACAGGGGCACACTTTGCGCCAGAAAATCATGATCAGGTCCATTGGACTGCCCGAGGACGAACAGAGAAAAAACCTTCTCTTTGTCGACGAACACATCCTGGGCTACGCAGCAAATGGGAACTTGGAGCGGTTGAAGGGATTGGCCTTAGATGGCTATTATGACCTGAACGTGGAGAATCACAAGGGGAAAAAAGCCGCTTCGCTGGCCAGGAAAAAGGGTCATGACGAAGTTGCCAATTTCCTAGAAGAATTAGACGATTTCCAGGTAATAATTTTCAGATTTATTGTGTATTTATTGTGTATTATTATTGTTAAGGGTTATACGTTAAGTATATGTCCATATGATGTAAGCAAACGTTATTTTTCCTCTCAGGATTCAGTGTAAGTCCACCTCTGCGGCCACCATTGTCCAATGTCGATTTGCCGTATCTTCTGTCAACGGCTTAGCAACAGTAGTTTCTATTGTATTTGAATAGCATGTCACTCACGGCAATCAAAACGGACCTATTTGGCATATCCTGCATAGTCGTAGGGTATGTTAAGGGAGGAGCTATTATCTCTTTTCCAGATTTAAGAAGTATTTTTGTGAGATATTGATAGCGCGTAAGTCTTTTAATTTTTTCAGAGGCTAAGTCTCTAATTTTTTCATTAGTCAAAGATGTTTAGTTCTGTAGTGTATATAAATACCAAAGTTCAATATATAAGATGTTAAGTTAAAGTCTCAACAGAAAAGAGATACATAATACAAATATTTAAACAAGACCGTAGACTGAAAATTAATCAAAACGTACATGAAAACATAATACCAAAAAATAAAATTTCTCTTACTTCTAAATATTGGCAACAGGTCTTGGCTGTAAAATGAATCATGTTATCACTATTACTCAAGAATAAAAAATACATTATTCAGATAATTGACACATTCTTTCTGGAACAGATAATTTTCCATATCCTTCTTCGCAGGGGGGGGGGCACCCCATATCTGACCTTAGCCAGTGCACAGGAGGTAAAGCCCTATAAAAACTTCACTGAATTGGAGGCTTTCAAAAGCTAACCCTTCTTTCAAGTACTTTCAACAGTCTACAGTCCTACACATAAATTAAATTATCTCGCGTCGTCGCACGATGTCCTGTTGTTCATGGTAGCTATTATATCTGTTCTTCAGTGCCCCTGTGATAGAGAGTCCGCTTCCCATCCATTCCTACAGGTAAGCCCCGCCCTAGATTTTGACCCACTTATTGCTAGGTCAGGCTAACCCTAACCATTATAACTAAATGGAAGGCAGACTTTCTGTTACACCGGACACGCGGGCTTTGCTGAAACAGGAAAGTTAATAGAAAACGTGCCACTATTAACTCATTCTCATGGGTTGACAATAAATAATAAGTGCAAATAATGCGGGACTTATCGATCACTACAATGAGTAAACATGGATAATCGGGCACACTTCAGAGAATAAAGGGGACTGGTGTTGATCGATAGCGTCATCTTTACCTGGGCATATATCTAGTGTGCTTAGATGGCATCCTGTTGTTAGGCAATCCGCTCTCATTTCTCACTTCTAGAATCCACCGAACTCCCCCTCTTTCCCCTTGATCATTGCATTATTTCAGGTCTTCAGCTCAGATCTGCCAAATATCAATTTGCCTCGTCATAACGACCTGCTAGAAAAACCAAAACAAAGGACAAATCGAAGTAGGACACGACAATAAAATCGACAAAAACCAATCAACCTTGAACTCTTTTTGGGCCTCTTTCTTCACCAGCCACGTCTCTCCAAATTTTCGGTATTTTCTGTATTCTAACATTGCATGTATATTTAGTTTTGTTTCTCTATAGTTGTTAATATTTTGTTAATATCCTTAAAAGTGATGACGTCTATCCTATTTTGAAAAAAAAAAAAACAATTATTGAATATGCCCTTTCTGTTTTTACTATATGCCTATATAAACGAAATCGTTTAACTATAAGTGCCAATGCGTATACTTTTTAGGTAAAAGTGATACAACTGCACAAAGCCGTGGAAAATGCCAACATGTCGGAGGCCAAGAAATACCTTGATGACAGAGATATGGGGCGTGCCAAGGACAGGGGCGGGCGCACTCCACTGCATAAAGCCGTCATCTACGAGAGGAGAATCATCATCAAGTTTCTGATCAAAGACTACCCAGAGACACTGAATATGAAGGATTTTGTAAGTCAAAACTGCTGTTTCAATTAACACCCAAATTTTGTCCAATAAAAACCAATAGTCTGACCATCTCCTGTAAGTTCAATAAATAGCGTAATGATAATCTAATGTCATTGCGTGAAAGGACATTAATTGCAGCATATTTAGGGCAGACGACAGGGAAGAAGTGTGTTCTCAAACGAAGGGATCAAGTTGGCCAAAAGTATGCCATTGTGGGCTCCTTGTTAAGACAACCGTCCCGGGCTGAGTAATCACTCGCACGCGCTCGTGCGCACACACGCACACGCTGGAGCTGATTCACGAGTAGTGGGAGCTGTTTGTGTGTCTCTCAGTGTGACGTCAGTAACGATCTCAGTAATGATCCATGCGTTGTTGTTAAATCCTTTATCAACATCCTATGTGATAACGATCCCTCCTGAAACCTTGTTTTGAAATCAAGGCTGTATCAATGGGTCGATCATATTGATTTTAGGTAATGTGCGTATTGTATTATTATACAACTCTTCATGTTCTCATGTCGCGAATAAATTGCTCTTCACACATAGATTGCTCTTGGGCACAGCGAAAAACGCTCTCGCTTCCAACAGGTTAAGTTCTTTTTTAATGACTCATATATACATGCACACTGTATTGTTAATTAGACGTTTTGTAATAGAGCAGAACGACTGTTTCTTCATCATTTAATGGCATAAGATATTTGCAGGTTCATATGCTGCATTCAGTAGAACAACACTTGTGAATATTCCTGATGGAGTCACCCCAATTCTCAAAGTGGTCTCTTTTACCCTACAAACACCACACGCCACCCATAACTCCAGATTACTACTATAATTATGATTCAGTCTGTCTGGTTTTGTTATGTAACCTAGCTGTGCTGGGATTTTTAATTTTCAGACAATATCAGTTGTGTTTTAATAAAAGCCCCTAGAATTATCGACTGGATCAAGAATTTCCGCCTTTCGTCCGAATGAAACATCATTCGGCTGTTGTTTAAATGCATTTCCGCTGCCTTTTATTTCTCAAATGTTATATATGTTTTTAGAACTACTTCGGCTTGGATTTCATCATTATCAACAATATCATTAACAAAGCATCAGGCTACTTAGTCTGATTAATCGGCTGGTTTTATTCGGAATATCAATGAGCCAGGCAGTGTGTGAGATAAATGTATAGGGAGTCTTCTCTCTCGAGTACGCTTAGTTCTTGCAATGACTAGGTTCTCGTCAAAGTGGCATATTATTTTTTTAATCTTTGCCCAGTTAGAGTACACCGTTGATCAGATAAAATAGATGCCACTATTTACTTTATTATCAGAAATATAATGATCAAAACTGTGGAATCCAGAAGTAGCAAATACGCAAATGTTTTTCTCTTGCATATTTCAAATAAATAAATAATTAAAAGACAACTACTAGGTGTTCTGACACACTTCAGATGATAGGGACACTGAGTTAATGTACACAAACCTCTTTACTAACTGATTAAAAATCATATGTCAAAGAAATGACTGTCGTAAGTTTATTGTTGTTTTTTTTCTTTTTTCAGAATGGAAGAACACCTCTTCATTTCGCCTGTGCTTTACCAGACGCAGACGACATCGTGGACTCTCTGCTCCGGGCCGGGGCTGACAAGAATATCACAGATTTTGTAAGTGTCATGGTTGAAATAAAGCCAGAGAAAGTTAGGAATGAAAAGTATTGCATTTTACACGTACAAATGCACAAAAGCAGAAAAAAAACGTGTGCTAAAACAAGCTCTGGTATGTGGTCTACTCGACTGACCACACATTTATGCTAATTTTTTGCATTTTTTATGCTTAATACGTATTTTTTAAATAACACCTCGAGGCTCCTGCCTTTTAACTATCAAAATGCAAACCAATACAACTGTCACTAAGGAAGATAAACCCGCCTTTCTCTTCTACCCCAATACATGTATTACAGAAATATTCAGTTTTTGATTTTCTTTATCTTGTCACTTTTGAATATATAGTTTTAGATTATATATAGTTTTATGTATGTTTATGTATTCACCACTCTGAGGTGCTAAATAAATAAATAAATAAATCACGATATTCCAGGACGGTAAGACTCCCGGGGACTACAGAAACAAGGACAACAAGTTCGTGGCGGCTGAGAGAGAGACGCTGCCTGGACTGGACCTCTGGCTACGGAACCAGTACCACAAGTGGGTGGACGCCATTGAGGAAGGCGACTACAACAAGGGGAAGGAATTACGGGAGGAATTACCCGAGTGGCTGAACGCCGGTAAGAGGCGGAGGAAGATCGGTGACGTAACAGCGTTGAGAAAAAATTAACCTAAAAGTGCATGATTTCAAGTCTGGATGCAATGTGAAAGTTAATTGCATAACGGCATATAAAATCAACATTAATTATAAATTCTGGCATTTAAATTTTGAAAACCATGCATTACTGTTGTGTATTGCTTATTAGTTAAAAAAAATTCGTTTTGATAGGGGTGTTCAATATACCTGTTAATGTTTACACCCGTGGGGGAAGGCAGGTACTAGCATAACCTATACGTACACCGTTACTTCTTCCTCTTCTCAAAAGAATGCTGCCTTGAACGAATGCAAACCTTTAAGGTCCGTCACAGTATGCCATATAAGTGTTATTTCACATAGTCCGTATTGTCTTTGTAGGAGATATAATGAAGCAAATGTACCTGCTCCCCGGAGAGGAGAAACCGAAGGACCTTCTCTTTGTCTGCGTGACAAACAATCAAGAGGAAATGGCCCTGTATTTGGTAGAGGAGGGAGCCGATGCAGTCATTAAAGGCCCGGTAAGATAACAAACACGCACACTTACACACATGACCGCATGCATTCCTAGATTTGCGACTGGTGATTGTCACGGTTGGGTCAATGCTCAAAATATTAGTCACAAAAACTAGCCCCTGCTTATGCCTTTAAAGTATACTTTTTCTCTGAAGCGTTAAACGCACCGACAATTGCGCAAAGAATCCTTTCTCAAGTTCAGCTTTATTTTGGTCAAATCTTCCTCGGCTTTAGAAGCAGACCGTCTTTTCTCCTTCAAAATTCTTTTTGAGGTACGTCCAAACTTTTAAAGCTTTGTCGCCAATTCGAGGAGATTATTATAATATAAATGTACCATGTATTTAAACCGCGTTGCGAAGTAATCGAGATATGTGGATTGCAATAACTGTTTTATTTTCACCTTTCAGTACGGTAAGGGAGGCAAGGTGGTGACACTGCGCGAGGCGGCTGAAGAACGTGGCATGCGAGACTTGGCCGAGCTAGCAGAAACAGCCGAGGAGGTAATGTAAAAACACACATCATATTTGGGCAGACGTTGTACTATTCAGGCAGGGCCGAAATAAAAAACTTTTAATGTAATTAAAAACCTGAAATATCGTGAAAGATTTGGAAATTAAACTGCTGTTGTCCAAAGAAATGTTGAAAACAGTCGTTTAATCTTCGTTGTGCGAAGTTCAGCTGTATCTTCTTCCCAACCTGCAATTGTTTGGATTTTAAATGTTTCAAAAACGAAAATGCGCAAGCAAATCTACGACCATTAATGGTAATTTCAGATGGCCAAGGAAGAAGACGGGGAATTAGAGGACCTGGCAGATCATGACATGGACAGTAACCCAGCACTGCAGAATGGGACTTCGAAAGGCGGGAAGGGGAAAGAAAAGAACGGGCACGCTAACGGAAACGCTAACGGTCAAGACACCCCAGAAGGCGAGATAAAAAGCAAAAGTTGCACCATTCTGTAAATGACCGTGCCAGCGGTAAATAAATGATAAAATCAATGATAATGATAGTTACTGTGCAGAAAAGAGAGCAAACGCCAGTTTTCCCAGAAATAACCGGTCGAATGGCATTTGAAGTCGCGAATACCCAGAAATGGGAGAGTAATCGTTAGATTGTGAAAGAAATCCAGTCTGCGCGTGGAGTAATACAGGCAATTTCAATTGGCTTAATTAAGCTACTGGCATTTTTGGATCGCTTCAAATTTCAATACAGGAACTTATCTTTACCCTGAGCGGTTACTGTATGTCCAAACGTGGGTTAATTGTACAGGATTGTAAGTAATTCAAGACAAAATGTATGGGTGTCTTGCATTTCATATCGCGTCGATGTAAAATATAACCTCGAATGGGTTAAGTTTGCCTTTTCTTGGTCGTGCAACATGTTCTGTTCTTATAATAGTTTTTTTTAAACTATAGTTAAAACTATTGTTAAATAAAAGAGACATTCAAAAAGGTCAAATTTGAAATGAAAAACATTTAACAACATAAACAATTCTCAACTGTGATACAATTTTGCATTGGTAAAGCAGTTAAATTAAATTTGAAAATCATTTAATTTCAAAGATACATTATATATGGACATTTTCCATGTATTTTAGATTCTTATGTGCTAGTATATGTACATGGTACAGTAATATTATATGTACAAGATGCACTCTGTACTTATATAAACAATATACATGTATGTCTTAGATAATAAATCAACTGTCTACAGCCAACTGCTAGGAAGTGTGTTCATTAATGTTTCCTAATCATTCCAGGCCTTAGTTTGGATGTTTGCTACATGCAAACAATATCACACCTGTATTTCTCATTATTTTTTTTAATATTTATGTTTTTTCATGTCCTGCTATAATCAATTCATTCCTGAATATGTCTCTCATACCCGTTCAGTTACTTGGCCAGCTTTCGAACATACAGAAGCCTTTCGGGTCCAACTGAATCTCTTGTCTTGTTTTTCTTTTGGTATTCTAAGAACTTAAACTTTCTTTTTGTATGTTTCAGCACTGTAATAAAAGTGCTTAGTTTCATCAGTTTCATCTCTGATACCTATCAGTATACAATTTGTTTTCCTAACTCTGGATTACGTGGTGACTGCCCCTGATATTATCTCAATAAGTCCGTGTCATCTCAGCCTTGGACTTGCCAGTCTGTTTAGGCATCTTTTTATGTGATCCGTCATCCAGGTCCTTAGCCTTGTAGTAGTGAGGGGCCACTTCCAACAACCACTGGTTCTCAATTTCTATCACCTGTAACAACAACAGGAACAACATGGGTGAAAGTTGTAAAAACTGAAAGTCCTGAGTATGTAGCTTGCAATTCTCATTGCATTTAGACCACATGAAAAAAAGTGATCAAAATGGAGAATGAATATCCTAAAATTAGGCATAACCCTAAAAGTTTCATCCAGGCATCATCAACAAAATGATGGAAGGATTGTTCTCAACATCAATGCCACATTATGAGTACGAAAGTGGTTTGTCCCAGGGGCCGGTTTCACAAAGCAGTAGTTAGTTACAACAACTAACTACTGAACTACCTCGCTAACGAGCAAACTTAGCGATTTTCGAGGGGTGTTTCACGAAGCAGTAGTTAACTTATCGCTAAGTTCAGTCGTAAAGTTCAGTCGCTAGTTCTCTCGTTACTCACCGTAGTCTCGAAACCGTCTGCCGGAAGTGGAACTCTTGCGTAAAAGTGTCACGAAAGCACTAACTCTCCAATTTTTAGTGGCTGGAAATGCATAAGAACGTCTGCTTTGAGGTCGTCGTAAAGGATCTCCACCACCTTTTTGCCGCTCTTTTTGTCACAGCTAGGCGCAACCTCTCGTAAATTGCATCATCGTGTGTATATTCTAAATAGATTCTGCCTTTCATGAAAACGTCGTAGTCTACGTTGCCGTCTGGCGGTACGGTTAGCAAGAAAGGTAGCCGCCATATTGGATACAAAGACAAACGACAGACAACGGTAACTAAGCAACCTTATTATTTCACTCATTACGCATGCGTACGATGAAACTCTAGAGTTAGCGACTGGTCTGACCAGTCGTTAAATATCCAAGGTAACAACGAGACAATAACGAGCGAGAGAACTAGCGACTGCTTCGTGAAACGGCACTATAACTAGCGAGAGGCTAACTACCGATCGCTAACTAACTACTGCTTTGTGAAACCGGCCCCTGGTCTCTAGATAGGATGATAAAAAAGTAGCATTCTTTACTTAAAGACTAAATAACATCAGTGAAACATGACAAGTGATAAAAAATTCTTTACTTAAAGTCTTAGTAACATCAGTAAAACACTACTGCTGGTGTTATTTAGTCTCTTAAGTACAGAATAACTCTATTTTAATAATACCACACTGTGCTAATATATACGTTAACCATGAATTATGTGCCTAATATCCCCATTACCTGTCTCATAAATTCTTTGGTGGTGAGTACCAGCTCATGGTAGATCAGCCACCTTGGATGTTCCTCAAACAGACTGCTGTTGGGGTGGACCATCACTGTCTGCTGGTGCTTGACAGTTTTATACTGGCCACTTTTACTAAGACGAGCTGTGTGGTAGAAAAACCCAGCCGTGATGGCCTGAAAATAACAACAATTACATAACAATAAATCAAATCAGTAGCAGTTATAATTATCATACATCATAATAAAATATCATCATATAATACAAATTGTAAAAAAGAAAAAAGATGATTCCTTTGAAGACTGAAATAAACACTTCTCTTCTCTGATTTGGCTTATCTACAAGGTGACTGTTCCTGGTATTCTCTCAATAAGTCTTTTATGTGGCAATGCAACTTCCAAAAATCCCCAAATTAAGCAGCAGGCAGCTAAGATGTGCTTTGCAAAGCAGTCTACACACACATGACATCCTTACCTTCCTGATGGCAACAGTGTCTTCCTTATTGGACTGAAGCTCTATCTCCACTCTCTCCATCAATCCCTCCAGCTGCTCTCTCACGTCCCTGGCACGCTTCATGGATCTGTGCTGGATGAAGTTCTCATAACACCACTGGGTGGAATAATCCGTCTCCATCCACTGAAATAAATACTACAGTGATGGACAGTGTCTTTTATGTCGACATTCTACCAGGATTAAAAGTCCTTTTTGTCTTTGTTTGAAATAAGAAAGCTAAATTTGTGTTAAGTTTATTGTTTAGTTATACTAATATGTAGGGCCAGTATGATAAAAGGTTAAAATAAGGGGCACAGGGCTAGTGTAAGGGTCATAGAGTCAAAATAATATATATTTTACATTGCTTTGTATACTGGCCTGGTCATACAGCATATGTATGTATATAAAATATATACAGGTTGTAGAAATAAAGAGAAAAGAGCAGACACCTGTGTATAGACATTCATCAACGTCAGATGGTCTCCCCCAGGCACAAAGAAGTTCTGTCTGGCCGTGTCCGCATGAACAATCTTATCCTTGGGACGGTAGAAGATGGCGTTGTTCACCGACAGCATGGCTGTGATGGTGAGGATTTCCTCAGAGCATTTGTACCTACAAGACAAAATACATCAGAAGCTGCCATGTATAATTAAGTAAAAGTAACTACAGAACCAACAAGCCATAACATAAAACTACCTTCTCAGAAGGGAAAACCATCAGCAAGATTGGATTCTGGATCTCTCTCCCCTGATACAATCACTTTGTCAACTGTAGGTATCCAAAGCCTTACATTTTTAATTCCCGCATTTGCTTTTTCACTTTCTATGTCAAATGGCCCAGGGGGAAATCAGCCAATCTTCTCTCATGCTGGACAACTAATATACGGGTGTGTTACCAATGAAACTATTGTGCTAGGTAGATTGATACAACAACAAGGGGAATCTTGCTGAATGCAATCTTGCTGACTCCTTGAGCAGCTAGGGGGTTAGTTTCAGTCGTGTTTCAATCGCACTCAAAATGAAGTGAAAAAGCTTCCAAAATCAGAGCACACATGAAAGTTAATCACCCCCCTAGCTGAACAAGGAGGAATGTCATTGAGTTAATCTGATTGCATTCAGCGAGGGTCCCTGCAAAGTTGGATCGATCTACATAGTACGACAGCTTCATTGGGAATGCACCCTAAGCTAAAGTAGGGCCTCAAGGGTACTTAAAGAAAGTAACAATATCAAAACTAATTGTTGTCATTTACTATCAACTTACTTTTCAGAGGCCAAAATCATTTTAGACAGCATGGGGTCCACAGGGAACTCAGCCATTCTCCTCCCCAGCTTGGTCAGCTCTCCTCGGTGGTTCAGTGCTCCCAGAGCATACAGCTGCTCCAAGGCCAGAACAAGGGTCTCGTGTGGAGGGGGGTCCATGAAGTCGAAGTGGATCAGATCGTTGATCCCCAAACTCTTGAGGAGTAGAACCACATTTCCTAAATTGGTTCTTTGGATCTGGAATGGAATAAGTGACACAGGTGATAAAGTTAAATCGAAAAATTAATAACCTGACTTAGATCTAGATCTCTCATTATATGAACTGTTCTTACAATTACAATGAAACAAATGATAAAATGTTGTATTACTTCCTTATTTTTTTCATTATTTTGACCAAAAATTATGTTTGTCAGCACAATATTTAAGCCTGAGGCATCATGGGATACTGCTGTCAGAAGGTACTTTGTGCATAAAACTAAACAATGAATAATTTTAAGAATGGTAAAATTGCCTTAAAGTCTATAACAACTAAGCCATCTATGCATTCTGTGTGCAAGTAAGCAAGCACATAACACAGCAAACATCCTCTAACCTCAGGAATAGTGTTGTCTTCCAGTTCATTCTTGTATGCCCAAGCTGTGTACAGGCGGAAACATTTCCCAGCAGATACACGCCCAGCTCTTCCTGCTCTCTGATTGGCTGCTGCCTAAAAGCAGGGAAAAAAAGAGACATATAAAACAAGGATTCAAACATTATAAAGTGTTGTGAATATCAACAACCAAATCAAGATCATGCTAAGGCATGCTAAGGTCTGCTAATTCACTCTGCAGTAACAATACCAAAGGCATCCAACTTGTTGCCTTAGTAACTTATACTAAACGTCGCATTTGTGCCATAGAATCCAGTGTCAAGATTCAGAATTAGTAGCTATGGTAACCAATACCTTAGATATAGGTGTCACCACCAGTGACTCCATGCCCGTCCTTGCATTGTAACTCTTCTGCTTACAGAAACCCACATCTATCACAAAGGTAATGCCGTCTATTGTAAGAGATGTCTCTGCAATGTTTGTTGCCAGTACAACCTGTGGATGTAACATAAAAATCTATCATTACTGCAATTCAAAAAAATTTATATAAATATGATAATTTCAGCTGAACTAAATACATCTCATTGAATTATCTTTTCATAATCACAACTTCTCGGCAGCCAGAGCACTGTATGTAATGTCTGTCCTAGCCAGACATTATTATCAGTTAATGTAAAGATTAACTGCTTAAGTTTATATTTATGTACATACCACTACTAGATAGAATGTTTAGCGTGGTATTAATCATTATTTCATTGGCAAGCCAGGATGATCACTGGTTTGAGACCACCAACAATGAATGTTACCAATGCTGCTGCCCCAGTTTGATATAAAAGTGGTGCCCCCTTTGATAGTTTTAAAACAATAATGGACAGATCATGGAAAATCACTTATGAATATGCACATATTCACAGATAAGAATTTAATATTTTTCAGCTAATCTGCATCCATGAAGCTGTTAACTCACTTTTCTGGCACCAGGTGGTGTTGGTTCAAATATTTTGGACTGCATATCTGAGGGCAGTGTGGAGTAGATAGGCAGGATGATCAGCTCTTTTAGCTTGGACCCCAGCTTCTTAGTTCTCTCCTAAAGTGTAGGTATAAAGGGTGGTCAAAAACAATATTTTATATTCTAGCATTTCCAAAATTTTCGAAAATAAAAAAATTAATCAATCAATCAATAATAGAGGTATCATAATTTCATGCTTATTTTTAATTCTTAATATTTATAATTTTTTCATTCACTCACAGATCATAATACAAGTATAATTCAAAATGACTTCATAAAATTGTTCTTCCATTCCAATATTTTTATACATTTATGATTTTCATACATACAGTGAAATATATAATTATACAGTTGCACATTTTCATTCAGAGAAATAAAGGTTTCCTAACATATTCAGGCCTATCTCACCATAAGCATCTCATTAGCAGTCTCAATCTCCTCCTGTCCTGTCAGAAACACCAGAATATCTCCTGGCACTGGCTGAGTGCAGTGGATCTGTAGTACTGAGACCACTGCAGCATCTATATAGTCAGCCTCGGGGGCCTATAACATAACACAAACAGTTACACATCTCTGTAGTCAGCCTCTGGGGCCTACAACATAACACATACAGTTACACATCTCTGTAGTCAGCCTCTGGGGCCTACAACATAACACATACAGTTACACATCAATGTAGTCAGCCTCTGGGGCCTACAACATAACACACATCAATATAGTCAGCTTCTGGGGCCTACAACATAACACATACAGTTACACATCTCTGTAGTCAGCCTCTGGGGCCTACAACATAACACATACAGTTACACATCTTTGTAGCCAGCCTCTGGGGCCTACAACATAACACATACAGTTACACATCAATGTAGTCAGGCCCTGGGACTTACAACATAAGATCTTCAATTTTGTAGCAGGCTATACTAGTGCCCCCTGTGATATCAGAGGATACATATAATCTACAAGAATTAGCAAAAAAAAAAAAAAAAAAACAGCAGCTGATGTAAGAGAAATGGAGGCTTTAGAAAACAACTGGTTTCACAGCAATAAAAAAAAAAAAACAACCGTCATTTTCATAATTGGCTATCTTCAGTGCCCATGGATCATCATGTGTTATCACATCAAGAAGACATAACTTACGAAGACTTTGCAAATGGTATGAAGGTGACATAAAAAGGTGACACAACCATCTAGCACGTCTTCACAAATATAACAAATGTTCCCATCTCCACTTTTTTTCAATAAGCTTCTACAAGCATACCATACCTTTGTGTAATATATGTCCACGGGATATCTTCTCCCTGGGATTCTGAATACTGGAGCATCATCAAAAAACTGCAAGTATATGCAACTGATGTTTAAATTGTGATTGTTATTTGAAAAATTGAATTTTGACTTATGTATATTATTACCAAAATCCACATACTGAATATATGTATGATAAAACAAACGGAATGCATGCTAACTCTAACAGATTCCCTGGGAACCTTGTAGTAACAGTTCTGTAATTTAACCCTGATAAAAAGTACATTGCACTGCAAGTAAAGTAATTTGATGTTCTAACTGTTACTGTAATTTTAAAATTAATCTTTAACTTACATCATTACCCAAATCCCCATGATTAATCTATGTATTATATAACAAATGAATTTAAATCATGTCTAATGGCTTCTCAATGAATCCTGTAGTAACAGTTTTGTAATCTAGCAATGAAGAACACTGTACTATTTGTCTCACCATAGAAAACTTCTCTGCGTCAAGTGTAGCACTGGAGATGAGCAGTTTGAGGTCTGGTCTGAACCTGGCGATGTCCTTGACCAGACCAAACAACACATCTGTGTGGAGAGTCCTCTCGTGAGCTTCATCTATGATCAGAACACTGGAGGAGGAGAAATATTAGAAACTGAAGGAATGACATTTGACTGGGGCAGCAATATCACACATAAACACAGGCATACACAGAACAATATTTCTACAATGTGCACATATATGAGAGAGAGAGAGAGAGAGGGAAAGAGAGAGAAATCCACATGTAACTAAAAACATCAAAACACACACACGCACACACAGACACACAAACACACACATACACAGTGACCCACCTGTAGCTGGCTAGGTCAGGTTCTCCCAGAAACTCTCTCAGCAACATTCCGTCTGTCATGTACTTCAAGACAGTCCTCTCTGAAGTACAGTCCTCAAACCTGATGCTGTAACCAACCTGAAGATATTCACAACACCAATGCAGCATAAATATTTACATTAATCTTTTACTGAGTTAAAGGTATTTTGATGAATCTCATTGATCCTGTCTATATATCTGTACATTAAATCTACATTCTGATCATCGTTTTAGTCACTGAAATTTGACAGTGGAAAAAAAACTACAATAAAAATAGTTTTCTACATCACACATGCATATAAAACTCATTAAAGAGAACAGAAGAAAGGGGGGTGGGGGTAAATGCCTGCTGCACCCCACATCCACCCACAGCCCCCCACCTACCCAGCCAGATCAACAAAAGAATTTACCTCATTCCCCAGTTTAAATCCCATTTCCTCTGCCACTCTGGCAGCCACTGACATGGCAGCCACTCTCCTAGGCTGAGTGCAGCCCAGCTTCATACCATCCTTACAGTAACCCTGGAAAACATGACACTTGTAAAATTCAGCTTCTGTATTTCATCACATGATGGTGTGGTGGTCTACACCAGAGTTCTTCATCTTAAATGTGAACTAGCTAAAATATGTGATTTTTTAAACACCTACCCAAAATAAACTGCACTGCAGACAGTGAAAGTGAAAGGTACCAAAAACAATGTCCTAAGACACTTTATTGTAGCAATCATAAAATCTCAGTTTGTCATCATAGACAATGAGGTTAACGTATCTTGTGCTGCTGATTTTATAGAAATATTTACATAAGTTTACCATTGATGTCCATTACTCTAATTGTTATTTATTTTTGTACTTACAGCCTCATGTAAATACTGTGGAATCTGGGTGGTCTTTCCACTTCCAGTCTCGCCCTCTATAATCAGCACCTGATATGTCTCCACAGCTTTCAGAAGGTCCTCCCTGAACGGCCAGATTGGAAGACTTTTACGCGTTTCTTCTATTGTCATCTTCTTCTTTTGTCGCTCTGACAGCTCTGGTTCATCTTCCTAGAATAGTCATTGTGATTATTGAAATGATATTATTTTTTCCTTGAAATTAGATTCATTACTTTACAAAACTAAAAAGAGTTTCCAGAAAATGCATAAGATCTGTTCAACTTCCCTTGTTTAATCGAGATTTTCTCTTAGATTAAAAAAAAAGAGAAAGAGTAAAAAAGAGACTAGTTTGACCCTTATCCGGTTGTTGGAACTGAGCTTCTATAAAAGAGAAGTCAAATGAATCCACTAAATTCTACAATGCTTGTTCACCTTATCTCTAGTGCCAGCCATTGGAATAGCCTGGATAAACTCTATCTCTTCATCCATTACAAAATCATATTCTTTTTCCTGAAAAAACAAGCATATATCTGTTGTCATAAAACAGATCATTTAGAAACTTGCACTTTCAGAACTTGGCAAATTTTAAATACTTAATTCTTAATTTAAGTACTTAATTCAAATTAAAACCGAAGATCAAAAAAAAAAAAAAAAAAAACACTATGGATTTCTGGAATCTCTAATTCACATATTTTTTACCAAAATGTATTACTTCTGAACACAGTGGGTAAAATATACAACTCAAATAATTTCCATTTTAGAGGTTTTCAAAGTATAAGTAAGAGAAGCAAGTTTTTATTACCTTTTTCTTAGCCTTGGCATCCTTGGCTCCAAACTTGAGAGTGGCAGCGTGGAGCTGCTCTTCCTCCCACCTCTTCTGTTCATAATTCAACCCTTTCTCATTCTCATCTTCTACAAATCGGTTTTCAGGTTTCTACAAAATAAAACACGTAACTCATAGTGCTGTGTGTGTCAGTGATTGATGTGTCAAGCTTTGTTTTAGGTAAACTAATGGTTAAACACACCAGATCTTTTAAAACAGTAAGATAAGCAACATAGTAAACCTTAACAGTAATGTGGTTTTATGCAGTAAAAAAGATGTTCTTTTCAAATTTTGCAATTTATAAAGAAGACATAGTTTAACCTCCCCCTTAACACACACACACACACACACACACACACACACACACACACACACACACACAACCAGACATACACCACACACAAAATACTATTTACTGATCTTTCATGGCAAAAAACAAGAAATGTGATTTTACTAGAATATTCTGTTATCAACCCTCACCTCATCCCCTGTAGGCATGTAGTATCTGTTCACTTTCTCCACATCCCCGGCCCTCCTATGTTCCTTGGCCAACTTTAGGACATTCTTTTTGTACTCCTGCTCAGCCTTCTCCCGTTTTGTTAGGCTGGACAGATATAATAAACATATAAAGGTGTAAATACAGGTGAGAGTTTGGTAAGATATTTTATTTCTTACATTAAGGTAGTTTTCAATTAATGTTCCATTTTTAATCATGAATTTTTTTCATTTAAAGCAAGCAGATCTCAATATCTCCAGATCTTTCAAGAAAAAGAGATTGTTACAAATGTTCATACATGAAAACCAGGTCTCAAAAAATAATTCTTACTTGAGATCACTGAACAGATAGTCTTCATCCATGAGATCTGCTTCCAAATCCTCCAATTTCGCAGCTTGGCGCTTCTTCAAATATTCTCTTCGTGATTGTTTTCTTAGCTCAGGAACTATTTTTTTCTTGTCTTCAGACTCGAGCTGCAGCCTCTTTTTGGCTTCTTCATAGGCCTAAAACCCACAAAATGTAAGAAATCATTATGTTCTTTAAGAAAGATTTTAAACAAACATTGATTAGCTGATTGAGTAGTTATTTCTAAGGGCAGGAAGCTTCTGTTTGTTGTTTTCCTCACTTGTCCATTCTTTACCTTCAGTCTGCTTACATTTTCATTAACTTCAAATAAAAAAATACTTTATATCAATCTACTTGTTTTATTTGTTTCAAAAGCGGCTCAATAGGAAAAATAAAGATATGCTAAAACATATTCAGCAGTGTGGTAGCACGGTAGAAAGTTAGCAATAGCTGAATTCTGATATTTTAAAAGGCAAGTTCCCATGTCTACTTTTTACTTGTCATTAAAATACAGACTAATCAGATGCAGCAACATATTATTGAATTAGCAGTCTCTGAACAAAACTCTACCTTTTTTTCTGACTTTGACATTACATTCCTTGTTTTTTCTTTATCTTTTGTCCTCAGACGGTTAGAAAACTCATCCTTTTCTTTCTGGTCAAGCAGTCTTTCTTTCTCCTCTCTGTCAAACTCATCTTCTGATGACTCAGCTTCAACTTTCTGCTGTCTTTTTTCTCTTGAAAAAACAAAAGAAAATGTTGGAAACATCAGACTTTTATAATTCTGTCAAAAAATTAATGAAAACCAAACTTTCATTTCTATCCAAATTATGTTTTAATGCAGTGCAATACTTATTTTCAGTTCTCTTTTAATCACTTAACATAATTCATAGAGCCTATTGACACTTTTCCTTACTTCATCCTCAAAAAAATATACAAAGAAATTCAATGATATTACTATTTAAGCTATTGTCAAATCTATAATGCACTAGCAATAATGCTTGTAAAATGTATGTGTCTTATGTGACCCGATTATAAAATATAGTGAATTTTGTCTTGTCACACACAGCAGTAGTTCTGTTAACAAATATTCTGCTTAAATTGCAATATGCCTACAATTTAATAAGTATATATTGGAGCTCACCTCTCTCCATCACTGTCACTTTCATCCGACTCTGTCTTTCTTCTAATGTTTCTTTTCTTTTTCTTATCTTTCTTAGATTTCTGTAAATACAAAAAATGATGAAGATGTGGAATACTTTTTATGTGATAAACACTGTGACAGCTCAAATCAATAACACATTCATGATAAAATAATCACATGAGAAATCCAAAGTCCCTAATTATTTGCAAAATTATTTTACAAACTGTTTGGACTTATGAGGGCACACAACATTCTTAGAACATTAAGATTTCCTAACTGATTTGGAGTGGGGGGGGGGGGGGGGGGGCGTCTCCCTTCAGCTGCTTGGCTAAAGCACTATTTTCTGTGGGTGCTATAATATAATATTTAGCAATTGATTAAGATGAAATAGCTGCTGGGGGGGTGGGGGATGTGTTGGTTTTGCAACATCTTCAGTGGTCTGGAAGTCAATTCTTGTTTTAGCTGATATGTCTTGACGAGTTCTTACTCACTTCACCAAAGTGACAAAGCCATTACTTACTTTGGCTGGAATAACAAATTCCTCTTCTTCCTCATCCTCTGACACCAGCTTGTAGCTTCTATTCCTTTCTTGTAGAGCAATGGCTTCCCTTTCCTGGATCCTGGCTAGCTTTTCTCCTTGCTGTCTTCTAGGGACCTACAGAAAGGCATATAACAGAGCTGTTATCAAAGGCACTCAAACAGACCAAAATTAACTTCCTTGTAAGTTGTAGGAACTCGAAAAATAAGTTAAATGCTGCCTCATTTTAAAATTGAGATCACTCAGACATACATGTCACATTTCAGGAAGGAAAATTATCAAATTATGATGGATGACTAAAAAAATATGAAGACTGGTCAAAAGAAATAACACGAAAAAGTATAAACACATACAACTATATATGCACTATAAATACTCGCTGAGAACAAATCTTCAATTTTACCTTGAGAATAAAATAATATATACCTTGGACCAAAGTTCCTTGGCAAAGTTCTCCATGTTTGCATCAATATCCACTGTCTTTGTCTCCTTCAGCTTTTCAATGTAATCATCAGAGCTGGCAGCCTTACTGGCCAGCCCAATCAGATACTGGCCAATGTACTTGTCTGATATCCCAAGGATATCGTGCAGTTTATCATTTACCCAAGTGTCTATCATCGACATGGTGAGAGATTTAGTAGTGGGATTCAAATATAGTCTGTGTCCTTACAGCTGTAAGTTTTGGCCAGCTATATGTTGTGTTACATCCTTATTTCCATGGCTGTCGCCCTTGTGCCTCAGTCATGTTGTAAGCTTTTTAAGTTTCACACTGCTCACAACTTTTCTAACACATCCTATTAATTATATATTAGGCTTTTCGGAATCTCCAAAAGCAGATTATATATATCAGTTTAAATGTAACAAAAACCGAACCGACTTATATATAAATTGCTTCAACACATAACCTTCAATCAAGACACAACAGCCAAAATGCGTTGGGGAAACGTCGCCTGGAGCTTGTAAACAACACAATTGGAAGCAATTTACACCAAAAATTGACCTGGTTGGTCCCTAAAGTACTGTTTAAATTAAATAAATACAGTGTACTATGACAAAGGATGATTGGATGACACTATTAACTGAGTTCAAACCTCAGTATTCACTTCTAGATCGTAGTATTCAATCTTGTACGAGTTTACTTTTCGTATTCATGGGCGCCGCCATCTTGAAGGTTTTGTGCTACACCGCTTTCAGTGACGTAACGATTGGCAGAGTTTGATGACGTCTACACACAACTGACAGCGACAGATCAACTATAGAGACCGAGACATTCAATTTTTTTAAAGAATTTATAGCATATTCGTTGTTCAAAAACCAACTTGAGAGACTTCGCCGACAAGATGTCACAACAAGGCGCTGCATTACAGAGTTATAACAACGAGTTGGTTAAATGTAAGTTGTTTTGTGTGTTGTTCTCGTTGCCAAGTCGAAAAGTAGGCGGTATTTTTGGTTTTTCGTCGAGAAGATAACATTTCATATTCTTTGGTATTGTTACAGTTTATCACATGTTTACAAACATAATTTGGTATTTATCCAATTACGGTGTTGTTGGACATTAGCCCTATGGAATTAGCCATCTAAAGTAGAAAACTTGAAGATGTGTATTACCCTAGACCCACTACATGTAGAGACTGAAGTCAGAACAGTAAAAGGCCCATTTGTCCGATTAGGGTCAATTAATACAAAGTACCAAATTACAAGGGAGCAATAAATCTCATGCCTTAGTTATTTATTGAAGACACTAACATAGTAACTCACTGAAACATAGCTTATGAATTACTTTACTTGGTAAATTGCATTAAACATTGTTTGATGTCTTTCAGGTCAAAAATAAATAACTTGATCATCTCCATTTCAGCTTCATTTTTGAGTTTTAGAGGAAGTTGGTTGCACTTTGCCATTGAAGTGTGATGGATGAGAGACCCCTTCTATCTTGATATAATTATACAGTAATGATATTAACTCTTAAACCCTTTATCTTTGTATTTATATTCATTTTCATTGTCCAGGCATAGAAGATCTGTGTGCCAAGAGAGATGCACTAAATAAAGCACTGGAGGAAGAAGAGGAAGAAAAAAATAAAGTTCAACATGACATTAGGATTTTGACAGAAAGACTGGCAAAAATAAATGAAAGTTTAAGCAAGAAAATGGCATCTAGAAATGAATTTGATAAAACCATTGCAGAGACAGAAGCAGCCTACATGAAGGTAGGTGACCATAATAGTTATTAGTCCGGCCCATAGGTGGGGGTGAGGTAGAAAGAACTTCACTTTGGGGTGAAATCAAATTTTGATCTAAGTGCTATGTCATATCTCATATTGGGCCAACTGCTAGTAAGCATAAAAAGGCCCATTTTTTCAGAAACAACCCCCCCCCCCCTCTATGTGCAGGACTGCTAGTGATAAGGAACTCACATATGATGCGATTTCATGACATAATTTGAATTTAACACAGATATCATATATATATATATATATGTCACTGGACATATATATATATATATATGTCACTGGACAGACAGTGAAGTAAAAAGTTTTGTTTTGTGACCTTTAAGAGTGGTTTTATGGAGGTTTTTTTTTTAATATGCGGATGATAAAAGTAAATTACTTTTTCAAATTCTTTATTTTTTGTTTTATCTTTTACTTATTTAATTTTATTCTAAAAAAATTTTATATCTTTCCTTCAGTTTGCTTTCATATCTTTTGGATATTTCTTTTCAGATTTTGGAGAGTTCACAGACACTGCTAAATGTGCTAAAGAAAGAAGCTCAGTCCTACAAGGAGAAAAATATTGTGAACCCAGGAGCATCAGGGCAGAAGATAGAGGGACGCTGACCTGTTGTATTTGACAATTCTGTGATGGACCTAGTTGTGTTACAGGCAGTTTCATTTCATATAAACTTAAGCAGAAAACAGTGGACTTTTTCCTGCAGAAAATCCTTCATTTTGCACTTTAAAGATGTATATAACTGATATATTGACATCAATCATCAATAAATCATCAAGCTAGATGTGTGTTGTGTGGCCCCTTAACATTCAGGGTCTCAACCCTATTGAATACATGAAGAGAGAAACCCTTTACAGCATCATATATATATGTATAGCATATGGCTTTATTTATAATATCTGAACATTTTTGTGAAGTACTTTTTGTAAATATTAAGACGCCTTACATTTTCACATGATATGCATATAAAGATTATAGATATCTACATGTTCTCCAATAAATGTTCTCTGTTGATACAAAAGTAAGTCATTGTCTTTGTAATTGTCATACCATAGAAGGTGTACCCCATTCTGAAGGTTGTGGGTCCATGTGGAATGTTTATGCACTTCATAAACCTTCCAATACCGCAGCTAATATAAATTGTAAATTACTTTAAAAAAAAAATTGCCATTCCCAGGTGCAGTTATGACTAGCACCTTGCTGTAAAGACTAATCTGGCCATTTTCAATAGCGAGTATCTTGAAAAGTTTTGCCCAAAAGGTGCTTGATACAACAAACATATGTATAAACAAATAATTGTTGCATTACTGGTGTTACATTTTCCTTGCCTTGAAACTGCTATTACGAATCAACTGGATAACATTGAACCTCCCCTGGGAGGCTCTTTAAAATGCTTGAATACAACCCCAAAAGGCAAAAATAAGATTAAGGGCAAATACTTTTATGCAAACGTTATCAAATTTTCATTATAACAGGAGTAACTACGGTAAAGTCTTGAAAATTTCGTCGTTCTTGAAAATTTCGTCGGCAGACGATTTTCCGCCGACGTAATTTTTTTCCCTTTGAAAACTTCGTCGACCTTGAAAATGAGGTACTCGATAATTTTTGAAAAGTTCGTCACCAAATATGGCCGCGTTGTCCAGCTCAACCATGAAGGTAATGCGTCAGTTGATTCAAGACAATGATACGATCAGGATATCATTGCCGATAACACTCTCAATGGGAGATAGGAACAATAGTGCGCCCCTGCGAGCGGTTACCCACAATATAGATGGTTTAGATGTGAATTCCCGTTCTCAATTGCAGGAACGTCGGCCTTTTGTCTTTAGTTTCATTACTATTACCTGGCTTAAGGTGCGTTATCAAGCCGGCAAATAGAAGTCAGGCCGGGGCTTTGTCATTTGTAACGCCGTTATTGTTATCGGCGGCTATCCTAAATGAGGAAGACACAATGAAAAAATCAAGATATTATCTCGAAGTGANGGGAGATTGTTTGCGATGTAAGCAATAATAAAATGCAGTTTTCATATTAGTTCAAGGAACTTAAATTGCGGAAAATCGTCAACGGGAGATCATTATTTTAACTCCCTGTAAATTTTTAGGAAGTTACAGATTGTAATTTTAGAAGGCCTGACACTCAATCCTGGGAAAAGCCCTGCAAGCAACAAGTGCGTAATTTATTTTAACATGTCGCGTCCAGGTTATGATGCAAGGTTGCAATTAGGCTTATCTTGATCCTTCTCCTCTATCAGGAGGTATGTTTCTTACCGAGAAGATGTTTTCGGGTACACTTTACGAGATGCACTAATAAATAGATTATTATTTACCACCAGAAAATGACTTAGGAAGTAGTAATAAATATCCCACAATATAGGAGAGTCAAAGATAACAGTCGGTACGGATAAAAGCCCAAAGGCCGGATTTTTGAAAATTTCGTCATACCCAGGAGTCGGGGAGAGGTAATTTTGAAAAATTAGTCGGATTTACACAATTAAAAATATTAATTAATTTTTAAGCGACGAAATTTTCAAGACTTTACCGTAAAAGTGTCACACATGATACAGACATTAATTATATATTTATAAGTAAACATGATTCTACAACTATGTTAATCAGTTTCAACTAAAATGGATGTCTGAATTCACATGTAGTATATGCACATAAAAAGAATTTAAACTGTACCACATGAAAAAGTGAAATGACCTGGTGCTTTTCACATTACTTCAGAAAATGAAAATTTATTTAGTTTCTACAGTTTTGTACATCAGAATCTTCTAACCTTTTATTACAATTCAAGACGTAACAACCCCTACTTAGCCCAAATTATAAGGTTAAAAGAAATGTGGTTTACAGTATCTGTAAAAATGCAAATGAACAATGTGGTATTTTACATACTACTGGTCCGCTCTGTAGTAAGAGTATAAAAATTGTTCAGTTGTAAATAATAAATGTCATAAGATTTTCCCTGAACAAATTTTTAAATGATATGTATCTGAATACAATAATTTGATATCAAATGGTTTTAAGTTGCCATCAGGCTGGAGTAAGTATCAAATATAAAACCAGACTGTTTTGATGAATCATCATGTGCTGGCAATTTACAAAAACTGTCTTTAAAATAAATAAAGGGTTTTGGGAATAAAATGTTTACAACTGCAGCATTAGCTGTGCTGGCAGTATGAGATGGAAACTGCTGACAAGCTGGATGTGTGACAGGCATTTTGTAGAAGTCCATAATATAAGAGGTAGGTGGTATGTGTGATTATTTTAGGCTACATCAATCCTCAGCTGTGTTCACTTGCTAGGCTGGCTGGCACGAGGTGAGGATTTTCAGCTGCAATAGGAAAATAATAATCTTAATTACATAAATAAATGCTCAATTTTAAAAGGTCTGGCCAAATGTCATAAAGATAATACAATGTATATCTGTGTGACTGGTTACCATGAAAAAGTACTTATCTAGTAATAAACTAAAATATACTTGGAAAAATACATTTGCCATTCCCAAGGAGGTTATTTTTTTTTTGGTTCTATTTGTGTGTTTATCAATAAGCAACAAGGCGTAAGAGTTGCAGGCAGATTTTGATAAAATTTTCACAAACTGCTTGGAGGTTACCAAGTTACAAATAATTATGATGAATTGATTAATCAATAGTTAATTATCATTATTTGTCTGTATGTCTATTTGCAACAATTATACCAAAAGTTGTGGGAAGATTTTAGTCAAATTTTTAGGACAGAAGTATGTGGGCTATATTAATCCATTAATTAATCAGATAATCAATGATTTAATAAATAAATAAATAAATAATAATAATAATAATGAGAATTGACATAACAAATTAGTTAATTAATAACTGACAATAATTTTTAATTCATTATGATATTCCTCAAATGGTCTTCTGGCCTCAAACCTATCACAAGTGCTCTCCTCCTTTCAAATTCCTCATTCAAATGTCTGAGTAAAAAAAGTTGTGATCCTTCCTTAAGTAGAGCTTGGCACAGATGGTAATAAACAGTGGGGCCTCTTTTCTGCAGAATATCCAGAAACTTCCCCGCCTGTGAACTCGGTGTCACTTCATGGTTGATCTCGGCGCAGTCATCTTCTGACAGTATATTCACACTGCGTAGGTAAGCGTAATGCCTTTTTGGCTGCAAGTTTTTACAAAGCAAGGGGCGGCTCTCTTCCAAAATCTGAAAAAAGAAATTATTGTCTTTGCTTTTATTTGACACCCTTATATAAATATATCAGTAATACCATGATGAATTAATTTTGATTTAAATCTCTTAAAGCTTAATTTTTGTTTTCTCTGCAAAGTCATTTAGAGAAGCACTATGTACATACCATATACTATACAAATAAATGTACTTATCCTAGTGTGTGTGTATGTTTGTGTGTGTGTATGTATATATTGTACCTATATATTACCATAAAAACCCANACTGAGCAGAGTACGATTGCAGTAGGGAATTTTGTAAGTAAAATTATGAAAAAACGTAATTAACTGGAAGTGCACAAATGATTTCATGCATCTCACCTGCATATTAAGAGAATGTATATTGTGTAACATTATATAAGTATAATTTCTTTTTCTCTCTTTCATTTACTTACTATCATTACTATCTTTTCGTATGTATAATGTATAGTAGTTAGAGAGCCTCTAAATGTAAAAACATTTCAGTGCTTAATAAATTATTATTATAAAACTGTGGTGTATTCATTTCAGTTGAAACTATCTGTACGTCGGTACATACATACTAAAAACAATCTGCACATAATAACAGTTGTGTTTCAGTACATGTGTACTAAAAACATCCACTCATTAGTGTACAGATTTTGTGTTACCAAGAATGCACTGACATAACATATAACGTGTACTAGTAGTAGTAGAATTTCGTGATCACCTGTAACTTGACGTGATACAACAGGTTGTCCAGCGATACAGAAGGGTCGAATTTCGACATCTCATTCACCTGTCTGCTGTCGGTCCGCATGCCCCGTTGAGTTCTTGCCAAATCTCCAAGTGCTACAGTTTTCACTATACTGGCCAGTAGCCACTAGACTTTTTTTGCCACTGACCTGAGCCTGACACAGTTCTTGATCACCTCAAATTTCAATATTTATTTTAAGCGGAAGGCTTATCCAGGCTTATCCCGGACGTCTCGTTAATTATAGCTGGGCGCGTTTTAATATTTCGTATTCATAAATAATATTGTCATTATATCAAAAGAAACCTTTAATTTAAGCGTTTATATCAATCCGAATATACTCCCTGTGCGGGGTCAACGTTATTAAGTGATCACTTCCTTTTTCAGGGTTCTATTTCCGGCAGGGGAATAAATAAGCTCACTGAATTCCGTTTAAATGCATTTCTTTGACTTAATATAATGAAAACTACTGTTTTACTCGGGTTAAAATATAGTACACACGTACGCCCCAGCTGCAATTATGATAAAAGAATCTAATTATATACTGTCTATATGTAGGGACCTTGTGAAAAAAGTGATTGCAGCAGATGTGACGATGTCACACCTGCAGCATCGATGTGATAAAAAGCTTATTTCACAACAAAAAGTTATAAAATTAAATAATCAAAATATTGTTTTCAGTAGTGACATAAATCTGACCAATACCTTTTTAAGTTGAAAAGAACGACAAACGAATTGAAAGTTCATGGGTGATGAAAAATTGAAGAAAATTAAAAAGATTCGCAGTCGACAGGATTCGAACCTGTGCGGGGAGACCCCAACAGATTTCTAGTCTGTCGCCTTAACCACTCGGCCACGACTGCTCAGATGGTAGGGAAGGAGCATTTGTTGACCTGCTGAATGAGAATGCGCATTTAATGGCGGATGTTGATAAAAATCTCAGTGTCTGAAAACAAATAATTTTAGATGAATTAACTGAGAATCTGTCCAGTTAATTATGACTATTGAGATTTCATTGTATTTAATTCAATATAAATTTTTGAGTTTTATAATGTTTCGAAAAAAAAATAGCTTTAAATTTAGGCCTACGCCTTAGTCTCGACTGTCACGTGCCTAACTGGTTGGTTAGTCAACCCAAGGACGGTCAACCCAAGGAAATAAATGTGTCTAGATAAACTTCCATGGTCAACCTGAACACAGACGATAACCAACTAGGCTTCCATAAAGCAAAAACATCAGTCTATTTTTTTTTTCACAAATTTTATTAAATTGATCACCATATAGGCCCTATAGGTCCTTAGGGTATACCCCATATACCATGCAGTAGAATTTGAAAAAAGTCTGAAATATTAGGCATATAGGGCTGCTTATACGTAACAGGCGTAGGTCCTATATAATAGCAAATTATGCTTCTCTCCCTTTTAGACCTATAATCCTGTCCTTTTCAGCTTAAATATCTTGTGTCATGGGGAGACTGCGTGAAATTAGTCAGACTAGTGGTTATAGGGACGCAGGGGCGGAGCCGACCATCGCCCCCTTGGTGTGGGCTTTAATTAATTTGGAGCTTGCTCAAGGGCCCCGAAAATTTTTTGGTGTTTTTGGAGAGCAAACAGTGCCCTTTAGAACTATTACTATGATTTAGCTGGTCAGAATTCTAATTTTAAAAGGGAAATATTGGTGTGATATATAGGGGCCTATATTTTTCAGAAACCGAAGGGGGGGGGGGNTTCGTGATCACCTGTAACTTGACGTGATACAACAGGTTGTCCAGCGATACAGAAGGGTCGAATTTCGACATCTCATTCACCTGTCTGCTGTCGGTCCGCATGCCCCGTTGAGTTCTTGCCAAATCTCCAAGTGCTACAGTTTTCACTATACTGGCCAGTAGCCACTAGACTTTTTTTGCCACTGACCTGAGCCTGACACAGTTCTTGATCACCTCAAATTTCAATATTTATTTTAAGCGGAAGGCTTATCCAGGCTTATCCCGGACGTCTCGTTAATTATAGCTGGGCGCGTTTTAATATTTCGTATTCATAAATAATATTGTCATTATATCAAAAGAAACCTTTAATTTAAGCGTTTATATCAATCCGAATATACTCCCTGTGCGGGGTCAACGTTATTAAGTGATCACTTCCTTTTTCTGGGTTCTATTTCCGGCAGGGGAATAAATAAGCTCACTGAATTCCGTTTAAATGCATTTCTTTGACTTAATATAATGAAAACTACTGTTTTACTCGGGTTAAAATATAGTACACACGTACGCCCCAGCTGCAATTATGATAAAAGAATCTAATTATATACTGTCTATATGTAGGGACCTTGTGAAAAAAGTGATTGCAGCAGATGTGACGATGTCACACCTGCAGCATCGATGTGATAAAAAGCTTATTTCACAACAAAAAGTTATAAAATTAAATAATCAAAATATTGTTTTCAGTAGTGACATAAATCTGACCAATACCTTTTTAAGTTGAAAAGAACGACAAACGAATTGAAAGTTCATGGGTGATGAAAAATTGAAGAAAATTAAAAAGATTCGCAGTCGACAGGATTCGAACCTGTGCGGGGAGACCCCAACAGATTTCTAGTCTGTCGCCTTAACCACTCGGCCACGACTGCTCAGATGGTAGGGAAGGAGCATTTGTTGACCTGCTGAATGAGAATGCGCATTTAATGGCGGATGTTGATAAAAATCTCAGTGTCTGAAAACAAATAATTTTAGATGAATTAACTGAGAATCTGTCCAGTTAATTATGACTATTGAGATTTCATTGTATTTAATTCAATATAAATTTTTGAGTTTTATAATGTTTCGAAAAAAAAATAGCTTTAAATTTAGGCCTACGCCTTAGTCTCGACTGTCACGTGCCTAACTGGTTGGTTAGTCAACCCAAGGACGGTCAACCCAAGGAAATAAATGTGTCTAGATAAACTTCCATGGTCAACCTGAACACAGACGATAACCAACTAGGCTTCCATAAAGCAAAAACATCAGTCTATTTTTTTTTTCACAAATTTTATTAAATTGATCACCATATATAGGTCCTTAGGGTATACCCCATATACCATGCAGTAGAATTTGAAAAAAGTCTGAAATATTAGGCATATAGGGCTGCTTATACGTAACAGGCGTAGGTCCTATATAATAGCAAATTATGCTTCTCTCCCTTTTAGGCCTATAATCCTGTCCTTTTCAGCTTAAATATCTTGTGTCATGGGGAGACTGCGTGAAATTAGTCAGACTAGTGGTTATAGGGACGCAGGGGCGGAGCCGATCATCGCCCCCTTGGTGTGGGCTTTAATTAATTTGGAGCTTGCTCAAGGGCCCCGAAAATTTTTTGGTGTTTTTGGAGAGCAAACAGTGCCCTTTAGAACTATTACTATGATTTAGCTGGTCAGAATTCTAATTTTAAAAGGGAAATATTGGTGTGATATATAGGGGCCTATATTTTTCAGAAACCGAAGGGGGGGGGGGGGGTCAGGACTCCCCTGACCCCCCGCCCCTCTAAATCCGCCCCCCGAGGCGATATATTAAGATTCCGTAAAGTGCAGCCAAAACTGAGGTTATTGGGTTTTGTAATTTCTGTATACACCACAGTCTTTCTCCTGCCCCCTCCCTCTATCTCTCTATCTCTCTACTCGTGCTCGTTGTTCCACAGGAAAATTCATACATTTTTGTATTTGCTGGGGTAATTCACGATTAATTTGATTTCGTACCACACGACAGTTGCTTCTTTTAGAAGTAGGCCTACACATTTCAGAAAAAAAATAACAACTCATATTGATTTAAAATAATCTAATGAGCGTTTGATTTCTTCCTCTCTCTCTCTCTCTCTCTCTCTCTCTCTCTGACAAAAATATCAATAAAATTCTACTCCGCTTTCCTTCAGTCCACCTTCATTTACCACCGAGTCCAATTTAAAGTAAAAGTTCATATTCCTCGATCTAAACCATTCCATTTTCGTTGCTGTTGATATAGGCCTAGATGTCTCTGAAATGGTCATCACCTGTTTGACCTTTATTTCAACTCAATTGGTCCCGCAACTCAAATGATATGTATTACAAATTCACTGGTATCATTTCAAAATTTCCACAGTTACATGTAGGTCTATACACTGGGTGGCTCGCTCCTCTGTGGACTGATATAGGCCTACAATTATCGTAAAGAGCTTTAGTCAGACTTCTATAACTGTTCCAAATCAATTTTATTACAAATCTATGTCAAAATGACCTAGGAAGATATGAATAATCGATAACTTTCCAGACCATCGTCAGTTCAGCAAGGGGATGGAAACAACATGAGTTCCTACATATAGGCTTAGACCTCTACTTTTGCCTTTTCTCTCGAACTTTTTTGTCTAAGATGCTGTTTTTTGTAATAATAAAAGTAAAACAGACGCACGACGGCCATTACATATTTGTATCACCTCTCATTCCACTGAAATAGACCTACATGTGATTCATGGAGAAATTGCCATTGCCAATTCTAAGAAAGTAAGATCATAATTCATCGAAATATTGATCGACACTTTTAGAGGAAAGACGGCATTCATTCAACCTGAAAAAAAAAAAAAAAATGGTCCATTGATAATATTCGGACCGGATTTGTGACGGGATGTAACACGAGATGCGCAACGTCAGGCTTCAGTGGTCAGGCATGAGCCACATCTCACTTGTCACCGACTTGTACCCTGCAAACAGGTCATCATGCGTCACGTAGCGTCCACCAGTTTATAAATGTGATTATCATCACACATCATCTGAAGTCATTCTTTATTTATAACGACAGAGTCAGTCTGTTATTCAGTTAAATCCGACTTAATATCTCACGGGACTTCTGTTCTCCGAAAACAGAGGCTTTATGCTGTAACTTAGTCAGGAAGATCTGTAACGGTATGAATATGACGTCAATATGACGTCAAGTGACTCAATGAATTATCGAATAGAATGATTTTCATTTCATTTTCTTGTAATAATCTGTAATCAGTCTTCCCTAAAAACGCAAAATTAGTTATGGGATATACTTATCGCTGCTTGTAGCAACAAATAACCTTAAGTTCACCGTTTAATCTACACTTATCTTTGTCCGTTTGTGTAACTTCACTTCAGTTAAATCATATTTGATTATGGTTAATACTGTTAGGCCACACTTTTTTATTTTTATGGATGACATCCTCTGGGGACCCCAAAGTCGGTGCGAGAGGGCGAAAAAAAAAAAAAAAGCAGTCCAAAAAAAAAAATGCTGTTTATGTAAAGGAATGCTGTCAGTACACAGCTGGAAACAAATTTACCACAGAAACACGTATCAAACTAACAATATGTCTTTATCCATGCTCTCAAAATATTAAAGCATTGTGAATACTTTGTAGAAAGGTAAAAAAGTCATGAATAGACAGGCCCGTAGCCGGGGGGAGGGAGGGGGGGTCGGGGGTCGAAAGAACCACCCCTTTTGCTAGAAAAAGTTTCACTCTGGGTAAAATTTGATCTAGGTACATGACGT